GAGGAGACAGTGCTATCGATGCGCCATACCTTCCTACGGGTGTCTGGTCGGCCCTGTCGTCAATGACCTGCACTTTGATGCCGTAGCGGGCGAGGTTCGTAGCTAGCATCAGGCCAGCGGGACCGGCGCCAACAACGCAGACCTGGCATTCTGTCGGAGCCTCAGGGTTGCTTCTGAGTAGAGTCAGGCGATCGGAGCACTCATAGCCGTCCTGGCTGAGGCTAATCCGATCGTCGGTCGACGTCTCGAGGATCGAGGGGGCCATTGCGACGCCGCGCATTGGTCGTATTTGTATATGGGTGTGCTTTATGCGCTTGAGAAAAAGTAGGGTGCTCAGTGCTCGGGAAGCGGAACACCGTCCGTCCACGGGCGGCGTCTGGTCTCTGAACGGGAACGAGGTCGAGTGTTTGGTAGCGGGCTATGGGTGGTCGCACAGCACAAACGCTTTCCTCAGGGCAGGTCGGAGCCCTCTAATCTGGGTACGGAATGCGTTGTATCAATGGCAGCCGCTCGAGTGGCCGGTCTCTGGCTAAGTGGCAAGTGTTGTCGTGCGAAGGGGCTTGGGCGAATGGCGGCTCAGCGTCAGATGGGCGGGGAGCGTCCAAAATGGAGACGGGGTGACAGGCTCCCGGAGGTTCCCGTTCGCGGCGTTCCGGAGTGGCTACGGCCAGGCAGTCGCTGGATGGGCGCTGAGGAAGGGAGGGGGCGCCTGCACACCTCGGGACTGGAGCGGATTGGTGCGCAAGATCAGGGCGCGGAGCACAACATCGACGGGGTGTGGTATTCGTGGTCGCAACGCACGCAGCCTCTGCCGTTCTTGCTCGGACCGCTGGACCGCCAGGGCTCTCTGGTGAGAGTCGGGAGAGGAAGGAAAGGAAGAAGAAGGGCAGAACACTACCAAGAAAAAGGAAGAAATAGGACTAGGAAGAACGGAAAGGCCACGGGGAAATGTCGACAAGATACAAAGCAACACGCAGCGACTCCGACACGCCCGGGATCGATTGGCAGCAGGCAAAAGAAGGCCCATCCCAAGGAAGGGTGGTGTGATTCTGGGCTTCCATCTGACGATTTCCCCAGGGGTGGGGCCTAGAGCGTGAGGCGGGTGGTGCCAGGGCCTAGCCGAAACGGTGGGGCCTCTGGCCTGACCTGGGGACGGCACCACGGTATTGGCTGCAGCGCTGGGCTTTTAGGGGTCCTTGCCGTGGACCCCAGCACTTTTTTTCCGCCGCGACGTGACACCGCCGACAAAACCGGACGCCGGCGTGCCAAGAGCTGCCCCGAATCTACTGCAGAACGGATCCTCTGAGCCAGTGGCCGAGGCCGCAGATGGCCCGAGAGGCGTGATGCGGATCCCACGCACCCACGCACGCCGTGGAAAGCGTCCCCCCAGGGACCGCCCGCGTCCCTAGCCTTGGGCGACCTCCATGTGCGGTCCCTGGGGCCGGCTATGTGTGGTCCCTAGATCGAGACGTTGAGATAGCAACCGTGATATGCACCATGCACCGCCGGGCCTGAGTGTAGGCCAAGGCCGTGCTAGGGCCCGCCAATAGGCTCCATGCAGAAGGTGTGCAACCCAGGCGAGACAAGGTGGCACCCAGCACGCATCGATCGCTCGTCTGACAGGATGGACGTGTGTAGCTTTCCATGGAGGGCATGGCAGCGATTTTCGCTCTCCCGCCTGCCTTGGAGACTGACAGCAGGAAGCTCAAGCCATATCGGCCTACTCGCCATCCCAAACGTCATGGGTGATTATGTCGGCAGCCCCAGACATCGATTTGCAACCCTGGAGGTCTCTTGTTTGGTGCCATCTCTTTTCACGCGGCCCCCAGGCCCTGGTCGCGGTGACACCCCTGAGAAACATACGTTTTTGCGGCGATATCACCTCGATAATTCAGTTTCGTGCCATCATGCACTTTGGATAGCGCGCTCCGATCGCGAAAAGGAAGAAAATCCTTCAAACGGCGTCGAAGCTGGCCATTCTCACCCTGGTCGCTGCACACAATCAAAATAAGCTAGCTGGAAAAGTGTTGGCACTCGGGGTTAGGATGGCGCCAGCAGCCTGGTACGATGCCAACCAATGGGGAAGGATGATTATAAGTGTGGCCACAGAGATGGAATGACGGGAGGAAGATTACCTGATTACCCTCCTGTTGGGATGCACAGTGGCTGTTATATAAAGTCTGCAGGTACGACAACGCTAATTGTATGTAGTCCCTCTAATCCACGCTTGTCGCCAAGAGTCGCAAGAAGGCTGCGACCAAGAATTTAAGCACATGGTGCAGGGCGGCGTGGATATGAGCTGGACGTGGTGAGTTGGATTCTCCAGTTCGTAAAATGTCACATTCACCGGGTAAACACAGCCTTACTTTTGGGTAACCCTATAAACACGAGTCCAAACAGAGAACCGGAAAACAGTGGGAAGTGGGAAAGAAGACACCACAAACGAACAGTCGACAATATGGATGTGAATGCACTCCATTCTCTAGTGTAGCCTGATGGCGCGTGTGGAAAGCTCCCAAAAGAGACAAGCGCCTTCTCTTCCCCGCAGTTGAGGGTCGACCGAGGTTTGACTCTCACTTGTGGGCCTCGGCTCCACGCAAAAACAAGCGCGACACGCTAACAAAATGCCACACAGATGCGGAGAAAAAAGGTCAGATCCCAGGCTCGGGCCTGGGTCTCAGAAAGCTTCAGCCAGTAAGACGCAACGCTTTTGGCGTTTTGGGTCATGGAGGGTTGTAGGGGCTTCTCTTTTAGGATTGCTCTTCGCGGATATCTTGGCTCGCTTGCGTGCCACAGTAGATATATGGCTTGGAATGGTTGCTTAAAGAGAAGACACGCACTCCTAGGGATGGGAATAAGATCGCGTCCTGGTTGTTCGTGCAGAGATACCCAGTCACCACCACCGCCAGTCTCAGTGAAAACGTTGAGGGGGCTTGCTCCCGACTACGCGCATTGGCCCCTTTCTTACGCCCGCTATCGCCTTGACCTTCGCTCCGTCTGCGCAAACAAATCAGCCCATCAACGACAGACATAAACTCCTTGCTTTCGCCCTTGTCCGGAGCGACTTTCCGTCTCCCCCCACCTTGCGCGGCTGTCTTTAGCCTATCACTCGGCGCATATCATCGACAATCATCTTAGACACCGTAACACCATCCTCACAATGCCTCTCCACAACGGCTGGCTCCCACGCGAGGGTCTCTACGCCGACCCTGTCGCCAGGGCCTTTGCAAAGGCCGCCCTCAACCCCTTGTTTGTCCTCCCCATAGTGCTGGCGGCGCGCTTCACCAAGGGTGGCGGCGCCATGGCGGCCCTCCACCCGGTGGCCCTCGGCCGCATCAAGGCGCTGCTGTACGCCGGGCTGGCCTACCGGATCAACCGCTACCTGAGCCGGCGCGCCATCAACAACTGGACCTCGGACAAGTACGTCTGGTCCAAGGAGGTTGTCGTCGTCACGGGCGGCGCCGGCGGCATCGGCGGCAACGTCGTCAGGCTGCTGGCCGAGCGGGGCATCTCGGTGGTGGTGCTCGACATCATCCCCCTCAGCTTCGACGCCCCGCCAAACGTTCACTACTTCAAGTGCGACATCACCTCGGCGGCCAGGCTCGCCGAGGTCGGCGACGAGATCCGCGCCCGCGTCGGGCACCCGACCATCGTCATCAACAACGCTGGCGTGGCCCGCGGCAAGAGCATCCTGGACTCGACGGAGCGCGACATACGCTTCACCTACGACGTCAACGCCATCGCGCCCTTCCTCGTCGTCAAGGAGTTCCTGCCCGAGATGATCAAGCGCAACCACGGCATGGTCGTCAATGTCAGCTCCTTCGCCGCCTTCCTGTCGGCCCCGAACATGGTCGACTACTCCAGCACAAAGGCCGCCGTCATGTCCTTCCACGAGGGCCTGACGGCCGAGCTCAAGACGCGCTATAACGCGCCCCGCGTCCGCACCGTCCTGGTCAACCAGAGCTACACAAAGACCCCGCTGTTCGACGGCTACCGCGCAGACAAGTCGTTCCTGGTCCCCGCCCTCGAGCCCGAGTCCGTGGCCGATGCCATCGTCCGCCAGGTGCTGACCGGCGAGAGCGGCCAGGTTATTCTGGCCGAGGTCGCCGGCAACATCCTCTCGGCCCTCCGAGCATTCCCTCATTGGTGTACGTCCGCGGTGGGCCGTCCAGCTCAAGCGCAAAACCCCCTTTCTGCCCTGGGCCACTCGAATGGACACCCTCCTGCGATGAAGTTTTGCTGACCTCTGATGACATTGATACCTAACAGACCAGCATGGCCTCCGGACCAAGACCAAGGACTTGATGACCAACTTTAGCGGCAGGCAGGTCGTCAAGGATCTTGATAAGTTCTACAAAGACAAGAAACAATCCAGCGCTGATGAGAGCACCGTTCTTGTGGGCCGGGAGACGAGCGGTGCGGACGCGTCTTGAAGCCTCAGTCCCAGGGTGGAAGGAATCGTCATCGGACCGCAGAGTATTATTTGGGTAGTATTGTGTATGGAGAAGATAGCCGTGAAGTAAGGATACTTGACTGGCACGGGTAGTGAGGATATGTAGGTTGTATAAAGATACCGTAAGTGCGACTAATACATCTGTGTTAATGATTATGGGTATAGTTCGGATCGTTATTCTCGCCTATCTATCCTAGCGTATGAGTAAGCTAGGAGGGAGGTGGAATTGGGCCGGGCGCTGAGCGGAGATGGGGTAAAGATGGAGTGGGCACATGGAGGTAGACCGACCAGTTATTCTTTCAAACCCCCCCCCCTCTTCAGGTTTCCTTAACTATTTAGCTTGTTGCTGCCCTTGGCTCCCTCAGTCCAACTCGCAATTGTGACGGCAGTTTTCTAAACCGCCGGTGTATATGATTTCATGGGCTACTTCTTTCTGCACTAGGCCTTGCCGTACACCACTCCCACACCTCGTCCGGTCCCTTTCTCGTGACCTGGCCGCAACACCACCGCCCGCAATGGCGCCAGCACTTACCGGACGTTCTTCTTCCATGGAGGGCACATCGTCGAGGGAAGTGACGGCGCTTCATAGGAAAGGGCTAACTTTGACCTTAAGGGCTAGCCGTTGGAATCATGCTTGGAATCAGACATACGCCAGCATCATAGGTAACACATCTGCTGCGCCTTGCAGATGTATGTCCTTTCTGTCAGTTGCGGCTTCCCCTCAGTCTTTCTTCACGCGATCCCGCGCTCGATACAACCACAGGTCACCGCCAGACGCTCCTCGCGCGCCACTTAATTGAATGCGGAGAATGGCGCCTCCTCCGAGCCTTGGGGATGCTTGTCGGACAAAGGACATCTCGTTTCGCTCCAGCTTCCGTCAGGACCAATTCACAGCTCATATCAAATGGCGCCTTCAAGCCGCTAAGCCTCGGTGTACTGGCCAGTGGGCCTTTTCAATGCAGTCCAAGCCGCAGGAGAAACGAGCTCCGGAAGTCACGGCTTGGCTATTGTCTTATGGACTTCTTCGACAACGACTTGAGCTCTAAGCAGATATATCCCCTCGGCACCTCGAGCCAAGCTTCTCGAAACGGAACTCTCCGTCTCTCTTTGCCTCTGGCTCGCCGGCACCAGGCGAGCCGCACATCTTTTGCTTTGACCATCCTGCTCTGCTGTCATTTGCAAAGCTCCTTTTGGAGACCGATTTCGGCGAAACCATTCCTTTGGAAACCAGCCACCATCACGACGAGACTAGGCGAGTCACTTGGGCCGAGCTTTGCGACATGGCCGACCAGCTTGAGGGGAAACGCCACGATAGTTACATCCAGGCCATAAGGGGCTGCCTTATGGTCCGCAGCCGGATCTCAAAGGCGCCGAGGTTAACCAGCGCGGACAGCAAATCTGTGAAGCTCACGATTTGGAAGGAACTAACTCTACTGAGAAATTATTTGTAAACTCGAGAACGGACTCGCGGAATCTATGCCACGGTCCCAACGGAAACACCCAACGCTCTGAATCGCCTGAGCCGGCTGCGGAGTGAAAGTCCAAGGCCAGAACTATCACAGGCGAGCGGGATTCGGCTTTCTCCGGCCCGTTGAGGGGCTCCGCCGGGCTGGTGGAGGGAATATAAGACTGCCGAGCCGGATGAGCCTGGAGGGGCGGTAGTCCCATGAAGGGCTGAGGAAGTTGGGCCGGTGCATCTAAAGCTTGCACTCAGGCAGCTCTACTATCGACGCCTTGCAGCACACGTCAACCTGAGGCATCTGTCCTACGCAGGCCGGACCAACTAATCAATGGCGGCTGCGACGATATCGGTATTAACATGCATCAAGACTTGATCCTTGCCATGTCAAATAGCGGATTGTTAATCAAGGTCTGATCTTATATTAACAGCAGGAAATGCCTAGATTTCCTTCTCGGGCTATCCAGTAGCTCGGCGGCTTCCGTCGGGGCGTCCCTGGCGGGGGATGAGGGTATCATGTGATGGGAATATGATGAAATGAAGGCGAAGAAGCCGAGAGTTGCTCAGGCAAAAAGTGCCAGAGTAGCGCAGAGCCCCCAAACCCAGACTGCCCCGGCGTGCCAGCCCACAGTGCTGCTGGCAGCAGAACCGAGCCCGTTGGCGGGACCCCTCGAGGGCCCCAGGCCGTCGCCCTTGTTCTTGGAGTTGTCGACGAACTGGACCTGGGTCGCGTCGCCGGGCGCGAACAGGACGCCGACGCTGTTTGCGGAGCGGGCGTCGATCCGGTCCTCGTCTAGGAGCGGGTTGCTGAGCTCGTCGCATGGCGGCCGGTCCAGCCCAGAGTCGATCCGGTTGGTGACCGAGATGGGCAGGTCGAAGACGGTGTAGTGGTCCTGGCCGTTCAGTCGGAAGTTCTGGCGGATGGAGATCTACGTCATGGATTCGGTGGGATTAGCCGGCCCTAATGCCACGGACCCGTCCGTCCAGGCTCGACCCCGCGCCACGCCTCTCCGTCCCCCAGGCTTGCAGGGCAAGGGAACGAGTGCTTACGTTATAGACACCCCGAGCGCTGCCAGCGTCTCTTGGCTGGCCGTCACCAGCAAGGCAGTTCGGCCAGAGCCAGTTGATGTGCTTGACCGTGCTTCCGGGCTCCTGGGCCATGAGATCGCCAAAGCTGTTGTTGTTCAGGGTCGCGGTACCGTTGGATATCGTAAAGTTCCTGCCCGTATCTCTGCTGTAGAGGAACATGGTAATGTTGTGTATCTGGAGAGCTCTGCGTCAGTACGACTGCAAGAATATGCCTGGCAGTTTTCCTTGCTGGGCGGATTCACTGTTCACCTTGGTAGGGCTCTCCGCAGCGTAGGGCGGCAGGTTTAGCCTGCCATTTGCCGTCACATCGATCGATATATGAAGTGTATCTGTTTCGCCAGCCGCTCTTAGCAAGTCTCTTTATGCCAGAAACGGGACTGCTATGTGAAGCAGGAGTGTGGCTGATTTGCCTAACGTACCTCCGCCCATCGGTGTTCCCGCTATAAAGGAAATATGACATCAATTAGCCTTCATATTCAATACGTGCGAGATGCACAAAGACGACTTTCGGGGGGATCTATGTAGCTCACGTTGCGGCGCATTCCAAACTACCAGCCCGGGTGTGAATATCTGCCCGCCTGCTATCGTGAACGACTGCGCCCGGGCCAGCGAGGCGAACAGCAGTGTGGCTTGGATAGCCAGGCCTGACAATATAGAAGACATTATAAACGACATTGGTCTTGAGGGCATGTGCGGTGGCAGACTGGTCCCGCCGTGTCGTCTGGCTTGTCACGATGGGCACACACGTAGGCGCATGAAGGCGGATCAGGTGGTTAAAGAATAACGGCGAGAGGAGAAACGGAGCAGAGGGCATAAAGGATTCCTCCTAGGAACACGACCCGTTGGTCTTCTACCACCCCCCTGTTGGGATGTGGGGTTTTCCTCTTTATAACCCGCGCAGATGGTAGCCGAGCAAGCGAGGAGATCATGGGCATGGGTGCGCGCTCCAACTTCTCGGCAGAATAGCGCTAATTTCCACCAGTCCAGGCCACCCGTTCGTCGCCAGTTCGCTGGGCGGTGACGCCATGTTCGACCGGCACCTTTACAGACGCCCATAGCCTTGGACTGTGGCTCCCCAATGGCAAAGCACGGGGCAGAGTCACATCCCGCCCAGCCCTCGCTCCCCTGGGTCGGCCATGCGAACAGAGTCGGATGACAAGATAACCGAAGGCGCCCCGAGGAGCCCAGTCTCGAGGGACAATGACGCTGGCCAATGCCTCTTGCTGGTTGCTGGTGCATGTTTCAGATGGGCCTTGGGTTCCCACCCATCTGACAGCGGGGGTTGCAAGGATGCCGCGTCGGATCTGCGTCATGTCATGCCTAAAATCGATGGCTTCAACCAAGCAAGGGGTATTTTTTTTTCTTTATCAGAGCTCCAGCCACATAGAGATAGCAACGCCACATTCATCCACCATCGCGAGTGGGACCTTGCGAAGTCAAGCCTCAATAGGACAATTGCCTTCTTCACTTCATTCATCATTGGTCATTTTTACTCATTCATTTTTTTTTTTGGCAACTCCCCGGTCCTTCAGGTCGGGTGTGATCGCCCACCCTTGCTGTGTGTCTAGCCCGAGAATCTGTGTCTTTGTCTCTCGAGGCCAGCAATTTCTTCGTTTTTGTTCACCCACCCTCGCTCTCGCCGACATTGGCTTTGTTTAGACCTGGTGTTTGCATAAGATGTTACCCATGCCACGAGCTTTGACAGCAACCAGGGTCTTGGCCAGACACCTCGCCAGACCCTCTTTACATGGGCCAAAACATCTCAAGAGCAGCTACTCGCGCTTCCAATCGTACAGTCATGCCCGCCTGGGCACTATTCTGAAGGTCTCAGAGGAGGTTGAAGACGCCATAAAGACCAACAGACCGGTCGTGGCTCTTGAATCGACCATCTACACCCATGGCGCCTTCGACGAGGACCTGGGGCTCGAGTCCATCGTCCGCGAACACGGTGCTGTCCCCGCCGTCATAGGCATTATCGATGGTACCCCAACGGTTGGAATGACGCCGGCCGAGAGAGACCGCATCGTCTCTGAGGGTGCCAAAAAGGTGTCGCGCCGAGATATCGCATACTTGGCTGGAATGGTAAGATCCTTGTGAGCCCGCAGGAACCTGCTGCCCTTCTCCCCTTGGTTCCCTCTCCAGCTGGGCTAAGGCGGGCATGCTCGAATTTTGACATAGGGCATTGCCGGCCGTCGTATGCATGGAGGTACCACTATCGCAGGCACCATGGTGCTAGCGAGACTCGCTGGCATCAAGGTGTTCGGAACCGGAGGTCTCGGTGGCGTCCATCGCGGCTGGGAGACCAGCATGGACATCTCTGCGGACCTCACCGAGCTTGGCAGGACCCGGGTCGCCGTCATCTGCGCCGGGTCCAAGGGCTTCCTGGACATCCCCACAACACTCGAGTACCTCGAGACGCAGGGAGTCCTCGTATCGACATTTGCCGATGGCCGCACCGGCGATGTCGACTTCCCCGCATTCTGGGCGAGGGAGAGCGGTATTAAGAGCCCCTCGACGGTGCAGAACGAAACCGAGGCCGCAGCTATGATTCTCGCCCAGGAGAGGCTTGATATAGAATCTGGCATTCTGTTTGCTAACCCAATTCCCGCCGAGTACGCCATCCCCAGAGATGAAATGGAGAAAGCCATCAACCGTGCCGTTTCAGAGGCGGCAGAGCTGGGCTTCACCGGACATCGTAACACCCCGTTCATCCTCCAGAGGATCCGGGAGTTGACAAATGGAGCCAGTGTCCCAGCAAACCTTGCGCTTGTGCGGGTAAACGTTGTCCGAGCCGCCAAGATCTCCGCGGAGCTCTCCCGACTCGAGACCGGGGGTTCCGCGCCTGCCTTGTAAATACCACTACATACACCAACTGGCTACCTAAATGTCTCGTGTCGTGCCAAAGTGAATATTGCTTGCTGATGTTTGGCTTGTGCAAATCAGTCAACCTAGCACAACCAGTGTGCCAGATATCCCGACTCATCAGAGCCAGCCCAGAATTGTGACGACAGAGGAGAAAAGTGTGAGTGCCTACGTCGCACACCTTGGATCTTGATAAGATTTAGCGTACGAGCAAGCTGACTTGTCCGTCAAGAATGAGTCCAAGGTTGATATCCTGGTCGCGGGATCTATTGCACTTGATCTCAGCTGTGACTTCTCTCCTGGCGTTAGCGGCAAGAACGGCGAGGTTGCGCCCAAGCAACACACATCCAACCCAGCCTCGATCACCCAAGCCGCCGGCGGTGTTGGATTCAATGTCTCGCTAGCCGCCCACCGCGTCGACCGCCATACCACAACGCGGCTATGCAGTGTGATCGGCGATGACGTGTAGGTTGTGCTCTTACCTTCGCTTTCTCTGTATCCAAGATCTAATGCCCCATAGTGCTGGTGCCACCCTTTTATCTATGATGGAGTCCTCCGGAATGGACACTGCGTTCATCCGCCAGCTGGGCCGGGAATACCACTCGGCCCGGACGGCGCAGTACGTGGCCGTCAACGACGCAGAGAAAAACCTCGTGCTTGCCATGGCGGACATGGACATCCTCGCCAGCCACTCCTTCAAGAAGTACTGGCACTCCGCGATTGCCGCATCTCGCCCCAATTGGCTGGTGGTCGACGCCAACTGGAGCGAGAACGACATCCATAACATTTGGATCTCGGCCGGCCGCGAGCATGGGTGCAAGGTCGCGTTCGAGACCGTTAGTACCTACAAGTCGGCTAAGCTCTTCCCGCCGCCACCCGCCAGGCCCACGAGCGGGCCCAAGGGACACTCAGAGCTGCTGCACCCGACGCCGCTCGTCGACCTGGCCACACCGAACAGCTACGAGCTCTCGGCCATATACAACGCGGCCAAGGACAACGGCTACCTCGAAAACTCGGCGTGGTTCGGCATTATTGACTCTCTAGGTATGACCGGGGCTCGGGACAGGTTTGTGAGGCTGGCATCGACCGCCCTGACGGACGAGGGGATCCCGCAAATGAACACCCAGCTGCTGCCGTACATCCCGACCATCCTCACCAAGCTCGGGCCCAAGGGCGTGCTGCTGACCATGCTGCTTGGACCCGACGACCCGCGGCTAAGCTCGGCCGAGGCGCAGCCTTACATTCTGGCCAAGGCCACTGGGCAGCATCCTCACGTTGGGGGCGTCTACATGCGACTCTTCCCGGCGGTTGAGGAGGTCAAGGATGTGGTTTCGGTGAACGGCGCTGGAGACACTTTCATAGGCGTGCTCGTTGCCGGCCTGGCAAGGGGAGGTAAGGTGGAGGAGCTTGTAGATGTTGCCCAGAGGGCAGCCGTCATGACACTCCGTAGCCACCAGGCCGTCAGCGAGGAGCTGGGAAGGCTGGAGTCGGAGGTGGCGAACGCAGCTCAGCGATGAGCATTCTGCTTGACATGGCGAGGAGCTTCCACAGCTGCTGCAAGAAGTCAGCATCGAAATATTTACATCTTTTACCATCCCCTCTGCCCAAACTCGAGCATGTCCTTCTCTTAGCGCCAGAAATGGTTTGCGGCCTCCTGAGACCCATATTGAACTGTTCGGCCCCACCCTCCATCCCAGGCGACTAGCACATGTTATCGATAAGCTTCCCGCCGCCCGCCAAACAAAAAAAATTTGGAAGCACAACCCGGGCACTTGGCGGCACTGAGCAAAACCTTGGAGGGCCGCACAAGCGCGATCATAAACGCACCAAGGGAAGCATCGGTCGGCTTTCTGCCAAATCTCAACTAGTATGGCACCAAATCCTAGGAGAGAGTTCAAGGCGAACGAATCGGACGACGACTTTGCTGGGTTCGATGACGACGACGATGCCCTGCCAGCGGCCTCCGAAGTCAAGCTCCAGGTCCACGACATAGATTCGGACGAGGAAGAGCTCGAACGGCTGGTTCTCGGCGACAGGGACAGCTTCCGCAGCAAGCTCTTCGACCATGACGACCTGTCCGCGGCAAAGGACGTGGCGCTGGCCGACGTTCCCCCTGCGCCCGATAGCGGCGCTGCGCACATGACCGACTCGGCGCTGTTTTTCTTCGCCACCGACAAGGAGCCGGTCGCCGACGGGCAGCTGGCCAAATCCTCGCTGAAGACGCTCCAGGACCCCACCGCGCGGGGCGACGCGGCCGCCTGGGAGGACAGCGACGACGAGAAGCTCTCAGTGTCCCTCGCGGGCGCCACGAGGCTGCGGAAGCTGCGGCTGACGGAAGGCGAGGACATGGTGAGCGGGGCCGAGTACTCCAGGCGGCTGCGCCAGCAATACCTGCGCTTGAACCCGGAGCCGTCTTGGGTCAAGGACGCGACCGGGCGCGAGCCGAAGCGGCGGCGGAGGTCGTCGGCGTCCTCCGGGTCCGACAGCGGGAGCGAGGACGAGGACGGGGACATTGACCCGTCCACCATGCCGCTAGAGGAGTTTCTGCGCGACGCCAGCGCCCTCGTGGAGAGCGCGGGGCCGAGGAAGAGGAGGAAACTCCGGCCCGAAACCATCAACATCCAAAAGACGCGCGACATCCCAGATGTTCACAAGGGCCCCGTCGAGTCCCTGTCATTCCACCCCCAGCACCCTGTGCTTCTCTCGTCGAGCACATCCTCGATGCTGCACCTCCACCACATATCGCCGGCCGCATACCCAACCCCAAACCCGCTCCTCACCTCGGTGCAGGTGCAGAACACTCCCATCCGAAGGGCCGAGTTCCAGTACCCCTCCGGGGATAAGATATTGTTTGCGGGCCGGCGGCGCTTTTTCCATTCGTGGGATCTGTCGTCGGGGCAGGTGACCAAGGTCAGCCGGATACACGGACATAGACTCGAGCAGCGAACGGTCGAACGCTTCCGACTGAGCCCCTGCGGCCGGTACATGGCCATGATCGCGACGGACCGCAAGGGCGGCGGTATGATCAACATGATGCGGGTCAGTACGATGCAATGGATATCCCAGGCGAGGCTGGATGGGCGCGGGGGCATCGCCGACTTTTGCTGGTGGAGGACGGGCGATGGCATCACGATCCTCGGCAGGGACGGGCAGGTTGGAGAGTGGAACTTGGAAGAGAAGAGATTCGTTGGCGTCTGGAGGGACTCGGGCTCGACGGGCGGAACTGTTCTTGCCATGGGTGGGCGCGACGGGCCCTCGGAACTAGGTAGCGACCGATGGGTTGCCGTCGGCTCCAACAGTGGCATCCTTCAAGTCTACGACAGACACGACCTCGTCGTCGACAAGGGCGCCCCCAGCGGCGACGACGGCGCGGGTGTTGTGTCGGTTGTCAAGGCACATCCGGAGCCAACGCGGGTCTTCGAGTCGCTTACGACACCCATCACCGTCGTCACGTTCTCGCCCGACTGCCAGCTACTGGGTTTCGGGAGCATTCACAAAAAAGACGCCTTCAAGCTGGCGCACATGCCCAGCTGCACTCTGTATCGCAACTGGCCGACGGCGGATACGCCATTTGGCAAGATCACGGCGGTTGCGTTTGGGCGGCAGAGCGATCTGCTGGCAGTGGCCAATGAGCGAGGCAAGATTCGACTATGGGAAATCAGGAGCTGATAGGCTATCATACCTAGGAGCCGCTCCAAGCCTGATGGAGCCCGGGATAGCTATTTTAGTCGCCTCTTACCTGGCGGCAAGCAAAGGCTGCCAGGAATGTACTATTTGATAATGGGCAGGACTCGCATTGATGAAGTTCACTGGCACACGAAGCATGTGGCCGTGTACAGTGTTTGGAGAGGATTTGGCGCAAAGATGCAGCGAATGCCAGACCACCAACAAGGCTCTATGGTGTGGCTGTCGCCTCGCCTGGTCACGTCGCTAGAATGGTGTGTTGTCCTGCAGCCTGGTGTCACCTAAGGTAGCCTATGTGGTTAACCTGGGACTCTGATTGTCCAGCGAAGCCATGTAAGCACGTAAGCTGGGCTTTGGTTCCTGCTGCCCAAAGCTTGGACACACCTGGATTCCAAAACCCATGCACAGCGGATGTCGATGCTCCCCCCGGGAAGGTAAGAGCAATCGCGAACGACTGGCCCGCACGCGACGAAAACGATGAGCCAACGGTCGACTCGAGGCGGACGCTCCGACGGGGAGCCGGGTCTGTGCCCGCGGCGACTGGTTCTAGAAGGGACAAATCCGGTTGCGGGAGGCGGCAGTCGAGGAGCCAAGAGCCACGAGCCACGAGCGCGGAACACTCGGGGGGCTGCGATCTGTGCTGTCGCGATGCTGTGTCAGGCATCGAGTGGCGACCCACTCCCAACCGCTGGGTGTGGTGGAGACGGGCAGGGGTAGACGTTGGTGATGTGGCAACCCAACTCCAAGCTGGCAGCTGCGAGCTAAGGGGGGCTAGGGCCTGGGGAGGTTCCCTTTTGCGGAAGCCTGGCGGAGCCACAGCGCGTGTGACAGCTGCCATTGAGCCAGTTCGGGGAGCCGCCAAGCATGCGGCCGGGGGCCTGGTCTCAATGCCGGACGGGCACGCAGGCACGTCGGGGGCAGAGAAACTCAATGGGGCCTGCCTGGGGGGATCGGTTGATGCGCCCGTGGCCACCCCGTCGTCGGCGTGCCCTCGTCTCGTTGGCCGGGACCACAAAGGCCCGACGGCGAGGCCAGCCGCCCGCTGCGGCTATGCTGCGCTAGATCGGCCGGGCGGCTGCGCGGTTTTCTCTGCCATTGGTGTCTGGCGAGCGTCATGCCATTGAGCCGTAATCTGAGCGGTTGCGGAAAACTACGGGAGGATGGAGCGTGGTGTCGTGTGATTGCTTAGGGCAGTGAGGTCGGTACGTACCTTGATCGAGGTTGCCGCTCCACCGAATAGGAGTGAGCGGGTTCCCCACTTTTCCACTTTTTGTGTCTGCGTTCGCTCGGATTTTTTTCCTCCTCTCTTTTCCCTCGCGCCCGACTTTATTCCCACCCCTACCTCCACTCAATGCTTGTCCTCCACTTTTCCTCCGCTGCTGTGCTGGCGATGCCTCCTCCACACCCTCGACATCAAACCCATGGATCCCATGGCAACCGGCTAAGCCTATTCGCCGTGTTCCCAAGCGCATGCCCGCCCGCTTGGGTAGCCACAGCTAGCAGCGTGTGTACCTGTGGTGCTCGCACCCGAGAGGCATTTGCTGCCACTGCACGCACAATATCATCACTGGCGCATACCCCATACATGGGTGGGAGGAGACCCAAGGTAGGGTAGGGCTGGACGTGGCCATCGGCGGATGGTTGGTCGATCGCAGCCGATGGCCGCAGACGTACCACGCTTGCCCAAGAAGAGACGCTTTCGGGCTTCCTACAGACCGAAGTACGGTCGGTGCATCTTCCCCTCGCGTCCGTCGGCTGCCCACGCTGCCCTGCTTTTCCCGCTGCATGCATGCGTGCCTCGCTTTTCCGAGATGGAGGGAGAACTCAACGAAGAAAGTTCTTCGCTGGCCTCAGCTTGGTCTGGCCCTGGACGCTCTCGCTGGCCGGGCTCACTTCTCCTTAAAACCATCGCGGACTGCCCTCACCTACCCGCCTGTTTTATGAACAAACTCGAGTCGCGTCTCGTTCTGTCCAGATAGTGTATGCCCTCTTCGTCCTTGAAGCGCTCCAGTATAATATCGGTGGCTGGCTGGAGCACGGTTTGGCGCCCTTCTCGCACCCCCGACCTCATTACACCCACGGCAGACCCCCTGGACCTGCTTAAGCGGCCCTGTGGACCCCCCCAGATACGGCTTCACCTCAGTGGTCCTGCAATCCTCGACCCCCCGTCCCAGCCCACCGGGCCCACACGTGTGTCCCAACATGGCCTGGGATTCTTCTTTTAAGCTGCGGTTGTCGTCGAGACGGGCAGACTCTGCATCCCCCCTTTCGAGGTTTCGTCGCAGAGATACAACTGATACCACAACCGCGCAACGACTACCACGACTGCTGTCCCATGAGCCTCTCAGCATGGCTCCGGCCGCCATCCCGACTACTGCGCCGGCCCTGTCCCCGATCATAGAGGAGGTCGCCTGTGGCCCTGAGGCCCCTCCTCTGGCGGTCAGGGTGCAGGTGCACTTCGCCGACCCCTTGGTTCGCGATGCCCACCACCCCTACACTCGAGACTACGCCAGCTCCGATGCCCTCAGCCCGACCAAGCGCCTCTGCAAGGGCCTCGTTCGCCGCATTGAGCACTGCAGCGAGGAGCTCATCACCCGCCGCGATCCCACGGCGCTCCTGCAAAGGCTTCCCGGCCAGGCCCCGAAGGAGCTGCGCTACGAGCTGGTCTTCACCGTCCTGCAGCCCAACGAGGTCTTCGCCCACCGCACATTCCAGTCCTACCAGCGCGAGCCCCTGTCGCAAGAATCCGCCAGCGAGATATTACTCGCGACCCATCGCATGGTCGGCCTCTTTCTGAGGCAACACGACAAGGGCTTCAGGTGGACCAACGAGCCCGCTGGCGACCACCGCTATATCAACCGCCTCATCTCGTCCTCGCTGCTGAGCATCGGCGAGCCCCTGCCACTCGGATGCGTCCCTCCATCCCACTTCCTCGAGGATTCCCAGACCTTCCAGTTCTCGCCCGGCTACAGCATAGAGTTCTCCTTCAAGAGCTCTAGCCAATTGCGCAAGCAGAACGAGTGGTCGCGGACCCTGTCCATAAAGAGCGGGCAGGATGCGCCCCTCAACCTGTCGCTGAGCGAAAACCTGCTCTGGGCTGCTTCCGAGATCGTCAACACGGCCCTGGGAGCCAAGAAGCGGGAGCTAGACTTTGAACACAACTCTTGCGAATGGCTCGAGGGCCCCGTCCAGTGCAAACACTTCGAGGAGAGCGCGCTCGAGATCGAGATCAGGCTTGAGAATAGCCTGGGGCCGGTTTACGAGCACCTCAACCGCCGCATCTTCACCAAGCTCGCCATGTTCCGTGACGCCGAAGGCGAGGACTGCTTCTACTTCCTGCGCGACGTGCAGGCTGGGCTCTCACGCCTGCGCAACAAGGCCGACGAGCAGATCTCGCAGACAAACGACTTCGAGTTGCGGGTGCTAGAGCTCAGGGGCCCCGGGTGGAGGGTCGAGCGCCCGGCCCAGTTCACCCTGGACAGCGCTGTGACCTACTCCCAGCGCAGCATCGAGGCGATCCTCGAGCGCGTGCAGAGCGGAATCGCCGACCTGCTGCGGGGCGAAGACGCCGCCGTCCACCTCACTGCGTACAAGCGTGGTCATCTCATCCTCGATAAGGCCCTCGTCGCTCGTGACGACGGTCGGAGGCCCAAGACGCCTGCAATGCCGCGGGATATCGAGGCTGAGAAGAAGGCTCTGGTATCTCGTTTGGAGAGCCAGATACAGCAGGATCTGGATAGGATCCTCAAGGATACCTGCTCGCTCGACGACGTCTCCGAGTCCGACTCGGATGGAGAGTCGAACTTCAAGGCGCACATGGAGCTGATGCAACCCATCGAGATTTCGGCAAACACGATGGCAAACCCGCCAGTCAAGAAGGCCATGGCTGTATCCACAACCCCGACCTCAACTCCCCCTAGGCGCGCCTTCGTCGGAGTCGACAAGCCAACTGGGCCTCCCATCCTGGACACAGCGCGCCCGATGACTCCTGTCGCCCAAACGCCACGCAGTCCTGTCGCCCAAACGCCGCGCAGTCCTGCCACACAGCTCGGCGAGCCCTTCACTCCCGTTTCTGCCAAGTCCCTGTCGCGGGTCTTCCCTTTGGTGCCCGCCAAGTATACTCTTGGTTACTCGCGGGCCAGCAGCGACATGACCCTCACAGGTAGCATTGACGAGATCACGGTGCACTCGGACGCCGAGGACGATGAGGAGCTACAAAAGCGACCTGCTGTCGTCGATGCAGAGATGCTGTCAGAAGTTGACTCGTCTGGAGTTGTCCCGCCGGTCACGGTTGACATCGCTATTCCGGAGCAGGCGATTACCCAAGCCGATCAACAATCCGTGTCCGACAGTGACTCAAAGTACTCCCAAGACGAAGTCCTAGCGTCGGCAGAGCTCGAAGAGAATGCTGTCAAGAGATCCGTCTTTTCCAACGATCCTGCCGATTCTGTGATCGGAGAGGATGAGGCGGCACCTGTATCCCCCCAGAGCACCCGTCCCAACACCGCTGAGGGCGACGCCCCCGTCGAGCGGCTTCCCAAGTCTCCCGTAACTCCCGAGCCGGAGGTCAAAGAGGAGTCGGGAGCAACCAGTCTTGTTCTACATGACACCAACAGGCCTCTGTACTCGTCCTTTATGAGCTACGAGTCGTCGGTGCCCTCGACCCCAGGACTGAGTCAAGGAGACGAGTCCTCTCCGAGGCACAGCCTCCTCATCACGCCGACCTTCTTGAGGACGCTGTCTGGAGCTGTCCGTCCCATCATTGTCGGCGACATCGACAAGGAGGACGCGGGTGCCGCGTACGGCAACTCTGACGATGAGGTTATGGAAGACTCACCGACGGCAGACAGGCTGGCTATGAGCAAACGTAACCTCCAGGCGGAGCTTGCGGCCGCCGGGTCTGGTCTTAGCGACGAACACGGCTTCTCTCAGAGCAAAGCTACTTTTGACTTTGAGAGCATGGATGGCGAGAGCATCATTGCCGCATCCGGAATCCTGCCGCAGATCGACGAGGTACCGACCGAGGAGGAAGCCTCCGACTGTGGCGAATCATCGCCCATCGCCGCGGAGACAAAGGAAGTCGCATCCCTGGCCATACCGACACTTGCCACACCGGCGACGGTATCCGATATCAAGATGTCGGATGCCCCGGCCGAGAAGAACCCCGAAACCGTACCTGTGGTGGAGTCTCAAGAGACGGCACCGCCAATCGCCCCCGTCTCGGCCGCGCCGGCTGCCGACGAGCCTGTTCAAATTGCCGATCTTGAAAAGGAATTTGGCGACACTGCCTCAGTGTCGTCTCAGGACTCGGCAAACACGACCCCTGGAGGGGCAGATGTGCGCCCGGCCACGCCCATCTCGGAGGCTCTAGGTAGCCCAACCACTCCCCGGGCGATTTTGCAGGAGAGAAACGCCATCACCCCGCCCAGCCCGGCCCTCGCTCCTAAGGGGCGCGCCAGCTCCGATGCCTGGGAGGACCGCGACAGCCTGCAGGGCAGAGACTCGGTCGACACGTTCAGGTCTGAGAACGGTAACGAGGAGGTGACCGAGTCGCCGAAGACCCCGCCGACGCGCCGTAAGTCCTTTTCGACCACGACCTACCTTGGCCTCCACCAGGAGGGCATGGGTCTCGGATTCGGTCTACGGGACACATTGGTAGCCCCGAACCACTGGCCCGACGACACCGACTCGTCAGCCCCCGGCTGGCTGACCGCCGCCGCCGCCGTCGCCGAAGCGGCCGCCGTCGTCGCAGGGCCGGCCACTCGACGCACCCCGACCACCCCGGCCACTCCGCGTCCCCTCCTCAGCACTCGGTCCTCCTCCAAGGGGCTCAAAGTGCTGCGGCCACAGGTCGTGCACAGGCACACCACGAGCTCGGTCAACGGCTCGGCTACCAAGCCGCCCCTGCTCAAGAGGCTGCCCAAGGGCGCCAGGAGGCGGACCAAGTCGTCGTCGGCCACGGCGGTGCTTGGGGGCCGCAAGCAGCACTTCGAACAGGACTACGCGTCGTCGACCGACCAGGAAGACGACGGGTACGAGACCGACGACGGCGGCGTCATGCTGCCCCGCTTCATGATGCTGTTTGCCAGCATGGCTGTTGCCTCGCAGGTGCTGCAACACTAGGCTCATGCCTGGGTTTGGTTTACCGCATACCCCCCATATACATCCCTTTTTCCTTGCCTTACTCTGCTTTGTCGCGAACACGCTGGATATAGTCTGCTTTCTTTTTTCCTTTTCTTTTTTTTGTTACGACACGACCTGCGCTTGGTTACGATTCCCCACATCACGTAGAATGGAGAGAAAAAAATGAGATACGACGGGCCTCAAGGTCATGCCGTTTGATTGAATGGATAGAGATGCAAATCACGATGACGAACGAACGCGGGGGGAATGGGAGAGAGAGGCAAGTTTGAATTTTCGAACAGTCGCTTGGCTTTTTTTCGGCCATGGAAGCCTCGGGTCTTTGGGTACCCAGCAATTTGGATCTGAGTGTACATATTCGTTCATACTTTTTACCCCATTTACTGCGTCAACCTCGGCGGCAACGATGGAGGTTCGGCATCTTGATGAGCAATCTACAGGGCCCCGCTAATGACCACGTTTCTTTGTGCCAACACACCGAATTTACTGCATCGCAATGTCGCATGAGCTGCTAACTGTGGCAGTGTATATTGAGCCCGAAGTGACTCTGCTATAGCTCGTCCTTAATCCTGCCTCTTTCTGTCTGGCCTCCCTCACCTGGCTGAGACGCATCTTGGGCCGATTCGACCGTCTCCTCCCACATTCTCTTCTTGGGATTCGGCGCATCCGAGTCCTTGTTCTCCGACGGAGCAGCGACATCGCCGTCGTCGCCATCGATGATCCTACCGACCTTGTCCATAATGGAGTCGGAACCGGCCGAGTCCTTCCCCTTGTCGCCGCCGCCGTGGGCAACACTCACGGTGGGCAGGGCATCCGCGCCGCCGCCGCCGCCGCCCGCCATGCCGACGACGCTGGTGCTCCCGGACGCGCCGACGACCTCCATCCTCGCGGCGGCGGGCTGCCTGCTTCTGCCGACGAGGGCCAGGCCGCCGCCGACGCCCTTTGCGGCGGACCACCAGCCGACGCGGAGCGGGACCCAGAGGAACCACCAGAGCGGGCCGTACAGCAGGCGGCGGAAGACGAGCCAGGCGGCCGTGGCGAGGAGCAGGTAGAGCGTGGTGCGCAGGTACCACGTGTCCGACTTTTGCGAGCGCACGAGCGTGCCGAGCAGCGAGCGCGACGCGGCCAGCAGGCCGTCGAGCCCGGCGTAGCGGTCGTCGAGCTCGCGCAGCGCCGCTGTGCTCTCGGCCAGCGCCTGCGCCGCGTACGCCGACCGCGCCAGCTCCGCCGCCATGAGGTCGTGCGTGCGCTGCAGCGACGCCGTCACGTCCGTCGCCGCCCCGACCACCTTGTCGCCCTTGCTACTACTACTAGCGTTGTTGCTGCCAGTGCCGCCGCGGTCGTTCTTGAGCGTCTGTCGTCGTCGCATGGGCTGCTGCTGCTGGGCGGGGGCAGGGGATGAGGCACCGGACCGGGTCGTGGCAGCCGACGAGACGGGTGGTGTTGTGTATGATGCCAGCAGGGCGGCCCTCTCGGCCCGTAGAGCAGCGGCCATCCTCTCTCGTGCCGATAGTTGGGCTTTTCGGAAAGATATGCGGGAACTGCAACAACCATGCCACGCGTCAGACATCCATACGAAACAGCGTAGATGTAACGAGAGAGACAGAAAAGGGGGGCGAGTGAAACATACGCTTTGAGCTCCTGGCGCAGCCGGTCGGCCGCGTCCTTGAGGCGAGCCTTTGTCTTCTCGCCCTCGCTGCCAGGGCGGCCAGGGCGGAGGTCCAGCAGCTCCTCCCGCAGCAGCTCCAGCTCCTCGTCCGTCTCGCGCAGCCCCTGGGTGATGTCGGCGCCCAGCTCCGAGACGACGTTGCCGTCGATATAGCCGTCATCTTCTTCGCCGTCTGCCAGCGGCACCGAGCCGGGCTGCAACTTGAGGCCCGCCAGGCGGTCGATCAGCGTCTTGAGCTGCGACGTCGTCTCCTGGAGCTGCGCCAGGCGCTCCTGCAGGCCTTGGAATGACATGTTTCTTTTTGGTTTTTTCTCTCTTGTTCCTTGGGCGCGCAGAAGCCTCCGTGGCAAATGGTTCGTTTTCGACGTTTGTCCTTTCTATTTTTTCGGCGAGCAGCTGGGACGGACGGTGGTGGTGAAAGCTGGCATCAATACATTTGCATACGTCAGTCAGTTGGGCAGCCCAAGCCAGGCACCTCTCTCCTCAAAGACACACGCCCCTGTGGCGAGGCCAAAGTGGCTGGTGGGGTAGCACTGTCAATCCGGTGTGGCTCGTGCACGACCATCAAGCTCCCCCACGCACTCTTGGAATTTCTACAGCCCATCGCAAGCAGCAGGGGGGGGTCGGCAAAGCCAACCGAGACGCCCAAGTTCCCCTCGTCCTCTCAACCCAGACCCACGCCCACGATGAACCGCTTCGTCACAGAGGTCAGGACAAAGTTCAACCCGTTCTCGCCCAGCGCGAGGCCGGCGCGGCTGTTTCTGGCATACCTCCCGCCCGACGCCCGCGCCTCGGGCATGAACATCACCACCACTCTGCTGCCCAAGACCTCGACAGAGCCGCCATTGCTGCAGGTCAAGTTCAGTAGGTTTCCGCACGAGCCTACAACACGGGTGGGCTCATCGTCTTTGAGTAGCCTCCCTTTTCCTAACTAAGACTTCACACTACAGAGGACGGCAAGGAGATGAACCTCGAAAGCGAAAAGCTCGGCATAAAGGGAATCCTCGAAGAAATCGACAGGCATTGCAGAGTACTGCAGAAGCAGGCCGACCTAAGTGATTAAGGGTTTTGTGAAGGGAAGCGGGACCGCCGTGAGGCCACTTTCAAGTCTGGGCGTCTTGTGATGAGACAGATATATCAACACTTTGCCGCACGAGCAACCTTGGAGAGGCTGGTCAGCTGTGCAAAGCAGCAACGTATCACCCATGCAACAAAACGCGGCATGAGCTTTGAGGGTTTTCACGGCCTTGTACAGTAGCCACGTATGATACCCACGCCACAATGACAAACGGGACGCAGACATGAGATGAGATGAACCTGACAGTCTTGAAAGAGCCCAAGCCAACAAGCAATCATCCATAGTGCTTTTCTTTATTTCCTTTGGGTTCTGGTTGCTCTATCTTCACGACCTAGACGTTTGCGCCTCAAGAAATCGACATGATCAACTCCTCGGAGTAACAGGGCGACAATCCGTAGCCCACTTAGGCAGAGGCGCCGCTGATGAAGAACCACTTGTCGATGGAGGCATCGATCTTCTCCGGGGGCAGGTTCTGGTTGGCAGGCATGGGAGGCAGCCTGTCGGCCGGGATGACGCTGGGCGAGTGGCTAATGGCCAAGTTGGTGGTCGAGATGTTGCCAGGCTGGGTCTTGCCCGTGATGAGCCTCTCCCAGGCCTCGGAGCACTCGCGGATGACGTCCATGGCGTACCTGGATAGGCAATTGGGATTAGCATTAGCCCGAAAAACAATATGGCAAACGGATTGCTGGACGAGAGAGCAACTGACTTCTTGTTCTTGCACTCGCCCGTGAAGGCAAACTGGTTCTCAGGCTTGCCATCAGGGATCTTGTAGATACGGAACCACTCGTTGGTGGCACGCAGGAGGCCAGGCAGGTGGCGCTCGACGTCCTCGACGTCATTGAGCTTGCTAGCCAGAGGGTCGTTAACGTCGATGACGATGACCTTCCAGTCCGTCTCCTCCTCGTCAAGCAGCGCCATGACTCCGAGGACCTTGACCTGCTTGACCTGGCCGGTGTAGCCGACCAGCTCGCCGATCTCGCAGACGTCGAGCGGGTCGTTGTCACCCTTGGCCTTGGTCTCGGGGTGGATGGCATTGGGGTCCTCCCAGGTCTGGGGGAAGGCGCCGTAGTTCCACAGATAGCCCTTGTGGGGGAAGCAATTGCGGACATATCGAAGCTTGCCCTTCTTGATGTCTTGCTTGATGGGGTTGAGGAGCTCGTCCTTGGAGATCTGCAGAGGGATGGGAAGTGTGCGAGATGGTTAGCAATCAAACAAACGTGCTCGTCTTGGGTCAAGGGTATCTGATGGTAGGCGGCGAGCGCACCTCGAGCTTGGCGTTGGTCCAGCGGGGGATCTCGACGACCATGTTCAGGACGGTCTGCTCCTGGTTGGCGAACAGGGGGATGTCATGGAATGGCGAGAGCGGCACGCCCTCCTTCTCGACGTAGACGCGGTGCTCGAGCGTGTTGGGGGCGCCGACCTTGCGGACGGTGTAGGGCGAGGGCGACGACATGACTGCGGCGGGGGCAAGATGCCCAGCAATCTGCTCGGTGCGTTGGGTGAATATGGTGGCGGGCGTCTCGCAGCGGTTGTTGTTCCTGAGGCCAAAGACGATGTTGCAGCTCGACGACGGCGGCAACGAGGGGTTTGGGCAGGTTTTTCCCGATGCTAGGTGAGGACAGGAACCGCCACAGCCTGGGCTCATGTTTGCCGGAGGAGGGGCTGCAGCTGTTTGGGCAGGTGGGGTTTTCTGGGCCTGTGACGCCACCTCTCCTGGTGCGCCAGCCTTATTGGCCAGGCCCCTCCTGGTGGTGGTGTTGGCGGGCGGGAGCTTGAGAGCTGGAGCTGGTGCCGGTGCTGCGTTTGCTCTGACAATGGCCGTCTTCAGGCCCACGCTGGTAGCCAGCCGACGATGAAAAAGGCGGTGCGACAGCAGCGGCGGCATCCAGGCGCAGGTGAGGTGTCCAATGCATATATAACCAACCCCTGCGATACTGACCCTTTAGCCAAAGACCTCCGAAGCACCAGGAGGGAGAGGGAGGAAGGTCACGGGGCCGTAGGCCCGACAGCGGCCGGCATTTCGTCTAGACTCCGAGCTTCGGCTCATGACTCGGGTCAAGGCTTGTCGGCCCCCTTGCTGTGCATACGTCCCCTCATATCCTCAACATGGGAGCCATCACCCCCCTCGGACATATGGATCGGGTTGCCAGATAGCATGCGTGGGTCTACGAACCTTTATTACTGTGTATGTCTCTCTTGTCGTTCTTGGGCCCGAAGTGTAGTCGTGCGGAAGCACTGGTGTTCCATCTACTGTGTATTGTGATGTGCGCCACCCTTTCAGATTTGTCTCCTCTTTTTTTTATTTCTTATTTCCTTGCCTCGCACCCAAATTACTACGGACCCCTGCCTATGCGGGCACACTTCCAACATTAGCCTTGAAACACCTCTACACTTGCTATCAATTCAAGCGGGCATTGACACGTTGGAAACCTTTCCAAACCTTTCGCGGGGTTGGTTGTATAGGGAAAAGTATAAGAAAGTAGGGCTTCCCACTGTCCTCGATAGTTCTTGATAAATGCACTGGCATCAGTCAATTTAAGTTAGCTTCCAAGTATCCCTTGGAGCAAGCATTTAAACCTGCACCCAAAATCCCCGGTAAACTTACCCAAATTAACCCAATTACGTATTACTGCTTAGTATTCCTTAGATGCCCTACCTTAGGAGCAAAGGCCTGTTTGTAACACGGATCCTCCGGATTGGCTATCTAAGCGGGATCAACTTCCGGGCATAGGGTTCCCTTAGCCATGCCGCTTCCGAGATTTCGGCGTCGTCGATGCGGTATGCAGCGCCATCGTTACCCCACTCGATCAGCAAGACTCGCAGTACAGGTTCCGAAAACTGATTTCTTCGGCTTGCCAAGACAATGAACTCGCGTTTATACTCGCTTTTCGGCGTCGCGGTTGCGATTTCCATTGAGCCTGCAATGCTTCCGTCCGAACTTTTAATTTTGGCTCGACGTGTTGCCTTGGCATCGCTTTCGACTACCACGGTGAAGAACGCCGAGCTAGTCCAGAAGAAGGTAACTTGCGTTTCCGGAACCGTTTTGAGATGTGCTTTTATAAGTCGTGGATGATCTCTTGCAAGGTCGTCGGGGGTTACGGGCTGGTCCTGGAAGCGTTTCCATGTGGGCAATGCTCGGATCCTCCCCTCGTATGCCATTGACAACTCCCTAACGCGCTCGATTTGGAGAGGGGAATGGTTATGTTCGAAACAGAGGACTTCGGGGATCTCGCTAGATTGTCATAAGTCAGAAAGTGAAGGGCAAACGACGCGTTATATAGCCAGTTTGACTTACCCCAAATATTCGTCGAACCGGTCATATCCCACAGAGATGGAGGTCTCCCCAATCCACCCCATCCACGATTAGCTTGGAAAAGGAACCCTGACCTGCAAGGACGTCATGGGCAGCGTCGAGAGCTCTTTCGATCGCTCCTGGGCCGCGAAAGAACCCCACAACAAGCTCTACTCGAAATGGGAGCGTGGCAGGCCCCAAGTGAACGTCTCCCCTCTTCCAAGATCCGACAAACCCTGCAGGACGGCACGGAAGGCGTCGAAGACTTCCCCCCTGTAACTAAACGTCCTGCGGGTGTAGGTGGCCACTAGCTTCTGGTACGTCATCCAGTAGCGAAGCTCGTCGTCATGAGGGACAGCCCAGCGCCTGTTGCCCCGCCCTTGTCCCGATGCTTGGCTGGCGGAATGACGACCACTTCGCGTTGCTCTTCAAAGCGGGTTCTCGGATGGAGACCAGGAAGGCCGCCGTAAACGTTCGGAGAAGATGCAGCCACGACGGTGATGAAGAAAAAGCCATAATCTGGGCCATGGCGGCAATCTGAACCCCCTTGTCAGAGTCACCATCTTGAAGGATGCACAGCGCGTCGATCCAGAGATAATCAATCGCCAGTGCGTCGGTTAGCACTATCGCATCCTTGATCGTCTGAGGCAACTTTCCATATTCCCCGTCCACTAAGGATCCCGGCTTTGCCAGCCTATCCTTATTGAGGGTTATGAGTCTCAACTCCTGAGGCCCGCCCCAGACGTAGCTGAGGGCCATGTACCGGTAGTCGGGGATATGGATATCCTTTAAGGTCACGATGCATTTCTTCTTAACATCGACGAAGCGAATCAGGGGGAAACGGTCACCGCGCTGGTCGACATCGGCCTCCTCGCACTTGTGTCCGTGGTCCTGCTCGTAGATGTCGATCCAGCGGCGAACCCACCGCATGTCCAGCTGCAGGGGTCGGCGACGGCCTCCGAAGACCATTCTGTCGATCCCGGGTCGAGGGTCCGCAAAATGCTCATTTGCCCGGATACCTGCAGCGCCAACGTCGCACGCCTGGAGGGCAAAGCACAGGCTCCGCTGAGAATCGTCTTGGGTGGACGAGTCATCGGCCATGACGAGGATGGACAGTCGGCGGACGAAGTAGATATTGCCGCTCGGGTCGTTTTATACGCCGTAGAAGGACGTTTCCGCCCGACAGAGCTCGTATTCTCTGGTATTGAGCTCGTCAGGCCGCTGGAGCCTTGCATTCGATATGGCGTCGCCGATGAGGCGGCAGAGCCGGCAGGAAGGGGCCCGCCGAAGGATCTCGTAGAACGAACCGAGCGCCGTGGAGACGTGAGCGTCGTCTCGCCTGGGCTTGAACGGGTGCCGGCTCGTGTCCGCGCGGCTCTACTGCAGGGCGGGCAGGCCCGACAGCAGCGGGTTCCGCAGTGCCTCGAAGTTGATTTGCCTGCAGATGGTGCATAGAGAATCCATGTCTTCGCTTTACGCTGTGGCCGGGATGATATCGGTGCGGAATTGTCCTTGGTTATTTAAGCTGAAAAACGACTGGGGGAGGTTCTTTTAAAGCCCTGGCGAGGCTCTTCCGGGTCGCGTACCCTTCCTGCATCCCACAGGCACCACACCCACCGCATGTTACATACACCTTTCATCGTCCAGTGACTATGTCACAGGTCACTTTTTATTGTGCTACCTGTTTGGCATTCTGATACGATGAAAAGCAGCATTTCGCAACCTGTGAACTACCGGGCGGATCAGAAGGGCGAAAAGATACAAATCTCCGACTTGTATCCTCGTTGGTTGGACTGGATACCTTGGTGTGGTGCGGATGAGACATCATGAGGGTATTCCCTCAAGTGTGGTTAGGTGCCTGGCCTCTAAAAGCGGTGATAGGACTAGCAACACACTCTGAAATGGGGGGTTTGATTGGCTGATTGCCATGAGATCGGAGCAGGGCACCTAACCGCACTCAAATGGATGGAGGAGGCATGAAGGGAGCAAACACATTGGAGGAAATCTGCCTGATCGGGCCGATGTCAACACAGAGAATAAAAGTAAACGGACAGCCCTTCACGTGGCTTCTGAGAAAGGCCATGACAAGGTTGTGGAGCTCCTTATCAAAAACATGGCTGGCATCAGCATTCGGGGTGTATTTGGACGAACAGCCTTTGATTTGGCTTCTGGTTGTAGCCATGACAGGTTGGCGCGGTGGTTGAAAGGTTGAAAGAGTGGATGGAATGAAAATGTCGTGGCATCGGCTGGCTGGCTGGATGGATGGATGGATGGATGGATGGATGGGATGGTGGTGCTTTCCCTCCCCGGCTTCCTCCTTTTTTCCCTCCTCATCGTGTTCCTTTCCTCTCGAATCTAGTCAAATCACCGCAGTAACACAGTCTCCACTTGGCAGTTGCAAGCTACGAGTTAGCCAATGTGCATGATGGCTCGTTGAAGCGTTGAGATCGTCTCGAGCTCTAACATGACGGATCATCTCCTCTCGACCAATCCTTTTCAAAATAGACATATAAGCTAGGTATGGATCGCATCGCCATTACCGAAAAACAATATGGCAGGCCATTTTCAAACGCTGGTGTAATGAAGGACCCTCGATCGCTGTGTGATCCGCCAACCTGCACCTGAAGCGGTGCGATCTCGTGGTTTATTCCAGCTCTTGTCAGGGGTGGAAATATAAAGAACATGCAGATAAGGATATCGATCCTGTCCAACCTTGTTACCTGCTTCCAACCGCAGTCCCCATTTTGCCCCGTTTGGCGCCTCTGTCATGGCTTCATTTTGCCTTGGGCCAGCAAATCATCATCTCCAATGCCCGTATCGACATGCTGCCAGAGCGGGTGCGACGGGACTAGTCGTGTTGTCCCAGCAGGAGAGATCTGAGGTCATTCCACTGGGCCATACGAGGTGGCTGGCGCCTTTGGCACACAAGTCTCGCGCACTCCGAGGATTTGAAAAGGTCTGTATGGCTGTCCCTCGCCCACATGACCGCGCGGCCGGGCCTCTCCGCTGGCGGGTGTACCCTGGCCCGAGCTTGTGTGCCTATCGTCTGGGGAGGTTGTTCCTAGCGTACTGTGCACCCCCGAACGCGGGACCGGCGCCGCTCCACCCTTGATGGACGCTCTGGCGAACGATCATGGCTGCCGCCTGGTGAGCCGCCATGCGCTCCTTTTGCCGGTGCCTCTCCTTCAGGTAGCCGGCCGCCTCGGGGCGCATGCGCAGGATGCGCAGTATCATATCGTCCGACGGATCTGCCTGCGCCTCCTTGCGCTTCTCCTCCTTAGCCCGCCGCATCGTGCCCAAGTTCCGGCTCATCATGATGCTCTTGCCCCGCCGTATCGTCCCCATGCTTGCAAACGAAGGTCCGGCCGACGCCGCGCTCAGTGATGGTCCTAGAGATGCTGGCGCCGACAGCCGATTCGACGCCTGTGCCGCCTGCATCTGCTGCTGCTGCCGTTGCGCCGTCGCCGCCACCATCCGCTCCGACGTCCGTATCAGGTTGTCCGTGTCCTCGACGTAAAAGAAGTTGAGGGAAGCCAGCTCGTGCCACTTAGGCGACTTGAGGATTTCGGCCGGTACGCCTTGAGCCTGGCCCTCGTCGTCCTTGGCGTTGAAGAAATCGAACAGCATCTGAAGCCACTTGAAAACCAAGTCCATTTCGACTTGGGTGAGCGGCTTCTGGCTTGAAGGCTTGTCCGAGAGTGGCGGCACGAGTATGCTCTCAATCGCCATCAAGACCTCCTTCCAAAGGCGCGCCATGACTGCCATCATGGTGGCACTCGTCAGGGTCTGCTTCATAATGAAGAAGTTTTCGTCGAAATAACTGAATAGCGGCTTCAAAGCGTTCTCGACATCCTCCTGTGTTGTCTGCGGCACCCTGGGCGCCCGCTTTTGCCACAGAGACGCAACCGACGAAGCGATGCCACGGTTGAGGAGGCTCTTCAGAGTATCGTACGAGAGAGAAGCGTTGATGTGCGTAACAAGCTATGAGTGCGTGGCGTTTTCAAGTTAGTCGACATTTGGGCGCGAGAACGAAGGAACGAGAAAAGGGGACCGCAAAACCCTACCTTGTCCGTCACCTTGCGAACCATGTCCCTCTCGGTTCGTTTCAGATGCCGAAAGGCCTTGCCAAAATAGAACTGGATGTCGTCCCTCTCGCCCTCCATGCTGACCCGGATGAGCAGCCTTCCTTGGGTGTCTAGGTCGAGCCAGAACTCACGTGGCAGGTAGTCGGCAAAATGCTTTGGGTCCAGCTTGAGCGAGGTACGGCCGACAAAGTCGTGGTCGCCAAAGGTGTCATAGTCCCAAATGGTAGCAATGAGGTTGAGTGGCCCCTGCACGTCGATATCGACTGACTCGTCCCAGCGAGGGTTGAGGTTCCTCATCACAATTCGAGTCTTTGCGAGCCGTTTCTGGTACTCGTCACACAGCACGACGTACGGATCACTAGTTCCGTTGGGGTCGCACGCTTTGAGGTCCTCGGCCTCGACTATCTTGACGGTGAAGACGTACTTGGCCGACTTCTGGAAATGCTGCACCGGTCCATCCGCCTTCTGCAGCACGTCGGCGCACCCGTCTGCGTTCACCATTTTTTCGAGCTTGTCGAGAGCCTGCATGGCATACTCGATGTTGTTCAACTTGACAAAAGACTGTCAAGAAAGCAAGACGAGAGCCGAAGATCTACATTTAGCCGAGATGTCTTGAGAGGAAACACCATGTGCGTATCTTTACTCCCGCCATGAGAAAGTATTGGGGGGCAAATTGGGACTGGGCTACGACTGACCTCTGGATAGAACTGGAAGGGCTCAACCTTCTCCTTTGCGCTGAGAGCATCCTTTGCATATTGCATAAACCGCTCCTGTGTAGTTTTACTCGCCGCTGCCGCCTCTTGTGCCGTCTGCCGATCCATCTCCCGGGAAAATTTCTGCTCGACGAGCTCACAGTACCGCCCGATGCCGGCCGCAAATCCCCTAGACAGGGCCGTCATGAATCGGGCGTGGTGAACGTCGTCGTCCCATCCCAGCTGGAACACCTGGTCGACCGTCTGGTTGAACATGGCGAATATATCAATGATGGACACGCTGTGACGCTCCTCGTCTGAAGAGTTGGCGTCCTGGCCGTGGGACCTGACCTGGAACTGGTCCTGTTTGACTGCCTGTTCGACAAAGTCCTGCATTCTCTCCTCGGCCGATTTGATCCATCGCCACACGAACTCGTCGAGTAGGCCTTCGATGGAGAAGGCAAATGGCTTCCCGGGAAGCGACCTGACGTGGATCTTGCGAATCTCTACCAGCTCCTTGTAGAGGTCGAACCCGTCCTGCACATGCACCTCTTCGTTTCGCTCCCGTGCCACCTCTATTATGCGCTGAATAATCGCGCTTGCGTCCTCCTCGAACGTCGGGAATATCGTGTCCACCAGGGCGCCAAACGGCGACACGCCGAGGATCTGGGGGTTTTTGCGGTATCGCTTCTGGACCTTATCGCAGATGGCGACCACGCATTGCCCCAGCTTGACAACATGACTGAAGTCCCATTCCTCTTGTATCTCGGGTAGCTCCACCTCCACATACGACCTATACGTCGAGGCTGCTGCTTTGCGAAGTTCCCCGGTCAGGGTCTGGGCGTACTCCTCTGCATCTTCGGGGCGCTGCGAGAAGGCGTCGTCGCCGTGAACATTATTCATCAAGAACACGAGAACAGCGCCTATCGATGGCGCCTTGGGTTCGTAACAGCGGGAGAGGATCTCGAGCAAGTCGCGCAGGAGCGCATCGTTGAGCTTATGCAGCATTTGTTGGTAGGCCGACGTGTCCGGCAAAGACCACCGGCTCCGGGGTATATCAATGAGGCGGGTGGTATACTCTTGTATGTGTGGCGGTTTCTTCGTGTCGGGCGCCACCTCCTTAGCAAAGTCAAACGACGAGCTAAGCTCCTCGATCGTCAGGTCCTTTTCTAGGAACTTGTGTGTAACGACCTCGAGGAACGCTATCTGGCGACTGAACTGTGGCAGCCTCCAGTGCACAGCCAGCTCGGCCAAGAGTGCTTCGGACTGCGCCGACATTGTCAAGCAAGGGGCAGACTGGTTCGGATGCTGGACGTCGTGGAGGATTGTCTGGTGGACAACTTTCTTGTAGTACGCCCTCGGCTCGGGGGGAATGAAGGTGTAATGCGGCTCATCGACACTTCGTATGCTGGATGTGTCGTCGGTAGGTACGGACCCGAGGGTCATGGCCTGGTCGAAGCTGAAGGTGTTGACGCTGTCTGGGCTCGTGACCATTCTCCCGAGGTCCGCATATGCCTGGTCTTCGCTGTAGAAAGACTGGGGCCGACCGGGCAATGGCTTGCTATCGAGTGTAGCCGTCGAGGTCTTACTGAGCTCAGGCCTTGCCTTGAGAATTTCGAGCATGACCTGCGAAAGGAGAGGTCCCTCGGCCTTCTTCCACTCCTCGTAGCCCTCATCCACGTCAAAATCCTGCCGCCGCAGCGCGCCGTTCATGTTGGAGTTCAGGCGGTGCTGGTACGACTTGACATCTTTCAGCGCCATCTCCTCGGTCCAGAGCGGGAGGTTCGTGTCTATGTCGGCCTGGACGGCACCCAGATCGCGACCGAAGATGGTAGCGACAAACTGCACCATGGGCATGTCCTTGACTTCGTGCGTGTGGGGGATGTCGACCTCGACGAACTTGTGCTCCCCCTCCTGGCCCGTGTCGAGGTACAGGTCCTGGTCGTTGGTGAGGAGCTTCTTCTCGAGGGTGGTCAGGCGATTGAACAGCTCGGGCTTGTCCTTGTCGCTGCCGTGGTCGCGCAGGATGGCTATGACGAGTCTGACGAACAGGGCAAGATGTCTATCCACCAAGACCTTCCAGGTGTGGTCATCGGGAGCCTTTGCGCGGCCCTGGGCCTTGCTCGCGGCGGTGTAGAAGATGAGGATCAGAGGCTCGAGTTTGCGGTCCTTGTCAATGGTCTTGCGAAAGTCCTGAGCGGTGAAGGCCGTGTATGCCTCGCCAAAGGTGCGCTTTACGGCAGCGTCGCCGAAGCCGGGCATCCTCTCGATGCCCCTGAGCACACCCTCCATCCTCTTCTCCAGGGAGGCACGGAAGCTGTGCGGCAGCTTGACGTTGGAGCTGGAGCTGCCCGTGAGCTCCTTCATCAGCTCCGCGACGCTCGAGTTGTAGACCCTGGACTGCGGGCGCTGGACCTTGACGTATTCCTTGCGCTTCTTTTTGGGCTGCAGGAGGTAGTTCAGGTAGGCTATTCGAAGTGCGTAGCTGTAGGCCTCGTCTGCGGTGACGGGGTGCTGGGCGGCGCGCGAGGCGGCCCTCGAGAGGCGGCGGTCGCCATCCTGGAGGCTTTTCAGGCGCCTCGAGGGCTTCCACGAGCTCCTAGACGCCGTCGACATGTCTGCGGACGGGCGGGGAATGGCGAGCGGCGGTCGGGGGAGGGGATCGCTGTCTGGTTGCCGCCGACCAGGCAGGATTGCTCAGCATGGGGAGCAGCGACGGGAGGCGCTCGTCGACCAGCGGACACCAGACAAAGAATGCAGCAAAAACCAATGCGGCGTCGGCGGCGAGGGCGAGATTGGGCAGAGGCGAGCGTGGCCAGAAGCGAGGATACAGCGGTTTGAGCTTGTCGGGAATCGAACGTTGGGCAGGCCTCGCCCGCAACGTCATATGAGCGACGGGGGGGTTCAGGGTGGGCCAGACCAGGGCCGTCTGGCGTCAATGTGTGTGGTGTGTTTGGTGGGTTCGCGCGGGTGACCTCTGGGCCTGTATCAGATCAAATCAAATGGGATCAATGGGATCAATGGGTCAAATTGCGGGTTTTGCTAAACGCACGTCCCACTGGGGGTCGCTCCCTGTCTGCCACCCGACATCAGTGGCAAAGACAAATGGCAGCCCCTGACACTAACGCCCACAGGCTCGGGAGACGCACATAGCCGGGCGCCAGACTAGAGGGAATCTGTTGATTGATTGCGCATTGGTCTCTGCCAAGCTGCCACAGTTTCCTCTCTAACGTACCTGAATACTCGTCCCCGCAACCCTTCTGCTCCCAAATCTGAATCGAGTTCCAGCCGTGAGCCGCCGCGGATGCAACCTGAGCTGCAGGAGATGCCAACCTGATTAAATGACTTATACAGGTTATAAAAATAGCAAAGGTTACGATACGGGTCTAGCAAGGCCGAGCACTCAGCCGCGGCCCGCCTCTCAAGTGCTCCCTGTCCCCGACAAGCCTACTTATTTGTTATGGTCATGAGGGACTGAGATCTTCCCTCGTCCCTGAACACCCCTTCCAAGCGGGCCACAAGGGCGACAAAGCTGCTCTCGGCCCGTTTCGATAGCCCGGCCGTCCGGGCCGACAAGCCAGACATTGAGGGCTCCTCCAGCAAGACTATCCCCCCTCGTAGCCCTTGAGAACGGCCGCGAGTATGCCGTGCAGCTTCGCGCCGAGGAGCTCGACCTCAATTCTTTCCGTACTGCCCGCAAGGCTCCAGGAGAAGTCGTACCCAAGGCCGGGGTGCTGGAGGATGACGAGTTGAGGGAGCATGGCATCTACGCCCACTGGAGACACGCATCCCGGGCCGCATCTGGCTGCGCGGTGTCGCCGGCAAGGGCGACGCTGGTCGGGTCTCCATTTGTAAGTCACTTGGCCAAGTCTTTTCCAAGGGCTCCCTTGACCTGGCTAGCTTTCCTGGCCTGTCATCCGAGGATGTGGTGGACAAGACGATCCGACCCCACCTCGAAGCCATCCTTACCTCGGGGCTCACCGAGCTCGATCCTTTCAAAAGCGCCATCCAGAGACTCCTCGACAAGCTTGACATAATAAAGAGCCTTCCCTCTGGATTGCCCACTTCGATATCAACGAGGTGAACATCCTGGTGGACAGCAACCGTCAAGTCACAAGTATCATTGACTGGGAGCTCTCACGCCCGCTTCCATTCGGTGTGGGCTTTGGCCGCATCCACATCATCGCAGGCGAGTTCAACGAGGGCAAGTTCTACATGCCTGAGTGCTTTGTTGAGGCAGAAAAGGCCTTTTGGCATGCCGTGCGGGGCGGAATGAGCGCGGAGCGCCGGGAGCTGTTGGAGTGTACGGCCGATGTTGTGCAGCTGGCGGTTCTCGTCGGAACGGTATGCAGCAGTATCTCCCTAGAAGGGGGAAAGCTGTTCGTCTCTGGGGTGTCCCTCAGATCACTGGGAAAGTGTTCGAGCTACCGCGCCCCCATGGTAGGGGCGAGGACGAGCCGCCCTACACCAAGCGAACTGACTGCCCGCATCCATTTATCCCAGCTAACCGGGCGAGTCGAGGGCACCCAGTTTTATAGCATCGGCGGTGGCAGCTTAGTATGCGGGACAGCTGGGGAGTTGTCAACAGACTTGACAGACTTGTCGGCCGTCCTATGACTTGGAGACCGCTTGGACCAAATTCATCGAACAAGACATCGAGGGATTGGGGAGTGTTCCACGTGTAGATAGCTACAGTCATGTGTCCCGAAACCTCAGGTATTACTCTACCGTACACCCATCACCCTGCCACTACGACTCGTCTAGGTGCTCCCCCATGCCCGCATTCTGCTCCGCGATCCTTTGCCAAGACCGTCGCAACTCATCCACCTCATAGGCGACCAGCGAATCAACATGTTGCAGACGGATGAGCATCCTCTCCTCTCCGGTTGGGGTGTAGTACTCGTCTTCTCCGAGATTCATGGCACGGACGGTTAATAGTCCACCACTGGCTCTGCCAGTCTTCTAGCGTCTCCTCGATCACTGTGAGAAAGGACCTCGGGAAACTTGTGATGGACTCCTGCGAAACTGTATGCGAAATGGCGGTGCCGTTGGGCAACTGCCGCGAAAGTAAGGCTCGTGCAGCAATCTATGGCCAGGGAATAGGTAATCGTCCATGACCGAGACGGCCGACGTCAGCGGGCTCCGCAAGGTCCAGCACAGTCGGCGGCCCGCGGCGGAAACGCCGGCGCATTGGTTTAGCGGGCCCCAAACGGTGTCGGTGCATTTGGCGTCGACATTGTGAGGAAGCGAGACGCTGGTATCTTTTTTCTAATGAGGCGAAAGGGGGATAACTGCGGAAACCGCAGAACCCCGGGGGGAGGTTGACAGGTTGTGCCGATGACTAAAGCCGTGACAAGCACTGCCTTCCTTTGTCACGCACCAGCATTCCACCGTTGACCAACAATATCACGAAGCGCAGGGCTGCTCGTGTTGGTCGGGCAGATGACGCTTTGCCGCGCACGCCTGCCTGGCCTTTGATTTTGTCTCTTTGTTTTGTCGCGGGCTTTGATGATGACCCCTACCGACCAGTGAGGAAAGAATAGACAGTCTACGTTTGGGGAAGAACTCGTAAACGGCGACCTCTCGGGAGTCATACTGTCGACTGGGCCTCTTCTCCAACCTCCGTGCAACGTCGCCAGGGCGCCATAGTTCTAACATCCACTTCCAATGGCCGAGCAAATTATAAAGACAACCAAAAATAGCCGGGCAGCGAGGTTGCGGAAATTTGAAATAGCCATCAAGGCGGAAGGCCTGAAAACCCGGGACGTAGATGTCCAAATGGCCATGTATCCCAAACGCCGGTGTGCATTCTCCAGTGATGGGTACCTAGGTAAGTACGCTGTTGCCTTGATCATGCTTGTGGCTTGTTTGGTGAGACTGTTGCTGCGGACATGGTGATGCGTGTTCGACCAAAGTCCACAGTTGCATGTAATGCAGCCAGAACAGGTACACGAACATTGCCCTCGTCGTCGTTGTCACCCGTTCATTGTTCAGCCACGTACCGGTTGAGTAAAGCGGTGGGTGGACATGGATTTCTTGGCTGTTAGAAATGCCAACGTCAAGTGGGTGGGCGCGGAAACATGGAAGCCTCTCCATCTTTTTCTTTTTCCTTCCTCTCTCTGACACGGCCTCTTTTTGGGGATCCCTGGCTTTCGACTTGCCATCTCAGATCCCTCATGCGACTCAGCGATAAGGTGTCCAACTTGCATGGCTGCCTCGTGCGAAAACATCAATGTCGTTGGGTGGCCTGCATGATCTGCCCTCGTGTCGTGTGCTGTGGAGACCCTCCCTGCCTGCCTGCTGAGCGGCTGGTGCAGGTAGGTGACCACATACCCCTGACGTACCGACCCCGCCGGACGCCAGGGCGCAGGAACAGGGACCCAACACCAGACCAAACACCTCACCTGCTGCCCGCCCGCCTCAATGCCTGCCTGCTGTGCTGGTGTGCGACCGTCTCCCGCAGCCTCGCCCAAACCTTGCCAACCACAAACACCCACCGCCCGCAATCGCATACATATCCGCCCCCTCGGCCTTGCTGAGGTCCCGTCGCCCCCATCTCGCCGGCGCTCTTGCGCTTCGGTGTTTGCTCGCCTGCTCGCCTGTCTGCCTCGGTAGCCAGGGGTCACGGCGCCTCAGTCCGTCCGCAGCCTTCCATCACCCGTCTATCTTCAACATGGGTAACGTCTCGAGCCGGCCCGACGAGGCCGCCGCGCTGTATCTCCGCGACCAGAATCGATGTGAGTGCCCGCTCGTGCCCGCCCGAGGCCCTGCGACGGCCTGCCGATCCTGGGATTCGCTTCCCACTGACGCAAACACGACGCATCCTCTGCAGTATCCATCTCTTCCATCGTTGTCACCTCGCCTCGCAAACGCTCCACGATCAATATAGTTCCCAATGCGTTCCCCGCCAGCCGACTAAGCGCGACCCGCCCTCTTGGAGACAACTCCCCCGTCGAATTCGTGCTGGTGCGCTGCCCACCTGCCAGCTGCCTTCCTCGTAGCTCCCCCGGGTCTCGGCTGCTAATACGCCCGCGCTACCTCTAGGATACCGAGACGCTACAGTCCGCCGGGCCGAATTTCATGCTCAAGCTCTCCAACGACGACGAGCTTCACTTCACCTTCAACTTTATTATACGGCAGACTCAGACCTCGGCCGCCCAGCTGAGCTCCCCGGCCATCGGGGCGGCGGACGGCATCGCCAGCCCAGCCACGACAGACACCCACGTCAATAACCTCACCTTTGTCTATGCCTCAACCTCCAGAGAGGTCGAGAACCTGGTGACGAGAGAATTCCACGCCGACCCTAACCTACATAAAAACGCCAACGTCGAACTCGTTGGGGACTACTCCACCGACGGCAGCCCCTCGATAACATTTGAGTGGCCCTGGACATGGAAACCACCCAAGGCGTCAGAGGATAGAGGCGGAGGCTGGCGAAACTCGTGTAGTGTATGTCATGTCGCCCACCCTTGCGCTCGCACAGAGTGCGGCGCGCATGTCGCGCTCCCTGCGCACTTGTCCTTGTTTCCTGCTGACCTTGCGCTGTGCGCCGCAGTTTGTCGAGTACGACCAGCGCGGCCACCGGCTGGTGACCCTGGCCAGCTTTTCGTTCTGGGTAACAAGTATGTTCCGTCTCTCTTCATTTGTCTATATGGCTTTTGCGCCGCGGCAACCTTGGCTGCTAACCATGATCTGCTCTAGACTCAGCCGGTTATATGAGCCAGCCGAACTCTCCGGTCCCTCACTTCCTGCTAAACGCCCCGCCTAAGATTCGAGTCGCGTCAACGCAGTCGGTGGAATCGAGGATCAGTGCTGTTGACATCAACGAGCCGTCCTCCCCGCGGACTGTGGTGGTACACGAGCCCGTGAGCGATACGCCGCCCCCGCCCCCTACAGCGTCGACCCTGGCTGAGCCGGTCAAGGTCGACGTGTCGTGCCCCAGGCCTAGCGATGATGTGGCCGTGACCGACGACGGGCCAGTCTTCAGGGCCACCATCAAGGCGTTGGAGCAGAAGACGGGCAATATGCGCACGCAGACGAAGCGAATCATAAAGAAGGCTGAGCAGGCTCAGGCAGCCCAGGTCGAGGCCAATGACGCTTTCATAGGCATGATCGACTCCCTAAAAGAGGCCTCCATCACCAACGCGAATGCTGTGCGGCCTGCTATCGAGCATTATTTCGACAAAATCGCGCGCGAGATCCTCTACTACGAGAGGCAAAACGCCCTGAATCTACAGCGGATCATCATTGAGCCCCTAACTAAGCTGTACACCCTGGACATCAAGCAGGCCGAGGCCAAGAAGCGCGACTTTGAAGAGGAAAGCAAGGACTACTACGCCTATGTCGGCAAGTATTTGGGCCAGCGCCAGGATTCTGTCAAGACTAAGAAGCTTGCCGAAAGCGACAACAAATACCAGGGGAAGCGACGCAACTTTGAACTCAAGCGATTCGACTACTCCTCGTTCATGCAGGACCTGTCGGGTGGTCGCAAGGAGCAGGAGGTGCTCTCCCACCTGACCAAGTTTGCCGACGCTCAGACCAAGTCCTTCTTGAGAACAAGCAAGAAGATCGAGTCCCTGTTGCCGCAACTAGAAGCCTTATCCAATGAGGTGCAAGTAGCAGATAAGGAGTATCAATATCAGAGGCGCGAGAGGGAGGAGAAGCGCCGGGTGCTGGAGAAGAGCAACGGGGCACCGGCCGAGCCCGAGACCCCGCTGACGGCCACCATGTCGACGACTGCCCAGACGCCTTCGAACGGCAACCCCTCCGGGTCAGAATCCGAGCTCGGACGGGCGGACAGCACAGGCTCGCAGCTGCGCATGATGCCAACAAGTAGTTCTTCTGCCAGCACCGTCATCGGCGACCTCTCCAGATCACCAGGCAGCCTCGGCCACGCCAACGTGAGTGTGGGAAGCCCTCCCGCTCCGTCCAACAAGTTCAAGGGCATCCGCGACCTGGAGGAGAGGGATCCTAGCCAGATGACAGGCTCAGAGAAGAATGCCACGCAAAGGAAGGAAGGACTGTTGTGGTCTCTAAGCCGACCCGGTGGCCACGTCGATCCTCGTGCCGCACTCAACAAGCAAGGCTGGCACAAGTACGTCATCATACTCCTTTGCGCTTCTCCCTCCCCTCCCCCATATTTATGATGCATGCTCACGTAGCTAACACGGTTATTCTTGTATAGATTCTGGATTGTGCTGGACCAAGGCAAACTGTCCGAGTATAGCAACTGGAAGCAAAGGCTGGATCTGCATATGGACCCCATTGACCTCCGCATGGCGTCGGTGCGCGAGGCCAGAAATGCAGAGAGGAGATTTTGTTTTGAGGTCATCACGCCCCAGTTCAAGAGGGTATACCAAGCCACGTCGGAGGAGGATATGAACAGCTGGATCAACGCCATCAACAACGCCCTACAGAGTGCCGTCGAGGGCCGAGGCGTGAGAGACAAGCCATCGCAGGCGCCCGCAGACCAGAATGCCAGCTTCAGACGGGATATTGGGTCTATCCTCACAGGCAAGAGTCCCTCAGTCGGCCATGGCCACGCACACAACAACTCGATGGCCTCGGGAATCCCGGCCCGCCGTACTACGGTGGGAAGCGTGCCGGCAATGCGTAGGACCGGCTCTGCCGGCAGCGGCGAGGAGAACCCCGACAAGCTGCTCCAGGCGCTGCGCGAGAGCGACCAGGGAAACCTTTGGTGCGCCGACTGCGGCTCCAGCTCCAAGGTGGAGTGGGTGTCTATAAATCTCGGCATCATCCTGTGCATCGAGTGCAGCGGCATCCACCGATCGCTCGGCACGCACATCAGCAAGATCCGTTCCCTGACGCTCGACATCACCTCGTTCACCCCCGACATCGTCGAGCTGCTGATGCTTGTTGGCAACCGCGTGGCAAACATGGTATGGGAGGCCAAGCTGGACCACTCGGCGAAGCCCGGCGCCCACGCCACCAGGGAGCAGCGGCTGAGGTTCATCACGGCCAAGTATGCCGACCGGGCCTTCGTGGAGCCCATCTCGACGACACTGTCTCGCTACGGCACGCCCGACGAGACGCTCCTCGCCGCCATCAAAAAGAACGAGATTCAGCAAATCATTTATGCTCTGGCGCTCAAGGCCAACCCCAACGTCACAGACAAGTCCCGCGGCACGCATGCCATATTCTTGGCTTTGGCTGCTGCTAATCCCGCTCCCCCCTCTCCTTCGCCGTCCATGACGCCGCGAGCCGAACCAGAGAAGCCGACTCCCTTCCCTGTCGCCGAGCTGCTGATCCAGAACGGCGCCGAGATCCCGGCCACCATGCCTGCTTTCCCACTCAGCCTCGCGGCACAAAACTACCTGGAACTCAAGCGCGGACGTGCCATAGCCGTGTCTGCAGCCACATCTGGCCAATCTTCAGGAGGCGGTGGTATCGCAGTTGTGCCCGGCGCGTCATCGTCGTCGTCCTTTTCGTCAACCGCGACCCAAGATGGGTCTGGATCGACGCCGGCCGCCATGTCTTCGACCGAAAAGCTCGTACGTGAGCGCGAGGCGCGCCTACAGAAGCGGGTCAGCGCCGGGGGTCGCCTTGCGAAATCACCCATCCCTGAAAGGTAGGGCTATGGGTTGGGCCAACTCTGGAGGCTAGGCCGTGGTGGCTTGCGCCCGCGGTGGAGGCCGCTCTCGGCCAGCTGTCCATGATCATAATGGAACATATTTCTAGGGACACGGCCTGGAATGTGGTGCCAGCCAATGAACTCTGGCCTGAAGGATATAGGGTAAAGCGCGCTCCAAGCACCCTTCTATATATTTATTTTCTCATGTGTATTCGTTCGCAGCCTCGCGTCATCGCGCGCTTAATGTTTTGTTGCACTTCTCCGTTACATTTCCCCCCGGGGCTTGCTTCTACTTTGGTTTATTCAACTTATGAGCCCCCTGTTCTTTTATTTCTCTATTTCTTTCGTCCTCCCTGACTGGCTCTTGCCCTTGTTCACCCGCACACAGTGGGCGACGGTTCTGTTTTTATGCTTTATTGGGGTTTCAGGCACGTCAAGGTCTTCTTGGGCGGTAGTGTGCCGCTGCAACTTTGCGACGCGTTCTGCATAGGCGCTTTTTTTTTTTTCTCTGATGCGAGAAACGGTCGACACGACGGTACGACTGCAGACGCCCATGCCCCGAGAGCAGGACGCGCGGACTTTTGGTACGAGTATTTGGGGCGTGTGGATATCCCTTTCTTCTTATCGTTTAAAAATGGGACAACACGACGGCGGCTCGGCTTTGATTTTCAAAATGACTATGTGTTCTTTTTTTCGTCTTTTCCTTCTTATTCTTGGTTCGGCTCGGATTGGATTCCTCCACCCCTCTTCTTTTCCTTCACGGAGCACGGGTACATCCTGATCACCTCCATGTTTAATCACGCCCTGAGAATATCGACTGGACATCTTACACACTTGCTCATGTCCCCACTGGCGAGATACGAATTGAAGGGGCGTATCTTGCCTCCCTCCTGAGAAGTTGTTCTTGGTTTCTGTTTATCAGGCCCTCGGTGAGAACATCAATGGATGCGTCTCACTCTACAGAAATGGGCAAGGCGTGAGTCGTCGAGTTGAGGGTCTGACATGGCGAGGGCTCCATATAGGCATCTAATTACTTCCCACCTGGACACCTAGGTTGGAGGTTGAGAGGGCCCATGGGCTATGTGACACGTGATGCCAGTGATGACAGCCCAAACACAGCAGCAGAAGTTCATTTTGCGTGGGCATGGCATCCGTCCAAGGAGTCCATGACACACACACACACACACACAGAGAGAGAGAGAGAGAGAGAGAGAGAGAGAGAGAGAGAGAGAGAGAGAGAGAGAGAGAGAGAGAGAGAGAGAGAGAGAGAGAGGAGAGAGAGAGAGACGCAATTAAACCCATGTACACATGGGCCAGGCTAGGTTACAGCGTCAGGATATCCCCTCGAAGGCCTCAAGATCCAGGATGGATAAATATATTTCGCATCTACCTACGCCGGCACCGTGACGAGATGTACGATGGGTGATCAATCACCCAATTGTGTTCCTCCAGTATAGCTCCGAATGACGCCCATTATCCGTCCTCACAGGGAACAGATCCGAGCTCTTGCACAAGTCCCACCCTCCATGCTTTCTGCCAAATTCGGCGACGCTGACAACAAGTTATTTGTACACTGACTCCTTTTTAGCTTGAGAGAAGAAAGAGGAATAGAAATAGCAGGTGAAACCCGAGGAAGATGGCGAAAAACCAAACATTGAAGGGAAGGGTCCAACCGCAACCACCAACCAATAAAAAACATAGATTAAACTAAACCCACATCCTCCGCTCGAAAGTATGAGACACTCTGAAAGAACGTTAGCCCAAATATCGCGACAGAAAAAGAAAAAGAAAAAAGATCCAAAGTATAAAAGGAAGAAAAGGAAGCCCTGATGAAGTTCCAACAACGCCAAACAAAAGCTAAGGGCTAGAGCGAGATGACAATGATCATTGATTTGACAATTGAGGGTTTCTTGTCGGCCGCGCTTAGCGGGCCTTGTCTTTACCCTTTCCCTGCGCCGTCTTGGTCTTGGCCTTCTCCTCGCCAATGTCTGCTGACGGGTAGTTGCTGGTCGGGTCGTGGGCGAAAAGGGCTTCATCACCCTTGCCGCCAGCTTCCATGAACACACCGGGGTCGCGGTTCTCGGACGGTCTGGCTTCCCTGCTCGGGCCGCCGTTGGAAGGTCCAGCACCTGCCGTCTTGTCGGTGACGTTCTTCTTGAACACCTTGACTGTCTCTTGATTCTTGTGGCGGCCATTTGCGGGGACCTTGGTGACTTGGACGGTGTTTATTGAGGAGAGGAGGGTTCGCTCGCGCACCATGCCACGACGGTTGACCTCAAGCCCGGCGAGTCCGCCAACAAGCCCGTCAGTGCTATCGTGAACTGAGGGCCCGCTCTGGGTCATCCAAGGGTGGTTGAGACATTGGTCAACCGTATAGCGCTTCTCCGGGTCCACGATAAGCATGTTGTCGATCAAATGCACTATGAGTGACAGTTTTAGCGAATGATCACGAGATTTGAATAAGAATGGGGGATAGCCTACATGCTGGGTCGCCAACCGAGTCCCAGTAAGGCGAGGGGTAGTTGAATCGGCCCGTCCTGATTTGCTGCGAAAGGTTGTACGGGAAGCTGTCCGAGGTCAACTCGTCCGAGAAGGGCGGGAATCCACAGAGGCAGATATATAGCACAACGCCCAGGGACCAGACGTCGACGGCCTTGGTGTACCTCCGGTGCCGATTGTCGGCAAGAATCTCGGGGGCAACGTAGCTCGGCGTTCCGCAAAGCGTCGTTGTAAAGGACTCCTCTCCGATAATTTTTGCGAGACCAAAGTCTGCAAGCTTTACGTGCAGCTCCCGGTCCATAAGCAAGATATTTTCGGGTTTGATGTCCCGATGCACAATTCCTCGATCATGCTACAAACCGAAACCAAGTTAGCGCGAGCCACGCCATGGCTGCGGGGGAGGGGGTTTGGATCCAAACTTACCAGATACTTCACGCCATGGAAGAGCTGGGAAAAGAGCTTGCGCGACTCAGATTCACCGAGTTTCTGCTTCTCCACAATGAAGTTGAACAGCTCTCCCTCGGGGGCTAGCTCGAGAACCAGGTAGACAGCCTTCGGCTCATTGAAAGTGTCCTTGAGGCATAGGACGTTCGGGTGACTCACTCCCATGAGCACAGCAATTTCGAGCTGCAGCCCCTCGGATTTAGAGCTGCGTTCATCCACGCCGGGGGTCTTGGAGAACACCTTGACCGCATAGCGCTGACCTGATGACTTCTCAACACAGGCGAAAACCTCGGCAAAATGGCCCTTGCCGAGCTTCCCAAGGAGCGTATACTGTTGAGCGAACTTGCTGGTGGAGCGTGACTTGGGGTAGCGGAAAATGAAACGAGCCCTGTCCTTGACAGCAATCTCGTCCTGCTCCTGGAGCTCTCTGCGCTGGTTGCGCCCGACGATGGCCTCGTTGACAAACGTGCCATTGCTCGAGAGATCTTCAAGCACCACGACCGTGTCATTGCCCTTGTGCTCTGCGAATATTAAACAGTGCCGGTTGGAGACAATCGGGTCGTCCACAACGATATCTGTGAATGCCATGTTAGTACATATACCATATTGTGACAATGCCACGCGGGCTAGGACGAAGGGAATTCATAACTTACCGCATTCCGGATGCCTGCCGATAAGATATCCGCCGGAGGGTAGACCTAGATTTCCATGCATGTTAGATGCGGCGCTGTCGTCTTCCCTGCTGTGGGGTCCCATGCCCTTACCCTTCTTCGCCTTGTCGCACGGCTTGTCCTTGTCCTTCTGCTCATCCTCGCTGCCCTTGGGAAGAGGACACGAGCCGCGCTTCCGCAGAACTATACAGCGGCCACCATACCTCGTGTCCAGGGGGAAAATGTAGCCCCAGACACCCTCCTTCACTTCATCCTCGACCTCATCGGACAGTGCGGCCTGGGGATCGACCAGCTGGGACGGAAGAGCTTGTGTGTCGTTCAGTGGCGACGAGAAGCCCTGCTGGGCCAGCGAATTTTGCGCGAGAGACAGCGTCTCCTCGGGGGAACGGTGCACGACCTGGCTCGGGCGGCCCTCGGGCGGCGTGACAGTGCCCTCCTTGTAGGACTGAAGGCTGTCGTCAGTAGTAGAGTGGGTGACGGGTGATGGTAGATGCTGCTTGTGTGAAACGGGCGTCTTTTGGCCCTCGGGGGCGTCGCCGTGCTTGTGCGAAATTCGCTCCGAGCGGCGTGGCTTCTTGAACGACTCGAGCTCGGCGTCGGCAGAGGGAGAACCCTTGAATATGGCAGTTAGAAGACGCAGCGGGTTCATGCGTTTGGCCATGGCAGATGGGAGTTGGTGCCTAGAATGAGTGCCGGCAGGTGGTGATGGTGACGACATACCCGAGTCCGCTTCAATTGGCTGCCCTCGGCGCGCGGAGCCATGGCTTTAAGGTGTGAAGCGCGCAGGGGTCGAGGAACGACGACGTGGTGAGCAACTTGAGCCAAGTCGCTGGGACGTTGATGGTTTTCTGCTCCTGGATGCCTGGTGATACCTTATGGCCGCGCCCTTTTTTTTCGTGTTTGCCAGAGGCCACCAGGTTGGGTGAGGGAGAGCGGCTTGGTTTACTTGGTTGGCTGCTGCACTTCCTGGCGGCAGCCTAGCTTGGGTCGAGGTCCGAGTCTGGGGCTGGGGCTGGGAGAAGCTCGCAACCTAGCAAGGGGTCAACTGCGGAACCAACACGCCGTGTGGAGCAGCTGGCAGGGAGCCGCCAGTCAGCCACGGCGATCAAGTGATTGCCCGCTGGGAGCCTGGTGCACTTTGGAGTGACTCAGGTGGTTTGGTGGATTTGGCAAGGCTTATTCCCGCTCCCTCCCTGCGGCTCGACTGACCAGGCACGCGGCCGCTGGATCCCCAGCAACATGCTGCAGGGGTTCACAGCTCCTGAAGCACAGCCCAGCAGGACATCAATGCACGCCTCCAGTGCTTGTGGATGTGTCGGCGACGAGATCTCCAACAAGCGCACCTCCATGGAGCTCCCTTCCACCACCACCAGCATGAAGCTTGCTGAGACAAGGAGGGCAGGTGATTATTCTCCGTCACCATGCCTGACCGGCAAATATGATTCATATGATCTGTGGGCGAACTCATGATGGAGAATATGAGATCATCAATCCGCCTTCTCGATCTTGCTACATCACCAAATGGATTTCGAGAAGGAGCAGGCGGCCATCACCCAATTAGACGCATCGCAACCTTCATCACGACAGGCTCCGAGGTGCGAGTTCTCAGCGGGCAAATGATGGGTCGGTTGATTGGCAAAGGCACGGTTGCGGTCGCAAGTCCGCGATCAACGAGAACACACCTCCAGATGAGATGGGAAAGGGTCGGGCCGGTTGATCGAGGGACTACGATGCCCGTTAGTTATCAAAGCCCTGAGCCATACCTACATCAACGCTAACGACCAAAATTTGCTGTTGCATGGGCCCAATTATGCACCACTTCCCGACGACAATATGTAGGAAATTTGTGTGTTGCGGGGGCTACAAGGGTCGAAAGAACTAAATATGGACTGTAGGCAGGCGCAGTATGTATGTTATGATGGAGATATTAGAGATCAGCAGGAAGAGCCACCTCGGGCTCAATTACAGCCTCCAGCGTGAGATAATTGACTTGCAGGTCCGGGCGCCGTCGAGGTTCCATATGGTTTGCGCTCGCCCTGCAGCCTCTGCCCCACAGGCGCTCAGAACACCAAACTGTCACCGCCTGTGCTCACGTGACATCCCACCATTTTCTGCCATTCTGGAAAAAAATAACGGCAGCGCAAACAACTGCGAGAGGTGGATATGGCGAGGCAAAGAGGGGTGGATTGGCCTGTGCAAGTCAGTCAATCACGGTTCATGCCCAGACTGTAACACAATCCGCTGGCGCAATACCCTACCCTAATATCCGTCCTATCCCTCTCCCGATTTGTGTTTCTCTTACCGGAGTCAATCACCCCCCTCGCCGTCCGCCGTCGAATCCCGACCCGGCAGACCAAGCCCCGCTTCCGGCGACGAGGACCCCCGAGGCCAAAAACCCCCCAGAGCCCGACACGAAGCCGACCTCGCGCGCTCACAACCGCTGCCGACTAGCGAAGCCGACACGATCACCCCGCAGACACGATGGCGGCCACACAGCAGCCCCAGCTGGTGTTCGTCGATGGCGCCTTCGCTGAGCTGGCCCAGGACATGGCCAACCTGCTCTCCATCGGCGACGAGGTGAAGCCGCTGCTGGAGAAGGAGCAGGAGGAGGAGGCGCTGGCCAGTATCGTCAAGGCCTCGACTAGTCTCAACTCCATTCCCGAGAAGGAGTTCACAGGCGCCTACAACGCTCTCGTCTACCTCGTCCTCCAGTCCAAGGAGCCCAAGAAGCATCTCCCGACAGTCTGCCAGAACCTGACCAAGCCCGTCACGTCATCACCTCAACATGGCGCCCAGTTGGCGCTGTTCGAGCTCACCAGCATATTCAACCTGCTGAAGCCCGCCGACCCTGTGCGCTTCCACGTCCTCATTCAGGTCGTCCGCTTTTACAAGATCCACAACCTGCCCATCTCAGAACACCTGAAGGGCGCTTTGAAAAACCTGCCGAGGTGGCTTGAGACTTGGGAGAGCTCCGAGGAGGACTGCAGGAAGATTTACCTCGAGGTTGTCGATATCATGACGGCAGCCAACGAGGAAGAGTGAGTCTCACGGAGAAAAGACGGCACAACAAGGCGACGTGATTTGTTTCGTAGCTGACACGACTGGTTTTGGTAGGGAGGCTTACCAGCATCTGCTCAAGGCACTCCGCACGTATGACGCAGACGAGGACGAGGAGAGCTCCTCAGAGGAGGCACAGCAATTTGCGCTACGGGCCGTGCGCATGGCCATATCGTCACCCACCAGGCTCTCATACGAGGACCTGCGGCCGCTTCAGCCGGTCGAGGCACTCCGCGAGTCGCACCCAGTTCATTTCCAGCTGCTGGAAATCTTCTGCGAGCGGGACCTGGACGACTATGACGACTTCAGGGAGGAGCACGAGGGCTTCATAGAGAAGGAGAAGCTCGACCACGATGTGCTCTGCCGCAAGATGCGCCTGCTCACCTTTGCGTCCTTGGCGGCCTCCAATATGCAGACAAGGGAGATTTCGTACAAGGATATCACCAAGGCGCTGCAGATCCCCTCAGAAGACGTCGAGATGTGGGCCATCGACGTGATCCGCGCGGGCCTGGTCGAGGGCAAGCTGTCGCAGAAGAAGAACGTTTTCCTGATCCACTCGGTCAAGTATCGTATCTTTGGCGAGAAGCAGTGGCGCCAGCTCCTGAGCACGCTGGAGAAGACAAAGAAGACGGTGGGCGGGCTCCTCGCCACCTTGCGCAAGGAGGAGGCAAACGCGCAGCAGGAGGCAGAGCGCAAACTGGTCGAGACGAGCGGCCAGCAGGGCGGCGGCGGAGACCGCCAGAGACGTGGTGGGCGCGGACAACAACAATCTCAGCGTGAGCGCAACGACCGCGACGACTAAGGCGGGCTTTATGGGATCACCTCTGGTCTTTTTTCATGTGCAAAAGAGAAGAAAAAAATAATACAAAATTCGACTAGACAACGCTGCCAGGAAGGGTCAGGATTATGTTTAAAGTACCAACCCACACACTTTTCGCGGAGTTGGCGGGGCTTGGGGTAGGGCGGTTTCCCATGGTCGTTATAGAATGGCCAAGTTCAATGGGTGGCGCTTTTTTTATACGGCAACTTCATACCTCGTCTCTCCCTATCTGACATGATATTTTTTGGGGAGGGGGGTTCAAAAGGCATTAACTTTACGTTGGTGTTCATTTTTTTTTGAGAGCCGAACGAAGGATGGCAACGCGAGATTCATTCCACAAGGCGGCTGAAGCTGTATCGACACGATCACTCCCAGGGGATGATGACATCATGATACTTTCGACTACGCAGCAGCGGGGGAAAGCGGCAAAGAGAGGAGTGAGCAAAACGGAGCCAAGCAAACGCCACACTGACTGTCTATGATGATGGAATGTATCTCGCCGTTGGCGGCTGTTTATTATGGCTAAGGTATGGTATGTTGTATGCACAAAAGAACCCGTCTATCGAAAGAACAATGGCGTCCGCAGGACATGTGGTGATAGCTGGGAGGAGGAGGAGGAGGGGTGGAGACCAAAAGCCCAGCGATGGCGGGGGCTCTAGAAGTCGGGGCCGAGCCGGCTAGCGAGCTGCTTCCTGGTCTCGGCATTGACGGCGTCCGGGGCGGCGGTGGCGGGGATCTTGACGACGCGGCCCTCGCGCTCGTAGTGGTCGACGACGGGCATGCTGGTCTCGACAAAGGTGCGGAAGCGCTTGCGGATGCTCTCGGCGTTGTCGTCGGAGCGGCCGCTCGTCTTGCCGCGGTCGAGCAGGCGGCGCTCCATCTCGGCCTCGGGACAGTCGTAGAACAGGACGAACTTGGCGGGGCACACGGCCTCCTCGAACTTGAGGGCCTGGTCCATCTTGCGGGGGAAGCCGTCGATGAGGAAGCGGGGCTTCTTCTTGCCGGCCTTGCCGTCTGCGGAACCGCCCATGGCCTCCTTCATGGCGTTCTCGAGCAGCTGGATCGTCACCTCCATGGGCACGATCTTGCCGTCGCGTATGTAGTCCTTGATGAGCTGGCCGAACTCGGAGCCCGGCCGCTCCTGCTCGGCGCGCAGCAGGTCGCCGGCCGACAGGTGCGTGAAACCGTACTGGTCCACCAGGCGCGCGCACTGGGTGCCCTTGCCGGCCCCGGGCCCGCCGAGCACGAAGATGACCGTCACGTCGTCGCTGGAGAAGGTCGGCGTCGTCTTGGTCGCCGTGGGCAGCCGACCCGCCTTCTTGGCCTCCTCGATCGATGGCATGTCTGCTGGTGGCGGAGGGGGGTGGGGAGAGGGTTGAACAGTCAGATAACGAGAACCGAAACCAAGCACTAGAGAGGAAGAATACGCGCAGACGGAGAGCGGTTTGCGTTGAGCTTCTCTGAGGCAAGTGCCTTTGGAGAGACGAGGATTGCTCGCAGAGGAAGAAAGAAAAGGGTGGGCAGAAGCCGGAAGCGATGAACAGCATGCGCCAGCCAAGGAGGGGCAGGACTTGGACAGGGTCTGGTCGCACCACCCGTTTGCTGTCTATGGGCGATGTTGGCCGTTCGTGAATGGCTACACACCACTGAAGGTATGGGCTAGCGTCGCATGACGTAGCGGAGCGGTTGCATATTCCGGCTGGCGGCTGCCACCTTGCGCTTCCTTGAAGCAAGCATATGCTTCCAGCTCTCTCCCCCAGTGGGCTCATTCTCAACTGCGCTGCAGCCGCCCCCAACACCCTCGGCTTACCACCGCCCAGCCAATTGCACAACAAAACCACGGCGCGAGCTGGCCCGTCCAACTATGGAGGGGCTCCAAACAGACGTGTGGAGGGGAGGTAGGCGTGACCGGACAACCTCGTGTCCAAGTGCCACCCAACAACCTAGAAAGCTCTCAATCTGTAGCACTCACCTTTCTCGTTCCTCTGGTTGACCAGCATTATGTACGTGCCGCTCGAGAGGGCAATGACGACGAGGAACGGCCAGAACTTGATCCCACTCTGCGGCGGCGGAGGCGGAGGAGGAGGTGGCGGCGGCGGAGTCGAGCTGTAGGGTCTGCTGCACCGTCGTGCTGCACTGGCGGCGCGGGCCTGGAGTCCATTGCGACTGCTGCCGCTGGTGGCTACACAGCGCTGCTGGAGGGTCCGAAGGCCAGTCGTTTGCAAAGTAGGTGCAGCGTGTGTCCTCGCCAGCTGCCGCCAGAGGGAGCGTGGCATCGAAGCCCGGGCAGCCATTTCGGTCCGGCGGTCCTCACTGGGATCTGGGTGCGCTGGAGCTCGGATCGGGGGTGAGGAGGAGGATTGGGAGGATTCGTTTTCTGGTATGGTGCCTTGGGCTGGCAGCTTCGACTTTCTCGGGTTAAAAGTACAAGAACAAAAAAAAAAAAAAAGGGAACGCCAGGTGAGCTGCTTGTTCTAGGTGCGTGGCATTGGATTCACGCTCCGACTCGCTCAAGCATCAACTCGGGCGGGAGCAGGGATTGTTTATCGGGTGCCCCTGAAGGTTATCGTCCATCCCGGTCGATCTGGCCGCCACTGCTTCTTGCTTGCTCCCCACAGCTGAATGGAGCTCAAGCACCAAAGGAATCCACCTCACAGCCCAAGGCCTGCTTCGTGGAGTGGCACACGCTGTGGCTTGGCAGAGCCAACGAAACCGCCCAAAATATGCCAGTACTTGTATCCAACACTATCAAAAGGCGAGCCAGCCAATTTATGGAGACACGGATTTCTTTTGTCTCTATCGACTGTGATATACCTACGTGGTAGCTACCTGGCTTCCAAGGCAGACCACCCAGGCCGTCTTGTTCACAAAGACACACATTCTTGCCATACTATACATGTATTCGTCTGCATTAACACGATTGTGGAAACCTCCCAGCCATTTGCCTCCCACGCGCCTTCATTCGAGGCCATATCCGCATTGTCCCCTCCAAGATAACGCCGTTGTGGTATAAAAAAGAGAATAAGAATGAGCCCGTATAAAGAAACCGGGGTCAAAAACGCAAAGGGTTCAGCTCCGCTGCACGCAGGAGAGAAAATGGTGTTCTAGAAGTGAAAGGAAAGAACAAAGGAAAAGGTGACAAAATGTCAAGATATTCAAGATTTTTTAATTTTTGAACACCACTCAACCCAAGTCAGCGACCAGGCTCGGCATCGCGCCTCACCTGAACGTGGACTGGTTTGGAGGCGGGCTCTTCACCACAGCGTCGGCGTATGCGCCGGGGATCGGCACAGCGTCGTACTGGGCCTCTCCTGGTGCTTGTGGTGCGGCGGCGGGCGCTGCAGCGGGTGCGTAGAAGCTGCTTGCGGGGCCGGCTGTTGATGAAGCTGGTGAGTCGAAGCCGTTTTGTGCCGTCTTGGGTGTGGCTGATGGGGCCTTGACTGGCGGCGCCTGGAGCTTGAAGGTCTGGGCCGGCGCCGCGGGGCCAAAGGACGACTGCGGCTCGGGCATGGGCCTGCCGCCAGGGGTGAAGGGCGACGCCTCCTCGATGTCGCCGAGTGAGCGGTAGGCCTGGGGAGGGAACCGTGGGGACATGGCGTATTGAGAGAAGGCAGGGGACTTGGGGCCAAAGCCAGGGGTGTTGGGCGCAGACTGGGTGCGGAGCTGGGCCAGGTAAAGATCGGAACGGGCCTTGTCGCGGCTGTCCATGGACTTGTGGAGCTTGCGCTTCGAGTAGTAGCGGTAGAAGACGATGCTGTAGAGGATGATGGCGATGACCTCAATCACGATTTCGATTATGATGCAGACAAAGGACCAGTTCTAAATGGCGCACGGTTAGTCAGGATGCTCAAGATAGACGCGGTGTCCATAAAACAGTTTGACATACCTGGAGACGGCAGAGGAGCGCGTAGTCGACCTTGTCGTCGTAAAGCTCCGACCTGTGGTTCTGCACACAGGACCAGCCCCACATGTCCTGGTTGCCGCTGTTGCTGCGCTGGCTCTGGAAGACGGCGGCGGCGATGACCCACATGATCATGCTGAAGATGAACCAGCCGACAGCGAAGAGCGTGTAGTAGACTCCGACCTTCTCAGCCCGTCGGTGTCCGCCACGGCAGTAGGCCCAGAAGACGGTAATGCAGATGCAGAGCGAGATGCAGGCGACGGTGAGAACGAGGATCTGCGGCCAAGGGTTCGTCGTTGTCGACCAGGAGGGCATGCCGTTCTGTGTCGGCAGGCTCCGGGTGGCGTTGAAGATAGTGAAGGTCGTCGATATCATGGCGAGGATGATCAGACTGCAGCTGAAGTTGACTCCGCGGAGCGCAAACTTGGCCATGCGCACTCGGGTTTTGATTTTCTTAAGTCCGTGTGTTAGCGGCTTATTCCCTGACCATGGACCATTCCAAGGAGCTATCATACCAGATCCTTCGCTTGCATCACGTCCGTCGATGCTTCCCTCCTCTCCAGGATCTGCTCCTCCCTGAAGGTCGGGCTCAAGGGGTTATCGATCTTGCGCGCGGGCATCCCTGGTGCCCTCATCGCACTCTTGAGCGGCGACATCGGGGTCATGGGGACGGCAGTAGCCTCGTTGTTATTAATGTATCCGAACCCCATGTCGGAAGGCTGTGCCTGGGCACGGTAAGCCTTCTCATCATCGAACGGCTTCTTCCCGGTGTCCTCGATGGGAGAGTGGATCGAGGTGGCCTCGGCGAAGCGAGGAGTCCTCGGGTTCTTCAGAGACGAGGTCGACGAGGTCGACGAGGTCGAAGACTTCCGGATAGGGCTGAGGTTCAGAGCGGCGGGCCGCTTCTTCTCGTCACCAAACGCCATGGTGATGTATGTGTCTGTGCTGCAACGTGAAGGGAAAGTAAGGCGCAAGAAGTGCCAGACTTCTGTTGGACACAAGTGGGAATGGTTATATGGGATGGGATCCCAAGGTGGTAGCCGTGGGCATGCAGGTTAAAGTGCTTGCGAGGCGCCGCTGTTCCCGATGGTGAGAAGAGGAAATGAGAGACCAGCTGTCGAGGAGGCAGAAAGATCCAAGAATGGATATGGCTTGGGGGAGGCCAATGGTTTTGAGTAGGCGCCGACAGCCCCCAGGGCGATATAATTTGGCTTCGTGGTTGGCCCCGCTGTATGCGCCGGGTTAGCGGGCGGACAAGACAGCGAGCGGGCAGCCGGAGTGCGTACCTTGGACAAGGGGGTCGAGTCTGGCTCCCGGCGGCAGCAGCTGATAGGGCAGGTGGCTGGATTCCCCAATACTAGTCGAGCGAAAATAGACGCCCGAGCAGGTGACGGGGTGGCGTCTGGGAATTACACAGGCTGGCCCTCTCTGCACGATCGGCCCAGGCCCAGCGCGTGATGTTGCGAGTCTGAGGTGCGTCGGCGGTTGTGCTTCTCGATGCCGTGTTTGCGAGGCGCCGCTAGTCTTGGTTTTCCGGTGGCCAGCTCACTTGTTGGTCTAGTCCCGAAGCTCTTGCAGTCGCACAACGCTGTCGTGGAAACAAGGAGGAGGGTCTGGGGGGAAAAGGGGATGCAGACGAAGGAGGGATATTCCAGCTATACAACCACCTAGATAAACTGTCCTTCGAGCGGGCTGCCAACAGAGACGACCAAAATGAGGGGTTGGCCCGAAGGTGCATGAGATTTTTTCGCGAGTGAGCAATGTACCCTCTCGGCACGCATGTAAGGTGCTCAAAATATCCATCACTCTGCCCTCCCCCGTCGCTCACGATCCTGAGCGGATCGACGGGAAGTGTGCGCGGGTCGCCCACCCTGGGAGGCAGGAGCGGCGCGAGGAGGCATTCGAGGGGGGTGAGGAGCTGGGAGCCCGTCGTCTGCCGCCCCAGCTGGGAGTGTGCCATGCCGGAACCGCCATCTGCAGGCGCGAGGCACTGATTGGGCCTGGCCGCCGTGGCACTCATCGTCGGCTGCGCTGTGATAGGCCGGCCGGCCACACCAAGCTGGGCCGGCAGGGGGTTGGAGGGCGAGGGTGCGATCTGGTCAGCGGCAAGAGCTGCAGTTTGCGCAAGAAAACACCCTCGACAGCCGGACTCGACTGAGGGGAGACCTGCAATCCTGGCCCAGTTGCCGCCCTCTGCAGGTGATCGGTCCCTGGACCCTGGTCGGTTGCCCCATATTTAATCGGCCACTCGGCCAATCCCTGCTGGTCGGCGCAACCCCAGCCTGCCAGTCTGAGCGGCGCGAGCCCCTGATAGGCTAGCGGCTGAAAACGAGTTTGGAAGGTTTCCAAGAGACCCAGCCAATGACAGCTGTGGGATTGTGTGACGACCTGCATGAGGCCGCTTTAGCCTGGCGGTAAGCGACTAATCCTGGCTCACATCCGAGAGAAGCGGCCCCCAGCAATGACAAACAGAACGTGGGAGACTGGGTGACGGGTGGCACCATGCGACGAGCAAGACGGAGGGGAGCATGGGAGGTAGGGGAGCTGGTCAGCCCGAGCAAAGCGGCCCAGCTGGGCGATCACAACCCCCTCTGTGGCAGGACTGGGCGGGAGAAGCTGGATTGAAGGGAGATATGCTGGCTGGGTTGACTTAGTGACGCGGACAACGGGCAGTCATCCGAGCGAGCGACCGTTCCAACCGACCGACCAGCCAACAAAGGGAGGAAGCCGTCTTGGTGCAACCCCTCATCCCATCGTGACACCAACCATCGCCACATCGGTGTGGGTGCGAGGCGGGCGGTTGGGGATCCGAAGGTCGCAGGACTTTTTCTAGCTCCATGACGACGATTGATGACTGAGGGGGCACGAATACCCTGAATAGAAATAATCCACCACAAAAACTGATCTTAGTGGAGAACACATGAGTGCTGACACTGCACTCACCAGGCAGTCGATCGCAGTACAAGCTGCGCGGAGGCGTCGAGGTACAATACCTGACGCCAACCAAGATCACCTCCCCGTTGCCCGCATATGGGCCCCAAAAAGAAAGCAGTGATAACCAGGTGGGGCTGCCATGGTTTTGGTACGTTCAATCAATATTTCCCCGAGCCTCGGACGATGCGAGCGCTATAAGAGCCCCGTCCCCACCCGCTATGTGACGACTATTTCCGTTCATTGAAGATGCATGTGCCGCCCTGGTTGCAATCTGGGTGAATTTGGGATTCTGCTCGAGACGGTGGGTGGTGTGGGTGAGTGACCGAACCCCCTGGAAAGGGAAGGTTTGTGCGGTGCGCGTGTCCAATGTCAGCACGGTTGACACATCCTCTATTGGCCCGCCGCCGATGGAGGCTTGGCACTGTCGTCGTCCAGAAGCGGTGAGAATGCGACCTCACCATCTCACCCACTCACACCCAGCCTGACGACATTTTGTGCGCCGAGCTTTCGCCCATGTGTTTGTGCATCGGGCTAGACCCTCCGGCTGGCCGTAGCTATATTTAGAGCTGCACCTACCAGCCTATCGAGAAACCTCCTCTCCAACCAATGCGGGAGAAACGGCCGTGCCTTGTTGGCCGGGCTTGAACTCGCGGGTGCTGTTTCCTGCCGCACCACCACTCTCATCTCCCGACACAAATCGGGCGTTCCCGGTCTGGGCCGCATGGGAGTGCCGGCTAGCGAGATAGAACGAGGTTTGTGATAAAAACCCGTAGGGTTTGTGGGATATCCGTGCGTTCACAGAAACAAGACCCTTTTTGTTGGTGATGTATAGATGTTGTGCCCAAGTCATGCATGGTGCTCCGGGGGCCCAGTGTTTATTTACCCGGGTACCAAGTCAATATGCTAACAAGTTGCTGGCTCGCGTTGCCCTTGTTTCTTTGTGTGTTTATATGGAACGTGGTCGTTTCTGATCTGGCAGAGAAGAAGGTCCTCGGGCGTGCAACTCCTGTGGGCACCGTTGTACTGGCGTTAAACTGACACTCTGACACTCTGAAGAAAAACAAAACACCGGATGGGTTCGTGTTATCAAGAATGAACAGTCCAACAAAACCTGTGGCACAGGAGGGCCCTCCACAAGACGGGAACTGGCACCACAACCTCAACCCTACATTTCGTGGCCGGCACCGAGTGCTCTGTCTTCCGTGACCGACTCCGTCTCGTCTCGCCGGAGCGGCGGGGCGCCCCGGTAGCTCTTATCGATGTGTTATCGGGGCTTATTAATGTGGGAACCCGATGCGAGGTACATCCCCCACTGAGGTTGGGCGGGCGGACTGGAGGTTACCAAGGTACCCCGCGAATCGGGCAGTCCTCCCATTGAGTCATGGAACAGGCAGGTCGAGGCTACACACCAAAATTTCCAAAAGGCGGCGATACTGTAAAATCTTGGTCGTGACTTTGAACCTACGAGCCACGACACCCAAACCCCCACGAGGCCAACGACGCCATCGTCAGCCGCAACGCCCAAACGCCAGCCCGACCTCATCCGCTGTCGACCTCTTCCCCCCGCACATCCCGGCGCAAACCAAGTCGCGAATTCTACCCCACCATCATCATGGCCACCAACGGCGACAAGTTTGGCAACGACGTGGAGTCCGAGTCTGACTCTGGCCCCGACTCTCCTAACCTCGATGCCCAGGACCTTTCCGACAACGATATCGACGACAAGCCGCTCAAGTCGGCGCTGAAGAAGACTGCCCCGCCCCCTCCAGTCCAGCGGCCCGAGCTGCCGCCGCAAACAGACCCCAAGGACCTCGACGTCAGCGCGCTGAATCCCTTGACTCCCGAGATCATCGCGAGGCAAGCAACCATCAACATCGGTACCATCGGCCATGTCGCCCACGGAAAATCCACAGTCGTCAAGGCCATCTCGGGCGTCCAGACTGTCCGCTTCAAGAACGAGCTGATCCGCAACATTACCATCAAGCTGGGTTACGCCAATGCCAAGATCTACAAGTGCGACAACCCAGAGTGCCCCCGGCCCAGCGCCTTCCGGAGCTACAAGAGTGAGAAGGAGGTCGACCCTCCTTGCGAGAGGGACGGTTGCGAGGGAACCTATCGCCTGCTCAGACATGTCTCGTAAGTCTGGTTCGGGGCACCCGCTGCCTCGCCCCGTAATATCGCAGCCAGCGCACATGAGTATCTCTGACGTTATCCCGCCGAGACGTAGCTTCGTCGACTGCCCCGGTCACGATATTCTCATGAGCACCATGCTGTCAGGAGCCGCCGTCATGGACGCCGCCCTCCTACTGATCGCCGGAAACGAATCCTGCCCCCAGCCCCAGACTTCGGAGCATCTTGCTGCCATCGAGATCATGAAGCTCGAAAACATCATCATCCTGCAGAACAAGGTCGACCTGATGCGGGAAGAGGCCGCCCAGCAGCACTACCAGTCTATTCTGAAGTTCATTCGCGGTACCGTTGCTGGAAAGTCGCCCATCATCCCCATCTCGGCCCAGCTGAAGTTCAACATCGATGCCGTCGTCGAGGCCATTGTCAACACTGTCCCCGTTCCTCCCAGGGATTTCTCGATGGACCCGCAGATGATTGTTATCCGCTCCTTCGACGTTAACAAGCCCGGCGCTGAGATTGACGATCTCAAGGGCGGTGTTGCCGGTGGCAGTATCCTCCACGGTATCCTGAAGCTCGGCGATGAAATCGAGATTAGGCCAGGTATCGTCACTCGTGACGACAAGGGAGACCTCCAGTGCACCCCGATTTTCAGCCGCATCGTTTCCCTCAACTCGGAGGCCAACGACCTCAAGTACGCCGTGCCCGGTGGTCTTATCGGCGTCGGCACCCGCATCGACCCCACCCTTTGCAGAGCCGACCGTCTGGTTGGCCATGTGCTTGGCCTCAAGGGCCGCCTTCCCGACATCTATAGCGAGATCGAGGTCAACTTCTACCTGCTCCGCAGGTTGCTTGGTGTGAGGACCGCGGACGGAAAGCAGGCCAAGGTCGAGAAGCTGGCCAAGAACGAAGTCATCATGGTCAACATTGGCTCGACGTCCACCGGTGCCAAGGTCTCTGCCATCAAGAAGGATGCCGCAAAGCTGATTCTCACCAGTCCTGCATGCACAAATATCGGCGAGAAGGTTGCCCTGAGTCGCCGTATTGAGAAGCACTGGCGTCTTATCGGATGGGCTACCATTGCTGCGTACGCACCATCCCTCTCCTTATGTAAAAGTCATTCTGTGATGGCCATGAACGCTAACTTTGTAATAGGGGTAAAACACTCGAGCCGACGGCTTAGGTTGGGTTTTCTTAAAAATGGGCACGGTGTAATGGGGATGGGAACGCGTCAGGCAAAAGCATTTGGGGGCACGCACTTCTGCAGTTCAATGTATGGGCAGGAAAAGGACCCGTTCTCTGAAATCTTGACAGGTAAACCACCAAGGCTGGGGCATGCGATAGCAGCCGAACTCATGGGATGGCCGCACATAGAGATGCATCCCCGTGCGAGTTTTCAAGCTTTCACTAGCCTCATCGTTTCACTATTTAGCGTCTCGGTCTGTGACATGATTAGTAGCCGGGGCATTTTGGCCGGTAACAAAAGCCAGGGAGGCCAAGGTTGAAATGTTCACGTTCCCTGCATAAAATCCTGCGCTCCGTATAAACGAAATGGCCGGGCGAGCTGAAGGCGCTCAAGGCCCTGGGAGATGGCACCCATACGTCTCGGATCAGGTTTCTTTGGGACCTAGTACGGTGGGGAAAAGAGCTAGCGATATGGCCAAGATCACCAGGGAGAAATACACAAGACTTAGGGAACACACGACGCCCGAAGAGTGTTTGTACGAAGCAGGAAACCATGCCTACAGGATAAACTTCCGGTAATGAACCCCTCTAGCACTTCGAAACAGGAGGCTTTTATTTGGCTGCCCTATTTCCTCACTTTCCTGGCATGTTTGACGAGATTCTCTATCACGCCCTCAAACGCTTCCCGGTCGCCAATCTTTTCGTCCGTCTTCTTCTGCCAGTACTCGAGCATCTCCTTGGCCGAGGTCTCCATGGCCTCCAGCTTCTTCACGTGCTCCCTGAGCTCCCGGTCCGTCATGCCGTCCAGCGCCTGGTCCGTGGTCATGCACAGCTGCTTGGCGGCGACCAGGTCGAGCGTCGGCTCGGCGGCCGCGCCCTTGCGCTGCTTCGCCGAGCCGCCGCCACCGCCGCCGCCTGGAGAATCCACGCTTGTGCTCGACGCGTTGGCGTCCGACTGCTTGAGCTTCGAGGCGCCCGAGCGCTCGTCAGTCGATGTCCGCAGGGAACCGCTGCTGCCCGTCCGGTGGAGGGAGGGCAGCACGAGCTTCTTTTGCTTTGATGCTGGGAGGATCTCGTCCAGGTCCACGGGCACGCCGAGGGATACGAGAAAGAGTCGCCGTATGCGCGACCGGATCCAGTCGGGTGGCTGGAGTGGAGGAGGCGCCACCAGCTGTGCCCAGAGGGAAGCGCTCCTCGGGGTCTGGAAGATTGGGTTGTCTTTGGGGAACGAATGGACCACTGTAATTTCGTCGTCGTCTGGGGGGTAGATAGCGTTGAGGTATGGTTCTGTGGCGGACATGACCTCACTGGCGTCCATTCCTTCAAAGTCCGGTATGGGCTATGCGGAATAGTAATGTCAGTGAAGGCGAATAATAGTATTCATGTCGTGAAGTAGGTTAGGAAGCCAGGCGTTGTGATCCGGTCGACCAACGAGATAAGGGTAATCGACACTTACAAAGGAGGGCGTGTATTGTTGCGGCGGTGCAACAGCCGCCGGAGGAGCCGTAGCGGGCTCAGGAGCAGGTGGTGGTGCCTGGAAGCCGTCGTCGAAGTCGCTAAAGTCGTCTTCATCACCGCCGCCACCTTCCTCAAAATCGTCAAAATCGTCCCCAAAGTCATCATCGGCGTCGTCACTATCAGCTTGGGTCTCCGGGCGCTCGTCCGGTGCTTCATGCCCGGCTGGAGACGGCGGGTCGGACGTCGTGCTCATCCCTTCTATCGGTGACTTTTCCGGTGCACGATCTGTTGGAGGTGATGATATAGATGGTGCTATTGGAGTATCTACGCCAAGAAAATCCGTCAACATGTGTGCACCTCGAGAGCGAGGAGTAGGAAGACTGCGAGCAAGCAAGAGCTACACTGTCGTACCGGCCGCAGCGTCGCCGTCATCCTTGGTCTTCTCCTCAGCCTTCAGCACTTCGTCCGGCTCAGGATCCGACCCGTGGTGCTTCTCTGGGTGTGTGACGGACCCAATCGAGTCCGGCGTCTCCTCCACCACGGTCCGCGGAATCGGCTGTCCGCCGGGCGTAGGCGACTGTGATCCAGCCACCCCACTCGCGGGTTCATACGCCGGGGTGTCGGGGATTACAGCAATCTCGTCCGGCTCGGCGTCGCCCTCCCGTTTCTTATACGCCTCGGTCCCCGGGACCTCGCCGTAGGAAGGCTCATCGCTGACCTTCTCTACACGGAGCCTGGGGAGGGGCGAGCCCCTGGACTCGGCGGGAGCCGACTGCGCATCCGAGAAGTGGTCTTCCGACTCTGACGACTCTGGGCCGGCAAGTCAGCAGCTGGTCCCGGGACACGATCCAGGGCTGGGTTTGCACCGGGCGGCGTGGTCTCACCTAGCCCATGGGCACCTGGGTCCTTGGTGTTTGTCCTCTTCGGAGGAGTCAAACTATCTCTACGACCTGTCATAACGAATGCCGGAACTGCAGAGATGCGTTGACGGCTGTCAGATGCGCATCCGCGGGCGAAGACTTGAGGCCAAAGCGACGAGGACCGGTGTTTCGAGACGGGCCGGGCGAAGAGCTCGGACGGGTGGTGTAGTGCAGTATCTGGGCGGCTCAGGGGTGGAGGGAAGGAGGGGCGGGATGTTGATTGAGCGGATAGGTGTGGGCCAAGGAAAGGCCTGATCTCGACCACACGGGCACGTTGGTCTAGGTGGTGGCAGTGGCTCAGGGTTCGGGAACAAGCAAGAGTTGGCCCTGCGAGAAGACCAACTAAGGCAAAGCTCCAGCGAGGATCAAGAGCAAAAGCGATGAACGGTACCGGTGGGGGTTGGAGCGGCGGCCACAGGGATCAAGTGTGCTCCTGCCTTAGCTGTTCTCACTGTTCTCACTGTCCTCGCTGACGTCGTGGGTTCGAACTCGTCCGCTCACGAATCAGGCGTCTTGCAAGCCCGCACGGCTGGGTCAAGGAGCCTCGACCCAGAGCGGATTATCTAAGCAACTTTGGAGTGGGGCCAGAAAGGTACAAAGTGGGGACAAACATTTTTGATCCACATCAAGCTGCCAACCCCTGCCTAGACTCAAAGGCTCTGGAGTCCAGCGCGTCGCGCCCGACTTGCTGGGTCTTGTCAGTGGAAACAAAAGTTGAAGTCGGTCGGTGCTGGCGCAGTCTCGCAACGCCGACGCTGTTTGATTCCGTGAACCCGCCAAGTTGACAGAGCACATATACCCCAACCACTCGTCGCGCGCCGCTCTTTGATCCGGAGCTCTCGAGCAGTTTGCAATCTCTCCCTTCAGCTCTTCTCGACTCAATCACAGGCCATCGTCTGCCTCCTTTGCGTGTCTGTCTGGGTCACAATGTCTTTCACCTTCGGCGGAACCCCGAGCTCCAGCGCGGCTGGAGCACCAGCGACTACCGCGCCATCCTCCGGCGGTCTGTTTGGCGGCGCTTCTGGCAATACGTTCAGCTTCGCAAAACCGGCGACACCTACTACGGGAGGAACTCCTACTCAGCCTAGCGGTGGACTCTTTGGCGCTTCGAGCACATCAAACGCGGCAGCGAAACCCGGCGGTCTTTTTGGCGGTGCATCCGCAAATATGTCATCAGGATCATCAACCCCAACTGGAGGCGGCCTTTTTGGTGGTGCGGGCGGCACCGCTGGTGGTGGCGGCATGTTTGGAGCCGCTGCGAAGCCTGCCCAGCCCGCCGGTGGTGGTCTTTTCGGCAACCCGGCGGCAGCACCTCCAGCCTCGTCCGCCACTGCGGCCCCGTCTCTGTTCGGCTCTACTGCTCAAGCGATGGGCTCCTCACTGGCGCCGCCTTCCAGCAGCCTCTTCGGCGGCGCATCCTCAACGCCGGCCAAGCCAACCATGTCGATGCCCTCAACTACACCGGCCGGTGCCCCTCCGGCAGCCTCGAAGCCCGGCCCCAGTTTGTTTGGCGGTGCTGCTTCCCAGATAACTGGGGCTAGCTCCCTCTTTGGCCAAGCAAAGCCGGCTGCGACCACTGCCAGCACAACACCGGCTGCCAATGCTACAGCCGCGCAGCCCTCAGCCTTGGGCGGCGGCCTTGGTGGTGGCCTCTTTGGAAACACGGCTCAGAAGAGCACGACAGGAGGTGGTTTGTTCGGAACTGCTGCTACTACGGGGGCCTCATCTGCTGCTTCCTCTGGTCTCTTTGGTGCTAAGCCGACGACCTCTACACCCGCCGCCCCAGGCTTGCTTGGAGCTGCAAGCAACGCCGCCCCGTCGTCGCAAGCCCCAGGCGCGTCGGGACTGTTCGGCGCTAGCTCAGCACCAAGCGCTTCTGCGACGGCTGCCCCCGCCGCTGCCTCAAGTCTATTCGGTGCTGCAGCCGCCACATCCAAGCCAGCTGCCACTGCCGCATCCACAGCGCCTGCGATTTCGACTCCCGCCTCGACCTCTTCGTTGTTTGGGGCGCCGCCTGCGGGAACAACAGCGGCCGCTACTCCGGCTACGACCGCCGCAACAACTGGAAGCTCACTTTTCCCATCTGCGGCAACGACTGCCGCATCGACTGCCGCCCCTACGACTACACCAGCACCAGCGACTGGCGGCCTCTTTGGCTCAATGAAACCCGCCACGGCTACGCCTGCTGCCGCGGCTCCTGGCGCAGCTACCGCTCCTTCAGGCCAAGCTGGACCCGCAAACTTGAGTAACTCGACAATGGGCCCGGCGTCTCAGCTTCCGCGACTCAAGAACAAGACCATGGACGAGATCATGACTAGGTGGGCGACTGATCTCAGCAAATACCAGAAGGAATTCAAGGAGCAGGCCTCCAAGGTAGCCACTTGGGACCGGCTGCTAGTTGAGAACGGAGAGAAGATCCAAAAGCTGTACCTTGAGACATACGAGGCGGAGCGTGCCAGCAATGAGATCGAACGCCAGCTTCAGTCGGTCGAAAGCCAGCAGGATGAGCTGTCCTCGTGGCTTGACCGGTACGAGCAGGAGGTGAACGACATGTTTTCTCGCCAGGTCGGCCAGAGCGAGCAGCTTGCCGGTCCTGACCAGGATCGCGAGCGCACATACAAGCTTGCCGAACGGCTGACAGACCGGCTCGATGAGATGGGCAAGGACTTGGGCAAGATGATCAAGGAGATTAACGACATATCCGGCACTATCAGCAAGGGCAGCAAGCCTGACGATCCGGTAAGCACTTCCCTGTATCGCACATGTGGTCTTCGTATTCTCTGGACATTGCATTGTTATGAAAGCCTGCTAACCTAAGCATTACCCCCCACAGCTAGCCCAGATCGTCCGCGTACTCAATGGGCATCTTAGTCAATTGCAATGGATCGACACCAACGCCTCTGCCCTCCAAGCCAAGGTTACGGCAGCGCAAAAGGCCGGAAACACAGCCGGCGGCCAGTATGGAAGTACTGATGGCGACGCGGCCGACAGCTTTTATCGCTCTTTCATGGGGCGGCGATGAAAATCCGACTCGCCTTGTTGATGTGAACGGGGCGTGGTCAAGGTACTGGTGCTGGATGAGAACAGAACCCGACTACATCTCAGATGTGATCCAGCGCGGTTTTCAGGCTGTGAGCTTGGTGACATGAACACCATATCTGTTCGTCTTTGTTTCTGAGTTGTAATACCAGACGGGGCGTGTTTAGGACATCAGGGGAATGAGAACCAAAAAAAAAAAACAAGAATAATCAAATGGGATGGTCGATGGATACACGTGGATTATGTACAAACAAACTACCGAAGCAGACAGATGCTTGGACTGCTAGAGAGGAGCAATATCTCACAGCGATAGACTGCTGTCAGGATATATTTCTGAACAGAGGCACTGGTACACGTGGCATGGATGATACGTGAATATGGTTCGGGAACGAAATAATGCGATCTCAGTTGACATCTGTTGTCGACATGACGGTCGCCGGAAGTTCAACCCTTCAGAAGGGGATCCGGCCAAAACTCGACATTGGTTTCCAGCTTAGTTGTGCTCTCCACCCTGATCCTTGGTGATCTCATCGCTGTGCATCGGCGATTATAGGTTAGTCTCGGCTGCCGCGGTAGAGGGGTTCCCAGGGGCACTAAAAAGTTGGGAAGACAGAAAAAGGCCAAGGGAAGGACGGCCGTCCTCGGCACGCACATGTGGTCCGAGAGCTGCTTGAGGTGGTCCTGCTGCTCGGCGAGCTTCTTCTTCAGCTCCATGAGCTTTTCCTTCTCGCGCTGGCGGATGGCGTAGTTCTCGGCGGCCTGCTCGCGCTTCTGGAAGGCATCACTGCGGGCGGGAGGAGGAAAGCGACGATGGACGTGGTAAGCTGGGTACTTTTCGTGTACGGAATGGCCCAAGGCGGGCTCGAGGTTCCGGTCCGGACGAGCCGCGAGGGTGTTTGCTCCCCACATCCCGAGGCTGGCTTCCCAAAGAAGAGGTACCATGGAGCTAGGGGTAAGGATGAGGGGGAGCTAGGCAGAACTCACCCGCCGCCCGTCTTGGGTATAGAACCAGTGTCGCCCTCAGACATCCTCAGGGCCGAGGTCGTGAACGCTGCTCGGGAGGCCGGGGTAAGCTGCAGGGCGGGTCTGGCGAGCTTGGTGAGGGTCTGGCGAGCGGAAAGCATTTTTGCGATTTTGCCGAAGAGGGGGGGTTGTCGGAGCTTTGGGGAGATGTGAATTGGTTCCTCTTAAGAAGAATGTCCTGTCAGCTATTGTTTCTTGGTGGCAACAAGCGCGGGGGGGTTGCGCCAATGGCCGCAAGTGCGATAGGTACCTTATTGGTGCGGGTGTTGTGGCTGGTTGCGTTGCTGGTCTGGAGGGATGCAGTCAACGCTTGTGCCGCCGACGCAATCAGATTGACGTCGTTTATACGGGCTGGCACCAAAGCTGCTCGGCGGGCCCGGGAGGGTCTGTGCTCCACCTTTTTGGTTGCGAGGGGGGCCGTCGTGGGCTGAGAATGGCCTGAGGCAGCGCGGCTGTTCCAGCTCAAAGGCTGGGGGTCATGTGGCCGCTAAAGGCTCACCACTACTCCAACAGCCCATCCGCGGGGCGACTGGCATGAATGACACCCATGGCTGGAAGTGGTGGAGCTCTTGGTAGTCACGTATTGAATTGGCAGTTCAGGCGTTCCTCAGAAAACACTGTTTTCAAGGCTATTTCCACGAATTCAAGACATTGATCCTTAAAGCTGACAGTTTGGGTACATACTGGCACGCAAGTCTGGTTGACCCGGGGTGTCATCCCCTTGCTGGGTATGTTCCAATGGGGCGGCATCAGGGATGCTAGATACATCACGGTGAGGAGCTGGGGTGCTGGCTGGTAAGAAGCTGGGTGCTTAGGTAAGGCATTCATATGACCAGACCATCCGCCCCGGGTGAGCCTTACCGCCGTTGGAGTCCCGAAGGGACAGGCGGATGCTCGCATGGACAGAGACAGGGCCATAGAAGCATAGCACTTGGGACGAGGCAGTCTTGTACACACTCCCTCTCAGCAGCCGACCTCCTACTTCTACATATCTAGGTATCTAGTAGGCAGGTAGGTACCTCCTTACCAGGTTGGTAGTTTGCTGCAGGTCTTAATGCCAGGTCGAGAGCCGCACGCATGACTGAAACTGCAGCAATGGGGATGAAGATGGGCCATCAGTCAAGGCGGAGCACGCTTGGGCGTGGACTGCTGCATGGCAGGTGGCCGGCTGGGACGCATCACGTGCAACGACCGCCAGCTGATTCGAGCCCAGTCCGCCCGTGCTTGCCTACCCTGGCACGCAATCCAATTGCTGGTCGGCCCTGCTGCTGGGCGGCAAGCCCCTAAAAGTCGGGGCTCGCACGCACTGGGGCAGGCGACCGCTGGCCATGTTTAGGTGCGACTCCTCCCATCAAATCCATCCAGCCCAAATCCATTCCCTCAAATTCCCCTCCATCAACACACAGCCAAAACCCGCCTCTCCCCTTCGTTCGCAACGCAAATCCGTGGCTCGGCCAGAAAGTCCAAGGTGTGTTTTTGTTTGCCTGCCCGCCCTCCCCGGCTTCGCCCTCCTGCCTCGTGCCCTCGTGCCCGCCAGCTGACCGCGCCGTTCCGTTGCCTGCGAGGAAGGTATGTGCTGCTCCCGCCTCGGCCCTGGGCCACCAATTCGCCTTGTTGCACCCTCTGTCGTCATCGCGCCTGCGCCCACTCGCCAGCCGGCCCCCCCCCCTCAATCAAAGCAGCGCTGGCCCTGCCTGGCCTCATGCCGTGCTGTCGTCGCCCTTCCACATCACTGCCGACTTCCACTCTCAACAACCCCAGCCCACCTTATCCACCCGCTTCCACTGCAACGCCTCCGCGCCCCTAGATACTTACCGCCCATCGCCTTCGTGGTTGTGAATACCAACACGCCTAACTTAGCCTTTTGAGAGCAGTTATTCCATCCGACACCGATATCCCACAATCCATCCCGGTATGCGCATCTCCCAACCCTAATTTTATGCGGCCACCGATCACGCCTGAGCCCCCTCCACGCCTAGTTTTTTTCCCGGCCACCTGGCTGCCATTTCATCGCGCACGGCGCATCTGAGGCCTTGCCCTCGCCCGCCATCTCGTCTCTCGCGCGCGCTGAGTCGCTTTCAGTCCTTGCTGGGTTTTTTTTTCTATGTACCTTTATTTTCGCGCCTGGGCTCGGGCGGAAGAATCAACCATGCCGCGAGACTCTGGCGAGCACGCACATCAACCCCACCGCCGGTTGCTGACATGGAGAATCCGCAGATCACATAAACCAACAAAATGGGTCACGAAGATGCCGTTTACCTGGCCAAGCTCGCCGAGCAGGCTGAGCGCTACGAGGGTGGGTGCCCCAATATCGTCCCAGATCACCGCTATTGCGGCCAGCATTGGAATCGAGAGAACCTGACGATCGGCGCCGCGCAGAGATGGTTGAGAACATGAAGATCGTTGCCTCGGAGGATCGCGATCTGACCGTGGAGGAGCGGAACCTTCTGTCCGTTGCCTACAAAAACGTCATTGGCGCCCGCCGAGCGTCGTGGAGGATCGTCACCTCGATCGAGCAGAAGGAGGAGTCCAAGGGCAACTCTTCGCAGGTCGGCCTCATTAAGGAGTACCGCACTAAGATCGAGCTTGAGCTCGCCAAGATCTGCGAGGATATCCTGGAGGTCCTTGACAAGCACCTGATTCCTTCGGCGAAGAGCGGAGAGTCCAAGGTCTTCTACCACAAGATGTTCGTACACAACCATGATTCACCTCCCCCCTCTGTTCAGTTCCGCTTCTATTTTGCACCCGCTAACCCCAAGGGAATCCCAACAGGAAGGGCGACTACCACCGGTACCTCGCCGAGTTTGCTGTTGGCGACAAGCGCAAGGACTCCGCAGACAAGTCGCTCGAGGCCTACAAGGCTGCCACCGAGGTCGCCCAGACGGAGCTGCCTCCCACTCACCCCATCCGACTTGGTCTCGCCCTGAACTTCTCCGTGTTCTACTACGAGATTCTAAACGCCCCCGACCAGGCCTGCCATCTTGCCAAGCAGGCTTTCGACGATGCCATTGCTGGTCAGTCTTGATATTTGCGTGTTTTTGGACAGGCCGGAGCGCTCTCGTCCCGTAGAGCTTCGTTTGACTAACGCCGAAACCTTGACCCAACAGAGCTTGATACCCTGAGCGAGGAGAGCTACAAGGACTCGACCCTCATCATGCAGCTGCTCCGCGACAACCTGGTACGTCCCATTGGCCCTATAGGTCCCGCAACTCCCCGAAAACCTTGTACTAATGTCCACGACTATAGACGCTCTGGACCTCGTCCGAGGCCGAGCCGACGGCTTCGACTGGTCATGCCGAGGCTGCCCCGGCTGCCGAGGAGAAAGCGGCTGAGCCTACCGGCACTGCGGACGAGCCGAAGGCTGCCGAGTAAGATTCGTAATCCCTGGTGTCGCGGCCAGCAATTCATTGGTTGAAATTCCGGTGAAAATGGTGTCTCTGGAGTGTGGACTGGAAGAATTCCCGTGGAGCCCTGTCATCTTTTTTTACTTATCTTGCCTCTCTTTCCCCCTCACTCATGCGAATACACAGATAAAGACTTGGGCGCTTCCATTCATCCAGCAACGGATAAAAAGACGAGCATTTTGGAGGCCACATTCAGACTGCTTGTTTTCTTTTTTTAGACTCTAATGCTGTGGAAGGATCGCCTGGACAATAAATTCCCAAAATTCCGATTCCCATCATGCCATCCCTTTTAGAGGCGTAACGGTGCTTCGTTGTTTGTCGATTTGCTCCGGGCCTGCGTTGGTGTGATGATTATGCGATCGAGGCGAGAAAAGAGAGCACAGCAAGCCTATCTATCCTCGTATTCCCACGCCTTCTGTCGGGCAAGCTGGGTAAACTCGTTGGTTCCCAATCATATTGATACTGCCTATTCTAGCCTATGTATGTGTCTAGGCTTGATTCGGCCAGATGGTTGTGTAGATGTGTGCCAAGCAGCAGTATTTTTGCAGGCCTCCGCTTGTTCCCCTAGTTCATGCAGGGACAGCCAACCCACCAGGTTGCTGTCACAGAGCCAAGACGGGGTTGGGCTGCTGCTTCATGGGGCAGTAGCAGTGGCCGCATGCTGGTCCTCACCGCTCACCACCACCACCACCACCACCGCTGCCGCCATCCTGCTACAGCACAACGGCGAAGTGGACCTTGAGCCACAGGCTGCAGTCGCGGCAGCCCACGACGAGCTCGCCGGCGTCGGCCGCGGGCTCGAGGTCGTCCTCGGCGAGCTCGAAGCCGCGCTCGTTGCCACACCGGCAGCCGCGGAACCAGACGCCGCGCACCTCGTCGAACCCGAGGTCGTCCAGGTCCAGGGTCTCGATGCCCGTCTGGAAGTCAGCCTGGCCGCCGCCCGCCCCGCCCTGCTGCTGCTGCTGCTGCTGCTGCTGGTGGTTGTGGTTGTGGTTGTGGGCGCGGAGGGCGGCGTCGTAGTCGCCCCTGCGCCGCGCGTCGGCCAGCACGGCCGCCGCCGCCGCTATCTGGTCGACGGTGAAGGCGGGCGGGGGCGGGGAGGGGCCGGGGCCGGGGCCGGGGCCGCCGGGCACGTGGGTTTGTGGCCTGCGTGGTGGTGGTGGTGGTGGTGGTGGGGGCGAGGAGGATGATGCGGCTGCTGCTGCTGTTGCTGCTGCGGCCTTGTCTGGGTGGTGCCGCAGCAGGGCCCTGCGGTACGCGAGCCTCACCAGCGGCTGCGCATCCTTGGCGTTGTCGAGGAGCTGCTTGGACACGCCCAGGACCTGGTAGTGCGTCGCCGCCTCGGGGCCATCCATGGTTTTGCGTGCTCGGGCAGCGGGCCGTGTGTCATGACCGTCATTTACTTGCTCGCGAGTGAGAGCGGGTCAACTTTTTTTTTTTCTTCTTGTAACCCGATTGTAGATAATAATAACGAGGGAAATTTTGTGCTCAATCTGGAAAAGGAGAAGAAAGTTACAAATACAGAAAAGATATTCAACATGGTAATTGGTGATTGAAGAACACACAACACAGAACACCTAGTTTACAGCAAATTAAAAATCTAATCAGACAAGACGCAGGATCTGCAAAGACAGACAGAACAAGCTTCAAAACACATCCGCAGTCCATAAGCCACCAAAGTTAAGTAGGCAATTACGGGCGCAGCTATAATAAACCAAGCCCTAGACCGGGTTTATAATCGTATTCACATAGGCACATGCCGACTATAGAAATCTGAGGATTCGTAAGCAAGGCTATTCGGGTCCTCCAAATGCCCGATCGCGGGGGTCGAGCTTACACGCAATCACAATGTGGACGAGGGGGGCAGGAGGGGCTACTGCCTACGTAGGTCGGCGCCACAGGCTTGTGGGCTACTTGATGGTCGCATTGATTCATGAGCACCCTCCTAGCTAGGTGCGGATAGCGGCACGCATTCGTCGGTGCCGGAGCGTCGGTACAGTTTATATACACGAGCGATGATGGTTGCGCCAGGAGCCTGAACATGTTTATTTCGGGAACTTGGTCCAGTTTTTCTTGCCGACCTGTTTGGAAAAAAAAGTAAGGGTTAGCATACATAAATCGCTTGACTTGAGGGGGAACGCCTCCCCGACGCCGTTGGGACCTTACCCTCTTCCATTCCGAGATGAGCTTTGGCATGTCGCGCATAGCCTTTCTCCTCTTCTCCATTCTGAGGGGAAAGAAGCACGAGGTTAGCTTTCCATTACTTCTTCCAAAAAAAGGCATCAAAAGGCCCAACAAGCCTCCCCGAAGGACAGAGAAATCGTACTTTGACACGAGGTGCCTCTCGTGAATGTGACCCTTGACCGATTGCCCGACACCGGTTCCCTTGACGCGCAGGCCGTGCTCGACCCGGTGGCGCAGGCGCTCGTCGCCTCCCTTGGGCCCCGCGGGCAACAGCTCCTCGACGCCGCTCTCGCGCGCGAGCTTGACGAGCTCGGCCTGCCGCCTCAGCGAGTAGACGGGGTTGTGCCACTGGCTCGTGACGGGGTGCTTGGTCGGCAGGAACGGGTTCGGCGTCGCCTCCTGGTACATGGTTCTGGGGGGCGGCGGCGGCGCCGCCGTGGCGCCCTCGCCCTCGCCCTCGCCCTCGCCGGCCGCCGGCGCAGCCGCGGGCAGGATCGAGGCCGGCGGGTAGCGGGCGAGAAACACCTGCAGCCGCGGCGGGAGGCTCTGGGCCAGCTTGATGTACGAGGCCGCCTTGCTGGCCATCTTTTCGTCTCGTCGCCGAGGGCCCAAAATTTGTACAGGCGCTGTCGATTGCGGCTTCCCTCCAGCAAGAAGCCCGGGCTCAATGCGAATTCGGTCTCTCTTGGTGACCTCAGTGGGCGCTCCAATCTTCAAACTTTCTCCAATCGTCGCCGCGATCCACCTCGAGTGGGGCTGGCAGGCTGATTCAATTGGGTGGGGGATGTGTATCTACATCGACACGAACAGACATCAGACACTGAAAATGGTGGCAGATCAAGAGTTTCAAAGCACAAGTCAATTTAATCGTGGCAGATCTCCCTTCCACCGATACACGCTAATTGTACACCCTCTCCAACGCACTTCTTCTCCTGGAGGCGTGATGGCACCTGTTAATCCGAGAACTCTTCATAGGCGGTACATCAGACAAAACAGAGGCATTAGCAGTTGCTCAGGGATAAGATAGATGATGGCAAGAACCCAAAACGCCCAAAGCCGGTTTTTTTCTTCGTCTTTTTGATGAGATAGGATAAAAAAAAGGGTTAAGATGGAAGATGAGGAGCAGAAGAAAACAAGAAAAGATGTTGAACGATTGCTTCGTGGTAGAAAAAACAGCCCGTGCTTCCAGCTCAGTAGTTGAGCTCGCCGCCGCCGCCGCCAGAGACCTGATCCAGGTCCTCGTAGCTCTTGATGGATCGGCCCTGGATGGCCTCGCGTGGGCCAACGGCGGCGCCGCCACCAGCGCCGTCTCCCCAGCGGCCACCGCCATAGCTCCTGCCACCACGGCCACCCATCATGCCATTGACTACGCCGTCTTGGCCCCAGCGTGGGTTCGGGCGTCTGTCGTAGGGACTGGCGCGGTTGTTATGGAAACGGTTGCCGCCCATTGGGCCGCCACGCCTGATGGGACCACCCCCTGAACGGTCATCGGCCCCGCCCGGGGTCCAGGCCGACATGGCGGGCATTGCGGCCAGGAAGTTGGGCGGGAAGCCGGCTTGCATGCCGAAGCCGGGCATGGCAAGCATGTTGTTCATAGTGAAGTTCTGCAGGTTGAAACCACGGGGCGTTCCCGTCGGCGTCTGGCCGTTGGCAGGTGGAAAGTGCCCATTGGAGTTGGCATCCGTCCGCGAAGGCGCGATATGGGACGGGTCGATAACGTAGCGGTTGATGAGTTCAAACTGCAAGACGCCCAGGTTAGTTCGCGTGTCCTCCTCACCCTCGCTTCTTATTTTTGCAGGGTCTGGAATAGCTCACCTCTTCTCGCAGCTTGTCAAGCCACTCCACATGACGCTTCTCCACGTGTTTCTTCCAAAAGTGGTCCTCCTTGAACAACTTTGCGCATTCGGGAACCTTGCAGCGCCACTTGTGCTCGTCCTCCTGCTTGACAAACTTGACGAGCTCCTCATCGACGGCGTCGTCGATGGGCTTGCCCCCAACCTTGCGCATGTCGACAGACTCTGGCTCCAGTAGTTGCAAAATCTTGTCCTCGAATGTCTTGACCCAATTGTACGCCCGCTGGAGCTGCTGCTCAGCCTTGGTGAGTGTAGGACGGAACCTGCGGTCGCCCTCGCTCGGCACCTCGCCCTCTTCGCCTTCGGTATTCTCAACGCGCTTCTTCACGGGGAATGGCTCGCCGAGTGCGCTCGCGCGCGCTACGGCTCGCCCGGCCGACGACAGAGTGGTCCGCGGGCGGCGCAAGTGCCCTCCCGGGCATTTCCGCGTCAGCTCGTGGACCGAGTCGCTCTCAAAGACGCAAAAGAAGCAGAAGTTGAAGACACGCCGAAGATACTCGATGAGGAGATCGAGGTGCTTCTTCTTGGCAACCATGTCTTCATCGTCGCCCTCCTCATCGTCAATCATGCCTTCCTCGTCATCATCCTCTCCAAGGTCCTCTGGCTGCTCGCCCTCGTCCATTGCCTCATCAAGGCCGAGCATCCTTTCCTTCTTCATCTTCTTCTTGGACGATGAGGCTGAGGTAATCACCTGCAAGCGGCCCGAGTTCTTGAGGTCTTCTACCTTCTCCTCGACCCTGAGTATGGCATTGAAGTCGGAGCCGAAGCTCTCCTCAAACTTGTTGACCAGGCGCCGGACCAGTTCCAGGTCCTTGTCGATACGCTCAGGCGCTGAGAACAGATCCCAGAGTGCCTTCCGGCGAGGGTTCGTTGGCGGGTTGTGCACGCCCACGTGGCATACAAAATCGCCACGAACCTCGTCCTTGACAGTCTTGCTGTTTATAGCATCCAGAGCCTTCTCCGCTGTTGACACGAGCACCGGGGACTTGAGGGCCATGTCGATATCCTCCTCCTTGGGGTCAACCCGGTCAATCGTCGCGGCGGACTCGGCGGCAGGGTGGAGCATGATCCAGCCAATCCTGTGATACCTCTTGCTAGGATTCGGGTCACTCAGAGACAACCACTTGAACCCGCCTTCGTCCTCGCCCAGATGCTCCTTGCAGAAGGCCTCCAGGTTCTGGCGGCTTACGCTGGGTGCAATGGTCTTGATGAGCAGAGTCGGCTGATACAGGTTCTCGTCCCGGACCTCGGCGCTGCTCACAGGGACTAGATCGCCCACGCCCAGCACTTCGTTCGCGGCGGTCGCCTCCCCTTCTTCCTTCTCCACCATGCCCCCTTGACCGTTGCCATCACTCTTGGGCATGCCCTCCAAGCTGAATTCATCCAACGTCCCAGACTCGAGGTCCTGCTCCCACTGGTTGTAGGCTCCTCGGCGGAACTCGTTCAGCTGCACCCGCAACGGATCGCGCACCTCGGGAACATAACGCTCCCGGAACCACTGCTCGTCCTTGTGCTGCCTGACAAAGGTCTGTGCCATCTTGGATTGGAGCTCCTCCTTGTACTTGTCATAGGCGGCCTGGATCTTGGCCTTCTCGGCGTCGCGCTCCTCCTGGGTCTCGCGCACGCCACGCGGGCGCTCCGGCTCCCGGCGGCGGCCAGTGCGTGCCCGCTCCTTCTCCTCTTTGATCTTCTCTTGCGCTCTCCACCACTCTCCAAAATACGAGAATCCGACCTGGTAGTTCAGTTTGATCGGGTCGGGCAGAGGATTGTTGGCAGATACGGGCGCCGGGGCCGCATCAGGAGCCTGACCGGGGACATAGCGATCGATATTTGCGGGTGGAGAGGGCACGCGACGGCGGTCATCGCGCTCTCGATCACGGGGTGCGGCGTACTCATCGCGAACTCTGCCGCCATTGCGTGGTTCGTAGCGGTCGACGGGTGGAGGGGACCTTGACCTGTTGGAGCGACGAGCACGGTCATGGCCTAGAAAGAAACGCAGCAATTCGTCAGCACAACTAGAAGAACAATCCGAGCCAGTGTTTGGGTGCTGCTAGGAGAGTGAGGCGTTTTCGCGAGGCGGGCGGGACTTACCAGGCGACCTGCCTCGGTAAAATGAGTCGCGTTCTTCCTTCACTCTAGGATCGTCACGGCTGCTCCAGATTCTGTCGCCTGGAGAACGCGCAGAGTCGCGGTAGATGTACGAATCCATCTCGACTTGTCGTCCTGGGACTACTTCGTCCGTGTAGCTGATCCGAGATGGCGACGGGCCGCAAGTGACCAGGTGTGAGAGGTGACACCTCTTATAGCTCAGACTGCGGCTTTTGATTGTCTGTTTGCTTATGTGGTTCCAGGTGCCTGCCGGTGTCTAGGAGAAACGATGAGCCTAATGTTTGGCCTCATGATTGCCGTTAGACAAGCCATCTTCGAACGGGGGAGTGTCGGTGTTTGAATTGATAAAATTCGAGACATTGAGAAGCGACTTGGAATAATTAGAAAGCGGGCAGTGAGGGCTTGGAGATAAAAGCTGGTGAAGGCCGCCGGTACAAGCGAGCAAGAGATGCGCGGATCCCAATGAGTAGACAAGTACTTGGATGCGGAACCAGACAGAGCAGCTTAACGACTTAAGATGAGGAGTGAGGCAGATGGGCGCGGATGGAGATGGGCCAAGGACAGAGGGGAGCGAGGTCGTGGGAGGAGAAGCGTGCGGCGCGAAGCAGTCAAACAAGCCGAGGCCGGCGAGAGAGAAGGATAAGGCGCGGTAGGAAAAGGAGGGACGAACAATTGTATCGTGATGATGCCGGAGAGACGAAGTGCTCTCGGTAAAAGCGTTTCGGTCGCGGTCCCAACTGTAGAACGACCCGAGAGCGAAAGACAAAGGGCGACGTCCTCGGAATCCCTCGCGCACGCGAACAAAGAAGGTGCTTGGTTGGCGGCGAATCGGGGATGGCGAGTTTGCGAGCTGGACGCGGCTGCACCACTGAGCCGACTGGCGAGTCGTGTCAGCCAGCGTGCCAGCCACATGGGTCAGAGCTTGGGTCCACTTTGTCGCTCATCAGCCAGGGAACCAGCACGAGCCATCCCTGTAGTATCTGGTCACGTGAGCTCACCAAAAGACGGAGGGAGACCTTTGCCTGATGTTGCCGGCTACTCGGGGTTGTACGTTGTGGACCCCGTTGACAGGGGGCGGGAAAACCCCGATTTTTGTGAAAACCTGTAGCCACTTTTCACAGTGGGAATAAAAGGAAAATATATAGTATATGGACAGTATATACGTTTTATTGGTACGATATAAATGAGTTTAAAAAAATACGATTTTATTTACTATTAATTATATACAATACAGTAAAAAAATGTTAACGTTAAAAAAAAGCTTAATTAATAAATTTTATTATTATTAATTTTATATATTATTTTAATAATTTTTATATATAATTTTATTTTATTATTTTAATATCTTTTACTGTATTATATATAGGTTATAGCGAATACAACGGTATTTTTTTATTTTCTTACATTTATTTATACTGTACAAACAAACGTATATACTGTATATATACTGTACATTTTCGTTTTTTTTATTCAGTATTTCTTTTTCTTCAGCTTAAGTATTATAGCTAAAAAATATAAGGAAAATATATGAGTTTATATTATTTACATTTGCTTACCTTTTAATCGATCTTTTATAACCTCTTTGGTTGTAGGGCTAATGCTCTTTTTATCAATTTCCCACTTAATTCACTGCAAAAAGTGTTAAGCGGGTGGCTCGAGGTTTTCTCAGAAATCGGGGGTTTCCCGCCCCCTCTCTAGAGGGAGTCCACAACGCACAACCCCCGAGTAATACCTAATCGTGCGACTCTCCGCCAAACGGACAACGTCTAAGAGCCAGGGAAAGAAACCTGCCAAGACACCATAGAAGATACCAATCCAGGTACACCTACCTAGGCAGATAGATGCCATTAAAACAGGTACAAATTTCTACGCTATGTAGCTGCTTGTGCAGTTTAAACTGTGGTTCGTAAAAAGAAAAACCCCTGGTAAAAACACTGCTTCCAGGAGGAAAGTGGTGTCTGGTGTCGTCATAAGCTTCCGTTGAAGCCCACCTCGGCGTGTTAGCTAAATCACTGCCTCGAGCGACCCGATCCGACCTTGCCGCGCATGCTCCCACCTCCGTATCCCTCCTGCATTAATGGTCCACCCAGCCACCTACCTATCTACCTCTAGGTACATATCCACCTTCTCTGTGGTATATATACCAGTGGTAGGACGGTAGCTTAGTCTGTCCAATCCTCCGACCTATCTTTGTCCTCAGAGCCGGCCAAAATGACAACTTACATCCCGCGCCTGACGCTACCCTACGAGGTGTTCGCCAGCCCGGCAGCCTCAATCCTTCTCCCAGTCGGACTGGGAACCCTTGTCGGATTCAGCACACGGCGTGAGTGTCCCCCGTTGTTCGTCAAGTCGTGCAAATGCAGAGCTTGTGTGTCCCAACTGACCGTCGTCGTCCTCGCTCTTCCCCCCACCCACCAGCCTCCAAGACCAAGAAGAAGTACATGGCCCTCAAGCAGCCGCCCTTCCACCCGCCGGCCTGGGTCTTCGGGCCGGCCTGGACGGTGCTGTACGGCCTGATGGGGTACGGCGCCCACCGCGCCGTCAGCACGGGCCTGGGGCCGCTGAGCTCCGTCGAGCACATCCGCATGACCAAGCAGGGCGCCACGCTCTACACGGTCCAGCTCGGGCTCAACCTGGCCTGGATGCCGCTGTTCTTCGGCCTGAAGCGGCCCGTCGAGGCCACGGTCGACATCGTGGCTCTCCTGGGGACTACTGGGTACCTTTGTTACGTCTGGGGTTCCGTGGATAAGGTTGCCGGCTGGTGCTTTGCCCCCTACGTGGCCTGGCTCAGTTACGCCACCTACCTGTGCGTTGGTGCCGCCCACCTGAACGATTGGGATCTAAAGGATAAGGAGGTTTCCAAGGACTAGTAATGCTAGTTAGAACATTTTATGTACAAGGATCATTGGAAACATGTCAGGGTCTTTCGATTGGGCCATGGGATCTGCAAGTCTCATGACTTCGCCAACTCTCTCATCACGCACTGAGCCTATCTATAACCAGAAATCCAGGAACTAGAAACAGTAGCAGAAATCACAGAAATTGCCTGTCTTGCGCCGTCTATCCCGATGCGGTGCCCCACTAGGGCTCTTGTCTATCCAGTAATGGGTCCAGAAATGAGCTGAACCCCTGAGAAATCTCAAACGCCACATTTTAACCCCAACACTCCATCCAGTCTTGTTCGTATTTCTAGAGATCATGTAGCTCTAGGCTCAGCCGCCAGACTGCCGATACCGGGTGAGCCTGAGGGCGGCCAACGACCTAGACAAGATGGGCTAGGCACCGAGCTCCGTAGGTCCACTAGTCAAGATATTGGAATATACGTCTTCATACCGTCGTACACCATAAAGATGAAGGCTGAGCTGGGGGCGGCACGTGCGACCGTGATGCCACAGCCTCGGTAGAAGCCCTTGATGCCGGCCTGGTTCCAAAGGGCAACAGACTCTTTCCAAAAGGTCCTTTTGGCGGCCGACTGGCCGATGGCGATAGTCTGCATCCTCGACTTGACGGTGTCGGCCGGGAAGAAGAGGAAGTTGTACGACATTCCGGCCGAGGCCCCCGCCACCGCCTGCTGCCACAAGGGCAGCGGCCTGGCGCTGATGGACTCCCTCTCGGCCTCCGTCTTGGCGGCGCGCAGGTTGAAGTCGCGCATCATCTTGCTCGTCGTCTCCTTGCTGCCGAACCAGGCGGCGCTGCCCCCGGCTTCCCGGATCAGGGTGCCCATCTGGCCGTGCCAGAAGCCGGCGAGGCCCTCGTGGCGGAAGACATTCCTCACGACGGCGAGCGGCTTCATCGGCGGGGTTGCGGCGGCCCCGGCTTCGGTCGCGGGGACCTGGATCTTGCACTTCACCAGCTCGATGGGCGTGAGCAGGAAGGACGTGAAGGCGCCAGAGAAGGCCCCCGTGAGCCACAGCGCCGGCAGCGGCAGCTCCGCCCCCCTGGGGCTGTAGCCCGACCTGTATATGAGCTCCCTCCCGATGCGCTCAAGGAAGAAGAGGCTGCTCGTCTCGACGGCGGCCCCGACGAGGGGGGCGGTAATGCCGCGGTACATCCCGAGCACGCCATCCGCGCGCAGGGACTGGCGGATGCAGTCCAGGGGTCCCGTGTACCGGAGCGGAAGGTGGTCTGGCTGCGACTGGAGCCGGACCTTGACCGTGTCGAACGGGTACTCGATGTACTTTCCCACGATGCCGGCAATCTATAGCTCCAACGAGGAAGAGCGCACACGTCAGTGGCTGCCAGTTTACAAGGCCAATGTCGATGCGACCTCCCCGCGGCCGCGCGCGCGCTAAGGCAGGGTTAGGTCAGACGTACGGAGCCGTAGAGCATGTCCTCAACGGCCTCGACAGCCGCTGTGCGTCGGGGCGCCTGAAGCGCAGGTAGCTCGGCAGGCATGTGCGCTTCGACTTTGAGCGAGGAGGAGGATGCCATGGCGGGGGGGACGAGAGTGCTGCCAGAAGCAGAGGGAAAGTCAGAGCGCGAGATGGGTTGGGTCTCCAGCTGGGACCATAAAGGCCCGCTCTAGCGGAAGCTAGAGTGCCCGGCGGCGGCTAAGGGTCTGTAGTGACCTGGGAGGAAAGCTCGGGGAGCATGGTAGGAAACGAGGATGGGTAATCTACCCACTTTTGAGGGTTCAGGGATGGGCTGGGGCGGCAGTTTATACCAGTCCCGAAGAGAGAGAGTTTCCTGGGTAGGTGCTTGAGAGTTATTTTTTTCTGCGGGCAACCAGCGCAGAGCCCGGCCGGCTGCCAGTTACCGCTTTTTTTTTTCTGGGCCTGTGGCGGAAACCTCGGTTTTGAGTTATCAGATCAAATGCTTTTGATGGGGCCCATGGCCGGGACCAGAGATGCATCAGCAGCCTAGGTGTGCCGCGCGGATTGGCATCAATCTTGGGCCGCGGCGGGGCACCGCCATCGAAGCTTGAGCCAGCTGGGAAATATTCGCGGGTACACTCTGACCCGAGGCCCACCGCCCGAGGGTGCGTCAAGTGTTGCACAGCGCACACGTAATAGGCCTGATTGGGGTTGTGCCTAATCCGTCCCTCGGCTTTCTGCATGTGCATGACTTTTACAGTGAGCGTGGAAGCAACCTTCTATTCTCGGGCATCGACCGACCTACCATGTCAAGGCACTATCAAGTACGGCCAAATTTGGATATGGAGACGAATCTGGACTCGGTAGTGCAGCATGTCGTTCTTCACCTGTCACGTTGCGGTCTCATTTTTCCTGCGCACCTCCTGTGTGGCTCTATTCCTACAAGATTACTACCCTCTCACTCCTCATCTTAGAATATTGTCCTTCTTTCCACCACCACCGCCTTTTGTGGGTTTGGATTGTGCCGCCTCGTGCCGCCTCAGCTCGTCCGGAAGCTTGGATATCGAGCTCTTCAAGATCATCTGCTTGAGGTCGTACATGACGTCCGCATCCTCGTTGCCTAGGAACGTGATGGCCACACCACTCTTGCCGGCACGTCCTGTACGACCAATGCGGTGGGTGTAGGACTCGATATTTGTGGCCATGTTGAAGTTGATGACCAGAGAAACGTCGGCGACGTCGATACCACGCCCAGCCAGGTCCGTCGCGACCAGAACTTCGGTTTTCCCGTCACGCACAGACTTGAGCGCCAGCTCACGTTGCTCCTGAGACTTGCCTCCGTGCAACGTGACTGCAGACTTGCCCATTGCCTTGATTTCCTTGGCCACTGTATCACAGTTCCGCCTGATGTTGACGAAAACGATGATGGGGGGCCGGAACTGGCCCGAGTTGAGGATGTACTGCAGCCTCTTCTTGCGCTTGTCTTCGCCACCAATAAACTCTACCCTCTGCTCGACCGTATCAACTGCCTCGCCGGCGTTTCCGATCGTGACCATGGCGGGCCGCCTCAGATATTTCTTAGCAAGGAGCTCGACCGATGAGGGCATCGTTGCCGTGTACATCATAGTCTGGCGGTAAGGCAGCTGATGCTCCCAGCTGGGGTACATGGACATCGCATTAGGGTCCTCCGCATCGCCTGTGTCGGGTTTCTCGTTGGATACTGGCAGGGCATCCAGGATTGTCGTCAGAGACTCCTCGAAGCCGTCTTGGATCATTCGGTCGGCTTCATCCAGAACAATATAGCAGCACTGCGAGAGAACCAGCTTGCGGCTCACGAGAAAGTCCACCAATCTGCCGGGTGTAGCCACGATGATCTCGGCACCGTTGCGTAGTGCAATGGTTTGGCCGTCTATCGAATGACCACCGACGAGACTGACGACCGTGTACCCACGCTGCGTTGCAAATTTCATCGCCTCAGCCTCGATCTGCTGCGCCAGCTCTCGTGTTGGCGCGAGAATCAAGCCGTAGGGTCCGTCGTTTTTGTTACGCTCATCAATGGGCGGCAGAGTCTGGATATAAACAAGCAGCGGAAGCAAGAAGGCTGCCGTCTTTCCGGAGCCGGTTGCGGCAACTCCGATGATGTCCCGATTCTCGAGCGCGATCGGGATCGCAGCCCTCTGGATCGGGGTCGGGTCGGTATAGCCGACCAGGTCGACGATTCTGAGCAAGTCCTTTGGGAGCTTCGATTCGTGCCAGTTCCGCATGGGGTTGGGGATCCGACCGCCCTTGGTAGCAATACCATAATCCTCCTTGAAGATGCGCCAGTCTCTCTGGCGCATTTCCTCCAGCGACTTTTCGGACCAGTGCTTCGCCAGTGCGTTCTGGTTCCTACTCGCCTTCGCGCGCTCGTGGCTTTCCAGCATCCCCCTTGCGCGCTCCTTGCCGTGGACCGGGTCCATCTTCTCAGTCAGCTCGGCCTGTCTTTGCACCCTCTCGTCCTCCTCGTCTGTGCCGTAGCCGCCGTATCGAATGTTGTGGTGCTGGTTGCCCTTTCCGTCGTCGGGCCGGCTAGTGTCTTCATCCGAGTCCCAGTCGAATTTGAACTTCTTCGCGGTTGCGCGTTTCCTCTTCTTGCTCGCCGAGAAGGTGCTCTGGTTCACTTCTGGGCCCATGTACTTGAGCCGAATCCGTTCCTGCTCTAGCTCCTCAAACGAGCGCTTGTCGGCCTTGCTGTGTTGTTTCGTAGTGTCTTCTCTCTTGGAGTTCCCGGTCGCGCGCGAACCGGGCAACGACGATTGTTGTGCTTCTTGTCGGCGACGAGCAGCCTCTCGTTGTTCTGCCTCCTTCCGCTGCCTGTCGGCTTCTTCCTGGGCCTTCTGGGCCTGCTCCATCTCAAGTCTCTTGGCCTTGGGAATGAAGCGGAGTTTCGAGGATGCGGCGTCGGCCTCTCGTTTCCGCCTGAGGTACTCTTCGAAGTCGAGCGGGCCATCGCTGCTCATGCCTAGTTCTTCGGCCTTCTGCTTAAGTTGGCGGATTTTGTCCCCTAGACGGGGAGGGCCCTGGGTCGGCGGCGCCATAGTGTTTCGGGTATGCGCAGAGAACAAAAATGCGGATGTGGAAGTGATGGTGAAGATGGGTAGGAGGTGGCCATGGTGCTGGAATTGGAGGCAATGTGATCGACCAGGTACCTTCATGCTCCACAAATTCAAGTGGGTCACAAGCAACGACATCACCTCAACCTGGCTCATAGTTTCAAGTATTCAGGAGCGAGGAAAAGCACGTTGAACAGACACAAAACACGAAAAAAAAAAATGAGGTAAAGGAAGAAAAATGCCTGGTAATTAGGAAAGCTGCTTTGCAGGAATCACCCTCTTCGGACCTAGGCATTCGATTTGTTTTGTCAAAACCAGCCTCGCACCGTATCTTCACCTGCGGCGCTGAAAAAAAAAACCCAACGGAGCTGGTATCGACGCTTGTTTGTTAAGCAATCAGCCATAACTGACCGGAAAGCGGGCCGAACATAACCATCAGTCGCAAAGCCGAGATACCAACATGCACAGTAAGACAGCATCACGCTTGCTGTCCCTTCATGCCTTGTATAAGGACAATTGTAGATTCAAGCGACTTCGAATTGGGCTTCAGCCCGTCTTCTTTGCAGGGCCTGCTAGAATCCTTCTAAGTAAAATACCACTCATCAAGCGTGATAAAAAGAAGCGTTGGCCAAAAAGCAACCTCGCCAATTTTTACCTGCTCAGAGCGATGTCGTCTATCCTAAGAATCATCTTGACCGTCTCTGCCGCGAGCTCAATGGCACTAGTGCTAACAAGCAGAGGTTGGAGCACGTTCTCCTTGGCGATGTTGGAGTTGACACCGCCAGACTTGATGCTCACACCGGCGTTTTTCTCCCCTAGCTCGTGGCGGTGCCTCAGATCCGTGACGACCTTGATGCTGTTGAGTCCGGCGTTCTCGGCCAAGGTGGTGGGCACAACTTCGAGAGCATCGGCGAAGGCCTTCCAGCAAATAGCCTCGGTCCCCGTTAGCTCGCGGGCACGGCGCGAGAGCTGAGCCGCAATTTCAATCTCGGCTGCGCCGCCTCCCGCTATCAGGGCCTTCTTCTTGACCAGGCAGCGTACGACACACAGGGCGTCATGCAGAGACCGCTCCGCCTCGTCGAGGATCATCGAGTTGGCGCCACGGACGACGACGCTCACCGTCTTTCCTGCCGACTTGGTACCCGTCACTTTGACCATTCGGCTGCCTGACGATTGTACCTCCTCAACGAGATCTGCGGTGCCGAGCTTGTCCTCGGTGAAGGAGTCAATGTCGGCGATCGGTTTGCAGCCGGTCGACTTGCAAATGAACTCGACCTCGTCCCTCTCGATGTCTTTGATCGCCAAGATGTTGAGCTTGGCGAGGAAGTGCAGCGAAAGGTCGTTGATAGCGTCGCGCAGGATGGACTTCTGGATCAGTAAAACATTGCACTTGGCCTTCTTGATTTTCTTGACCAGGTTCAGGAGATATAGTCGCTCCTCCTTAACAATCTTGTCCATCTGCCTGTAGTCGTTTACCGAGATGGAGTTCTCCATCTGTTTTTGAGGGGTGTCGAGTCAGTCAAAGTCCGCACTCCAGCTACGGGACCTATGCCCCAGACTCACATCAGGCTTGGGCGGGCTCAGTTGGAACTGGATAAGGCCTATTTTTGCCTTCTCCATCCTGACGGGCCCGCCTGCGTTTTTGAGGACGGGCTGGGTCAGGACGAGGCCGTCGACCAGCTCGCTGTCCTCGATGGTTCCGCCGACCTTTTTTATTATGCGAATGTTCCTCAGATCGACGTTGTCAGCCGTCTTGATGTCGATGGTTTTGGTGACAGCGTTCACAGCCATGGGACCGAGCAGGCCCGAGTACTGCGAGACGATCTTGGAGGAGAGAGACGTGTTGGCGGCCTGGAGCAGGGCGGCGGTGTCGGTGAGGGCAATGGGCTGTGACATATCGTGTAGGATATCGACCGAGGCGGCGGCAGCCCTCTGGAAGGCCTCAGATATAACCGAGGGGTGGATACCCTTGCTGAGCAGCCGGTCTGCGGCTCCGAGAAGGCTACCACAGATGACAACGACCGAGGTGGTACCGTCGCCGGCCTCGACATCCTGGGCGTTGGAAAGATTGACCAGCATCTTGGCGGTAGGATGCATGACCGACATGCTCTTGAGCATGGTGCTGCCGTCGTTGGTGATGATGGTCTCGCCCTTGCCACTACGAATCATCTTGTCCATGCCGCGGGGTCCCAGGGATGTCCTGATGGCGTCGGCGACGGCACGAGCGGCGACGATGTTGGAGGAGCGCACTGCCATAGGCTTCTCCTTGTCCTATAAGGGGCAAGCGCGGCAGCGGTTAGCTCGTGGGGGACAGACGCATCGGCTGGGGTTGCCTGCAACGAGCACTCTGTGCATACCCGGAACGCCGCATTGGAAGTGGCTGCTCCAGCTGGCGCAGCGGTCGCCATCTTTGCGATATGGACTTTCTGCTAGATACGGACACGGGAGAAGATGGTCGAAACAACTGTGCAGGCTACCAGCAGGTGGTGTGGTCCTGGAGCAAGGGGTGTGACCTGGTCCGGCGGCGTCGTCGAAAGCGGCAGAGGCTGCTTCAATGTTGATGTTGGTGGGGTTCTAGATTTTGTAGCTCCCACCGCCCGCTAGTAGATGAGGTGGGCTGGCAGTTCAGTGTCGTGCCCGCCGCACCCATTTTTTCAGGAGCTCGAATAAAGGTTCTCCCAGGGCTAGCAAACGGAGCTCCAGAACATATACCGCACTGTGCATAATTGTCATTTTGCAGTGGGAATGTGGATGAGGTGCATCCCCACACAGTGTATACTAAAATAGAGGCTGCCCAGTGTTGGCTGGTCAAGTACACTACAGGTCCCCTGCTGTCGGACCCGCTAGCGGCCAGGCAGGTGCGGTGCGTCGCGTTCAGGTAGGTGAACCTGGGATGCGTGGAAATTCAGATCGCCTGGCTGCTCTGGGCAATGTCAGGTTTCAACCGCCTCATCGGTCTGCGAATCCGGCGCTTCCAGTACTCAACCTAAATCACCTAGCTCTTTGAACATTTTAACCAACACATAAATCAGTAGATTCCGCCGTTTTCCACGCCTTTCTACTCCCACCCGAGGCGACAGCCAGCAAGTTATTGCACGTGACCGTCCACCCCGAAGATCTGGCTGCCCGCCATAGCCTTTGCCTGGTCCCAGCGATACCACCTACCTTGCCGACCTGAGGGAGCTCATACGGCTCCGCCCACCCACCCCCAACTGACCTCACCCAGTCGCCGGCCAACACCAGAAGAGCGTTGACGACGGGACCCGGAAACCAACCAACAAAAGAGGGCACTCCCATCTTGATCTGGAATCAACCCCTCACCGAACACGCTCGGAATTCCCTATATCGCCCACGACATAATGGTAGGTCATCTCCATGCCGCCCGTCAATGGTGGATCCCTTAATGTGTTCTTGGGGCTCACGTATCGCCATACAGCCTTCCGCCACCGGTCAGAATTGGGAGAAGTTCCAGAAGAAGTTCGCCGACGACGAGATAGAGGAGAAGAAGATCACTCCGCTATCAGATGAGTCCGTTTCGCCTACCGGCCCCGCCGCGCAGCCGCCTCGGTAGCTAACATGCACACAGAGACATCCAGGTTCTCAAGACATATGGCGCCGCGCCCTATGGAGCGGCGCTGAAAAAGCTGGAACAACAAATAAAGGAGAAGCAGCAGAGCGTGGATGAGAAGATTGGAGTCAAGGTCAGTCCCGGCGCTGGAAACGCTGACGTGCTAGCGACATCTGGGCAGCCGCTCTGTCTCCAGCCACTGACGCGACGGCTTCGCAGGAATCCGATACAGGGCTCGCCCCGCCACATCTGTGGGATGTCGCCGCCGACCGGCAACGGATGCAGGAGGAGCAGCCGCTCCAGGTTGCGAGGTGTACCAAGATCATCCAGGACGACAAGGACGACTCCAAGAGCAAGTACGTCATCAACGTCAAGCAGATCGCCAAGTTCGTCGTCCAGCTCGGCGAGCGCGTTAGTCCGACCGACATCGAAGAGGGCATGCGCGTCGGCGTGGACCGAAACAAATACCAGATCCTCCTTCCACTACCGCCCAAGATCGATGCGAGCGTCACCATGATGACGGTTGAGGAGAAGCCCGATGTCACATACGGCGACGTTGGCGGTTGCAAGGAGCAGGTGGAAAAGCTCCGCGAGGTTGTCGAGATGCCCCTTCTCTCGCCCGAGCGCTTCGTCAATCTCGGCATCGACCCCCCGAAGGGCGCCCTGCTCTACGGCCCCCCAGGTACTGGAAAAACGCTCTGCGCCCGTGCTGTCGCAAACCGAACCGACGCCACATTCATCCGTGTCATCGGAAGCGAGCTGGTTCAGAAGTATGTCGGCGAGGGTGCCCGCATGGTTCGAGAGCTGTTCGAGATGGCTCGGACGAAAAAGGCCTGTATCATCTTCTTCGATGAGATCGACGCCATCGGTGGCGCTCGGTTCGACGACGGTGCTGGTGGCGACAATGAAGTGCAGAGGACCATGCTGGAACTTATCACTCAGCTCGACGGGTTCGACGCCCGCGGAAACATCAAGGTGATGTTTGCCACAAACAGGCCGTCGACGCTTGACCCCGCCCTGATGAGGCCCGGCCGTATCGACCGAAAGATCGAATTCTCCCTTCCCGATCTTGAGGGCCGTGCCAATATTCTCAGAATTCACGCCAAGAGCATGTCGGTCGAGCGCGACATCCGGTGGGAGCTCATTTCGCGGCTCTGCCCCAATGCCACGGGCGCTGAGCTGCGCAGCGTGTGCACCGAGGCTGGAATGTTTGCCATCCGGGCAAGGAGAAAGGTTGCGTCCGAGAAGGACTTCTTGAGCGCGGTCGAGAAGGTCATCAAGGGCAACCTGAAGTTCAACTCTACTGCTTCGTACATGCAGTACAACTAAGCTGGGGTATAGGTAATCAGGTCAGTTGCATGGAAAGGTGGGCACCGGTGTCACCGCTTGGCTTGTCGTTAAATCCAGGTGTATTGATAGTTTAGACGGGGCTTGCTTCGGCGTGGCTGGCTCTGACCAATTTCTAGAAAGCTGCACTCATTGACGGGATAAAGCCAGGGTCTCTATGCGATAGACACGCGCGCCATGATCAACTTTAACAGCGCCTGGAGTTTAGCGCAGGAATTGTACTATGATGATGCACGGTCGTCCAAAGTGGTGTTGGCAAGATTGACAGTTTTGTTTCCCAAGCCGTGTTTGCGTTGCTTATCACAATGCTCCATCATTCCCAACAACCCCCAAGGCACTCTGTGTCTCTGAAGCTTGCCTCCCCTATACCCTTTATTAATCATCTACTCATAATGCCCATTAAATTTGTGACCAGATGACAACCCATCTCCCTGGTTTCCAAACAGCATGAAGCTGGCGTTCAGCGACACGCTCAGGTGCTCGATCCTCCACACATCATTCCTCTCCAACCCTCCTCCAATGATCAGCCAGGAGCTCGACGCCCCAAAGCACTCGTACTAGACTCGCGGCCCGAGGTGCTCCCAAATGACCCCGCCGGGCGCTGTGGTTCGCTATCCTCCGACGTGGGGACTAGCGGCCGCATGTGGTGACGGTGACCATGGATGGTGCTGTAAATCACGCAAGCTACCTAATCTATATACTGTGTGCGAGGCCCGACGGGATGCCCCCGTATCGATCCAAAGCACAAGGAGCGCAGTGGTAGCTCCTCGCTCGTGGGTTCGTTCAATTTGCCGGCAGCTGGTGGTCAAATACGGTCAAGAAATCGGCGTGGCTCATGATTCGCTTTTGTATCATGACACAGGCCCTGGGATGGCCACCACGAGTCTCGGTTGCGATGTTGGTGGTGGTGGTCGACGTCCACATCGGTGGCGTTTTGTGGGGGTTGTTTAGCCCGTGAGTTGGCCGATGATGAGCGTGTCGGCTTTGTATGTCGGCTGCGTGTGTTCTCTAAACGTTGGTGGCCGGAAGACAAACATCACCGGTGCTGCAAGCAACCCAGACAAATGACATCCCCATCGGCACCTTGCTCGACGCAGCACCGGCTGCAAACCATCTGCCGGTGGCCACCCCCGCCCCTGGCCCAGACAGGGTATTTATCTCTGCTCCCGGCCTCGTCATCCACGGGGCTTTCCGGAGCATCCTCCATCCGGAACGACGAGGACGGCTGTGTGCGGTTACTGTTACCCAACGCTGGGTCGTTAACCCCCCATCCCAGGCACTCGCGCATGCAGACGTAGCAGGTCCGTGAGCGGCATCCCTGGCAGTCGGCAAACGAGTCAAGGTCTGACTTCTTGGTAGGCCTGCGCGCACAGACATGACATGGCGCGAGAGCCGATGAGGTCCTCGCCGGCTGTGTTGTTGCTGCTGCTGATGTTGTTGTTGTTTCTATCTTGTGTAGTTGATGGTTCCGCGAGTGCGGGGCAGCCACTGGCCTTCGTTGGTCCCGACCGGGACTGTGGCAGCCGGCGTCGTCGTCCAGTCGGAACTTCTTTGCTGGCTGGACGATGGCGGGGAGCACCTTTCGGGCTAGGAACGGGTTCGAGACGAGCTCTTCGGATCGAGACACATCTGCCGCTGCATCGCTCGCTCTGACATAGTGGAGGCGAGCAACGTGGTCGGGGGTCTGGAACTGGCGAGAGGCGAGGCCATCGGGAGAGAAGAGCGGCTTGCGGTACGAGAGGCCGTCATAGATATGGAGGCTGCCGTCGAGGCCGGAGATGCCGTCGTCATCCCTCCTCCTCTTCTTGGAGGCGTGGAACACGGGCTCTTCCTGAGTGGCCGAAGGCATTGGTGTTTGTTGCGACGAGCAAAAAAACCGAAGCCGGCGCGGGAGGTGCGTTCGGGGCAGTTGCGGCGAAGGTGGCAACCCGTGGAGATTAGACAGACTGAGTGGGAGAAGGCCGCGAGCGACCTTTCCAGTGATAGGAGGGGTGCGAGTTCAGATTGGCTCGTCGTGTGGAAGAGTGAGGCCATAAACAATCATCGGTCGTTGTCGGAAGTGAGGTTATTATGTCAGGCTCCGAAGCTAGGGGCTTGTTGCCGGGGCATGGGTGCGGGCAGCGTCTTGGCGAGGACTGCTGGGGCCTGAAGGAGTGGTGGTGGGTTGTGACAACAAGCCCCCAATCAAGAGCGGAGCAGCCAGCAGCGCGCTGGTCTTGACTTGCCAAGCACCCAAGGCAACAGTGGACTGCCAACGATTGGCCCGGGCTGGTGGAGACAGATCTGGAGACGCCGAGTCAATCGGGTCTAGCTGGCCGGGTCCGCTGGCGGAATGGGAAAGAACCGCAAAGTGAGGAGATGAAGCCATCAAACCGTAACCCACCTGGGTCTCCAACGATAGGATTTGCACGCTGTAGGCTAATGCACATGGGTAGCCGAAGAGCCTTTCAACTTCTCTATCTATGGACCTTTTCTTTTTTCGCCTCCTACGTTTCTGCCCATGTGTTCCTAGGTCACTTCTGTGCTTCGCATGGGGCAGGTACCTGCATTGAGACGACGTGCCTGCATCGAATCGCCGACCTTCCGAGCCGAGTATCCGTTTACTGTTCCAAGTGTGCATGTTCCGGGCTAAATCCTATGCCAACTGCCACAAAAAGAAATAAGAAAAGCAAAAAAAAAAACGAACCAGACATGCATGGCGAGTTCCGCAAAGAGGCTCAGAAGGGAAGAGAAACAGCCCAGAGAGAGAAGGCGAGGGCTACGGAGCTCGGCACCTGCGCCACAGATTATGGTTCCGTTGTTACGGCTTGGGTCCGTTCGCCTTGGGCAAGGCGATTCATATAGCAGAGGTACCTACAATCTGCCGTACCTGTCTCGAAGTAGAATGGTGATACATTTCGGATGGCAGGATAAAGAACCTACATGTCGAGGTAAATCTTCTTTTGCACAAGCTGCCAGGCGCTCGCGCCCTGGGTCGATGGCCTGGCGTATGCAGTCACAACGCGCAGTGCAACAGGGACCACCCGTGGCGCGTCAGTGGGTCTGGGCAATTGAACATTGCCACGTGACTGTCGCTGGGTTCTCCACTCCCGGAAACAGCATGTCTGCGTCAACTGACGCCCGGGCTGATGTGGCTCAGGCAGGAAAGGCCAGGCACCCTCGCCAGCCTGAATTCTCCAATCCACCTAAACCTTCCGGCTCCCTTCGCCATTTGTCTCCAACCTGCTCTCACCATTTACAACCCATTTCGTACCCCCCTTCGCCATCCCCAGCGGCATCATACCACATTCTCTTTTCGACTGCGAACGTGCTACTGCCTCCGGAACCCGTCGCCAAGATATGAGTCGAGCCGGCAAGCTTGCCCCGGAGGTCAACCGGTAAGTTCTTCAATTCCGCCTGCCGCTCTACCGCCCCGTCCGTCATCGATCGTGTCTCGTATCGCCGCCGCCCCGAGGCGCGACGCCCACCTCCTGCCCGGACCCGCGCCCTCGTCCCCGGCAACGCTATGGGGAATATCTGCTAACTGCCCATGTTCTTTGTCGCAGAGCTTTATTCGTAAAGAATCTAAGCTACAACGTCACTCCCGAGGAGCTCTTCGACCTCTTCGGAAAGTTCGGCCCTATTCGGTATGCCCGCTATTTCCTTTGCCATCTCTTTTCTATCATTATAGTCTTCCTCCGCTAGATCGTCCATGGCTGCCCGAGTCCTCATCATTAGCCTCGTACCCGAGCAGCTTGCAAGAAACTGAACTGACAACTCCTTTGTCTCGTATAGCCAAGTGCGACAGGGCATCGCGTCGAACACCAAGGGCACCGCCTTCGTTGTCTATGAAGACGTGATGGATGCAAAAACAGCCTGCGACAAGCTCAACGGCTACAATTTCCAGAACCGCTACCTCGTGGGTAAGTGTTGCATTATGTTTTGATTCGCGTTACATCACGCATCCTCTCTCTGCGCTGACTCGAGACTGACATATCCTTTTTTTTTCTCCCCACCTCCAGTTCTATACCATCAGCCAGAGAAGATGGGCAGGTCAAAAGAGGACCTCGATGCCCGCAAGGAGAATTTAGCTCAGCTCAAGAAGCAGCACGGTATCGATTGACAATCCGACGGGCCTGCTGGCGCCTCGCAGACTCGACAAACCATCCGACTGTCTGCAGGCCCGTCTTCCTCATCGCCAACCCGGCGCACACCATCTTCTGCCACCCCGTCGGCAAACGCCGTCCCCAATCACAAGGCTGCGTCGCCCACTAAGGGCAGGCCGGCAATGACGGGACACCCGCGAAGCCCTCTTTCGCATCTCGCGAGGTTTCTTCCGACGGTCCAGGAGTGTGCCTAGGCGTAGCATGCTTCTCGTGTCGTGGCATGGCGTGGGTCCGGTTCAGGCTTCCTCGGGTATTCCCTTTGGCCCAGGTGCAGCGAAAACTGAGACTCTCTCCTGCTCGTCCCACGCCGCTGGGTTCTGCCAGGTTGACAGGTACTCAAGCAATCACATTCTCGCCAATTTCATTCATACAGCCGCTCGTTTTCGCGTATCAGTATGCTTGTTGTCTGTTTTCTGGCCGTGGTGTTTTTTTTTATGAAGTTATACCTTGTCGTTTCTTTATTCGTTCTGCGCGTGAACAGGCGACGCTCCTGTTACGATGTCTCGCTATTCTGGTGGACGACTGGCTGTCAGCCTCTCGTTGCGTCCTTTTCGCGCCAGCTTTTCTCTACTCTCCCGGCCCAACGATGGCTGGGGTCATGGGGTGATACTTTTGCAATACAATCATCCGGCTCAGAAAGCCGGGTTATGCCCTCAAAGATTATGACTGTTTTTGTGATTGTCAGGTGGTAAGCTTCATTGCTTTTCACCGCGAATCTCCCTCGTTGTGTTAGAAGCGCATCTTTGTGACTGTTACTGAGAAGACTCTGCACGCAATCCTCCACATTACTCTCATGGCCAACCTCTCTTCTTGATAGGGTTGCAACCCGCATTTGGTTTCCTTTCCCTCTTTTTAGTACATCCCTGCCCCTTTCTGCGTTGGCTTGCATAATAGAGCCTAAGGTATTGATCGGTCACGGTCTCGAAATCACACTCGAGTTCTTGAGCTTCTCAAAACTCAGTAGATGACCGGAGCAAGGTATACCTGTGCCAAAGGCGTCTCACCGATGCCCGAGGGATGATGCATACAAAGCTAGATAGGGAATCTTCCCTACATACCTAGCCACAGACCTATTATAACGCGCGTCGGCTGGTAGACACTGACTATAAAGTCGCGGTGCATGTACCGTAGTGCCTGCATGTAAGTGTGCTACGTGTCGGAGCCGCGGCAGAGAGTCGAGATTATACGCAAGATGCTGTAAAGGCAGGGCTTGGCCTTTGCTAACGATATGCTAAATCCCCACCCTCGGCTGCCCGATTGACATGACTGGGGGCAGCCAGGCACGGGAGACGCTGGCGGATGGGGCTCTGGCAACCTGGGAATTCCCCTGGAGCGCCACAGGCAAATCCTGACCCCCCAAAACGTCAAGCCCATCGCGCACACAGCCCTCATTTGGGATGAACACCGCCCACCAGCAGCCGCCGACTCGGGTCTGGCCCGCCCCCTTTTTGGCACCACTGGCCTCGCCCTCTGCAGACTCGCGTCAGGTGCATTTATTTCATCATCATCACCACCGCCTGTCCGCCCGGCCCTTTCTGAGGCCGATCGCAACACCCCGGCTCCTTCTCACCCACAGTATTTCCTTTTCGGCCTTGTCAGTCGCAGAGCAGGTGGATTAGGTACCTATCCTGGGCCCGAAATCGACGCTGCGTCTGAGCGACGATCCGGGCGTCCACGAATAACCTTCCCCAGGTCGCACACAACACAAACTGTTGCGTGCAGCGAGTTCTCTTCTGCATTCCTTACGGGTACCTCGTGCTACTTTTCCGTTCTCTGCTCTCCCTCTCATTCGCCCACCCCATTTAATAATTCCCGGCCTGGCTGGTTCTCTCTCTCTCTTGCCCCTGCTATTGGCTTGTTTTCTTTCGACTTGACCGATTCTTCAACGACCCGTGAGCGCCATCGCCCAATTAATCACCTCTGGTGGCGGGAGCACATGGTTGAATCTCGTGCGTCATCCAAGCCGACAACCACGCCGGTGAACCGGTAGCCATCCGCTCCTCCCAAGAACCCGGCGCCTCACCCGTATACGCCTCCCCTCGCTCCACGAACATGTCTCTACAAGAAGCCATCCTGCCCGCGATTGCGAGGTTCGCCAAAGACATACCGCTACCGACAGCCGGCGACGCACCCTCCATACTCGCTACCGCGCTGGCCGCCGCTACCACCCTTGCGACTGCCGCGACGACGATACCAACAGGCGCAGCTACCGCCCCTCCGAACCCTATGCATCCCATGGCTCCTCCGCATCCTCCGCCTCCTCACGGGGGCCCGCACGATGGCCCTTCGGGGGGTGAGTGTCGGCTGCTGGGGCCGTTTGCACTCATCGTGCAGCTCGCGCTCGGCGGGCTGGCGCTCATGTCGCTTGTGTACAAGAGGTGGAGGGAGCGGCCGCAACGTCCCGTCAAGATTTGGTTCTTTGACGTCTCCAAGCAGGTCTTCGGCTCCGTGCTTGTCCACATGGCCAACGTCTTCATGTCCATGCTCACCTCGGGCCGCTTGTCCATCAAGCTTGACCCACCAGCCACGGCAGCCGCTGAGGTCACCGGGCGACTTCTAAGCAGAGGCCATGACGGTGACAAAGGCTACGTCCCTAACCCTTGCTCGTGGTATTTGCTCAACCTGGGCATCGATGTGCGTTCTACCATCGCCTCCCACCGGCATCTCCTTCACCCTTGGCCACATAAATCCACGCTAACTCTATGTCCTGATTCGTAGACCACACTTGGGATTCCCATTCTCATTCTTCTCCTCCGCGTCACCACCAAGTTGGTGGCACATACACCGCTCGGTCAGCCTCCAGAGTCGATACAGTCTGGCAACTACGGCAGCCCTCCGAAAGCGCTGTGGTGGTTGAAGCAGAGCATAATATACTTTTGTGGTCTTTTCGGCATGAAAGTCTGCGTCCTCATCATCTTCGTCCTCTTCCCCTGGATCAGCCACGTGGGCGACTGGGCTCTGGGTTGGACCGAGGGTAACGAGAGGCTTCAGATCGTCTTCGTCATGATGCTCTTCCCCCTCATCATGAACGCCATGCAGTATTACATCATTGACAGCTTCATCAAAAAGCAGACTGGTGCGGCAACAGACGAAGACGACGGCGACTGCGGCGACGCTGGCCGCACTCAGAGGGGCCATCTGAGGAGATCTTCCTCTTCGGGGACACACGGCTCGTACGACGCCCCGGGTGAGAGCGCCGACGAAGAGGAGCTGGTTGAGCGGGAAGGGCGGCATCGCACCAGCGGCAATAGGCAAAGTGGTGCGCCTGCGGGCCCCGCTTCTGCTAAGCCAGCTGGCGGACGAGCTCGCCGCGAGTACGACCCGGACGTGGACGGCGACGAGCGCACCATCATCGGCAGCAGCACCTCGTCCCGCCAGACGGAGGCCCTGTTGAGCAAGGACCTGTTGCCTCGCGAATGATAATGCCTGGGGAGCTGGACCCCACGTCTTCTTATTCTCCATCTTCCCCTTGTCATAGGTCCAGCCATCATTCCAAGCCTCTCTGCCCACTTCTTTTCATAATCTTTGTCCAATTCCTTTGCTCGGCTTGTTTTTTCCCCTTCTTTTTGGCTAGGCACTTGTTTTGGGTTGTTGAGCCACGGCTCTCCATGTACATACAAACGAGTCCTCTTTTTCGACTTTCTCCTCCTCTTTCTCAACTCCCTTCCTTTTCCGGTTGTTTATTCCATCATTTCCAGGCGCGATGGCTATACGCATTCCCTGAAAACGTCATTACAAAGCGACTGCTCGGTTATATTTCCATTTCACACTTACAGCTATTCCCAGCGTTTGTTTGTGTCATCACATGGGTCGAATCTGATGTTTTTTCTCTGTACTTGACGGGCGATACACATGGGCGGTAGAGCGGACATTTTCACCTGCTCGGCATTGTGGCAATAAATATGAAGTACTTGAATCTCCGTGTTTGGACTCGACTGTGCATAAGTAGATGGGCTGGTGGGTTTAACTGGAGCCTCGCCAAGACATCAACAGGAGCGGATAAGCGCGATGTTTAATTTTGATAAGACGGTCCTACCTCAGCAAGCCGCACAAGGCGTTCAGTGTGAATAGTCCAAGCAGGCACTCGCAGATTGACAGGGAACAATCGCCCATTTTAGGGTGAGCCAAGTCGAACCTGCTTATTGCCACGCAAGAGATATATGACGGAGGATGATATTGACTCTCGACGGTTGGCGGAATCCCGCCGGCCATCCAAGTGGCTTGAACCAGAGATCACAGCAGCGAGGAAGCAGAAACCATCGCCACAGGTATCGTCCATTGCGTGCAACTAGCTGGTTCCCTTTTTTTTCTACTTTTCTTTTTCACACTACCGCCCGTGAAAACAAGCCCGTTGTTTGCAATGCATATCGGAAAGCGAGGTAAAATACAATAATAAGAACAGAGATCCCCGACACCTGGTCGCAACACAAGAGTATATACAAACAAAGGAAAGGGCGTCGCTAGACCGTTGTGTTCGAGGTAATGGTAATATGCGAGAGATGACGGTATATCTTGTGCCGCCATCTCGGCCCCACCGCCGATGAGAATGCATGTAGCGGTGGGTTAGAAATCGTACGTGAGTCTGGATATATGGGGTATATAGGGTATCTGAATTCGAGACTTGCATGGCCTCGGAAAATGTGCATGCGGAAGGCCAGAGGGCTAGGTAGGTACCCTATACCCCATTCCATCCTTGCTGGTTACGCGAATTACCACCGGTCGGCTGGTACGCCTGGTAGCCCGGGTATCCGTCTCCTCCGGTGTTCTGCCGCGAGGGGCCTTGGGGTCGACCCCCATAGCCGTCGTCGTGCCTTTGTTCTTGCCCGTAACCGGCTGCATTATTGTGGAGAGGCGACATCGGAGCCTGCGACGGCCCGTTGTTGGAGTACTGTCGCTGCGGGTTCAGCGGGCGGGTGGAGTCGCTAGAGTACTTGCGTTGAGCCTGCGGTGTGCGTGACCGCGCGCCGTAGCCCTGGGCACCGGCCCCATAGCCGTAGTCTTGCTGGGGCGAGGCGGTCCTCCCTGGCCCGTCGACAAAACAGTGGTCCACCTGAGGTGAGGCAGTTCTCACCGGTCGGTCGCCATAGCCGTAGTCCGCCTGAGGTGCTGGGGACCTCCTTGGGCCGTCACCATAGCCATAATCTCCTTGGGGCGCAGGGGATCTCCTGGGAGCGTCGCCGTATCCGTAGCCACCTTGCTGGTGAGGCGCAGGGGATCGCGTGGGGCTGCGGCCGACATACGGCGCAGCTACGGCGTTCTGGTCCTCGTATGGTGACGCTGGATTCTGACCATATCCGGGCTCGGCCCCGTAACCCTGAGTGTCCCCGCGTCCGTAGTTGTCGTAACTGCCCTGGGGATTCTGAGGACCAGGATATCCTCTGCCTTGGCCATAGGCTCCACCGGCGGGATTTCCGGAGAGTCCCCGACCTTGGCCCATGGCCATGCCCCCAGCACCATACCCGTGGTATACTTGATCTTGCTGAGCGTAAGCGCCACCGTTCATGTCCATGTTGTTATAGCCTGTGGCATTGCCGGCGTACGGGTCCGAGACGCCAGACCTGCCTGTCTGGTAAGGCGATGCTGACGCAACCGCACCAGGAACACCATAAGGTGCGCCACCGTAGTTTCCAGGCGTCGTGGGACCCCGGGCCGAGGCCGCCATAAATGCCACGTTTTGACCCGAGGGGTTGGCCATAGCACCCTCCGGCTTCTTCTTGAGATCATCCAACTCGACCGTCTCCTCCAGAGCGACCTTCTGGTTTGCGGAGCCCTCCCAGCTTGGCATCGCTGGAAGGGCGTCGTCGTTACCGCTCTTCTTGCTGACGTCGAATTCGGCATACTTTGGCGGCTCGTTGACGGCGAATGGTGCTGGCGGCTTGGGGCCGTTGTTGACAGGGCCTGCATACATGGGCTCTTGGGCCCGATAGCCCTGGTTTGGTGAATGGTGTTGGTCGTCGAGGTATTTGTGGGGAGTGCCTTTTGGGGGGTCGCAGCAGCCGCAGCAGTTGCCACAGCACTTGAGACAAGAGAAGCACTGGCAGCAGCACGAAAGGCCACAGCATAGGCATCGTATCAAGCACCACACAACGGAGAATATGATTAGACCTCCAACAATTAGGAGGGCAATCACGGGCCATCTGCGAGAAGGGAGACTGATTAGCGCCTGCTCGACAAGCATTGGTGTTGATACAGAACTCGAAGAGAAGCTGAGCCATACTTGCAATATGTGAACTTCATGCAGTTGTCCCAGCTGGAGAATGCCGTCCTCACATCCGAAACAGACTCGGTGATGGTGCCAGCCCTGCGGTCGAGCAGCGGACGTATGGAGGCGGCCAGCAGATCCACGGCCCCCTCCCGCAAACTCTTCTCCATAGCCACATTGACTAACGGCATTTTGTCTGTTCTGCGCGACGGGCGAGACGGTCCCAACAGCCGGTGGCACCCTGCTCCGGCCCCGCTTCCTTCTCCTCCCACACGTCGCTGTTGAGATGTTTGCCAAGGTTCGTACTGGTCGTCGAGATAACTGCGCTGTTCGGGCTATAGTAAATATTGAACGAGAGCCAGGATAGCAATCGAAGAAGGGTTGCAGATGTCTCTATCGATGCTTTGATATCATATCCAATCCAAGGACGTCGAATATGAGGGTATGTGCTAGAGATCCATCCTTTGCTTGGAGTATCGGTCGGCGGGTGTGTGGCCGGCTATAACAGTATAGAAACTATGCCTTGCAGCAGGGCAGGAAACCGGGTAGTATCTAGGGTCGCGTAACGTTCGCTAGGGCGTGGAGGTTGCTAAAGAGTGCTGATCATATTTCCGAGTCGACGATCGCGAGAGATGAAAGGATAATGCAGGAAACAAAACAAGAGAGACAAGAAAGACACGAAATGCAAGGGTGAATAAAATAGAACAAAGAACGATGGTGATCCGAGGGCGGATTGGTCACGATGAACGATTGACAATTGCGTCGCAGGGCAGCGACACGTTGGGGTCAGTTTGCCGGTGGGCGGCCAGAGAGCGCTGTGGACGGAGGCCAAAGGGATGAGGGAAGGAGGAGGGCGGGAAGAAAATACGACACGGGCTGGTGACGCGGGCGGGACGCTAAATGGAGGCTGGTGCGTTCAGGTGCAATTTGATTTGAGTGCCTGTGAGGCCGGTCAGCCGCCAGGGGTTCGACTGGTCCCCGCCCCTGAACTAGGGTCGCCTGTGCGGGTGAGGGAGAGCCCTTGGGACGCTAGCGGAGTGCATCGAAAGCCGCGCGCGGGGCTTGAAACTGGGCTGTGCTGGCCGCAGAAGCAAGGCAGCTTGAAAGCAGGCCGGTGGATGACTGATCACGCAACTACTACCTGCCCGGGTAGCATAGAGCGAACTACTTGTGATGGAAAATCCTCCGCAGATGAGGTACCAAGGCAAGGCACCAATGGGACGCCGCTGTGACCGAGAACTGACTCTCGGCGACTAGCCCTTCGTGCTACCACCTCACTATCCTGGGCGATCAGGCAGGATGCACGTTGCTACCAGGACGGACGTAGGGAGCACTGATAGCAGTTGTAAGCCAACCCGGAAATTTAGATGGGCAAGGACAAGCAAAGCTCGCGACGAGGAGAGGAGCCGATCTATGCGTGCTGGCGATCCTCTCTCAAGCCCCTCCTTTTTTTTTTTTTTGGAGTCGCATCACTGGCCGAATTCGCACAAACCCTGACGCACCGTGCGCCCATATTGGGACTGCCTGCAGGATCCATCCTTCTGCTGACCTCCCCTCAGCCCCCGATTATGTGATGAAGAGATGGGGCCAAGTTGCGTGCCACTCGGTCCCCTGGGGCCCGACGTTCCTTATAAATGAACTTGGGCGGGTGGATCGACGCCGGCTAACATAAGTCGCAGCCTCATGAAAGTCGCATGTCGTGGGTCTTGAGCGAGCCGTGTCAGACATTACCCTTCGACCGCGCTGTTGGAAGTCAATCCAGAAGTCATCCACCACCACCCAACCTAGAACTGCCAAACGGGTGGATGACCGCCCCATCTGGCGTTCCAAGTGTATCGTCCAAGTGTACCGGATCGCGGCGAGATGGCCAGGATCAAGCTCGGTAAAGTGGCAAAGGCCGAGATCAAATGCACGAAAGTAGGTTGGCAATTCAAGTCATTAGGCCAAGGGAAAAAGCTACCTATGTATTGCGCCTAGATCACATCGCCCCCACACCCCTTCATCAGAACGAATCGCTCTAAATGGCGGGCTGGTCCGATTATAAAGAGCGACCGAGACAACAAAAACCACTGACAGGCAAGCTATAAAAAAATAAAAATAAAAAGAGGACGAGAAAACGAGAAAACAACGCGACACAGGCGAGAGAAAAAACATGACACAACGGACGGCGGGCCTATGAATCTGTCATCCTCCCGCTTCCATCCCGGTTCCTTCCACCGCCCCATCACCTGACTGGAGCACACAATGGTGTGGTGTCGAGTCGTTCCCAATAACTTCCCATCAAGCTCAGTGAGGCCGGCGCGGTTGACTCATCTCCAGGAGGCTATGCTAGTACATCCTAAACCTTTCACTTTCCCGGGGGGCCTGCAGGCGGCTGAGGGTCACCGCCCGCAGCGGGCGAGTCTCGGTGTGGCGGGACGTAGGCGTTGGGTGGTGGCTGGACGCCCTGGGTCTGGCCGCCGTAGTAGCCGTCGTTGGGGTTGAAGGTCGTGCCCGTGTATTGTCCAGGCATCGGCTGGGCGCTGTACTGCGGCGGTGGCGGATAGTAGCCGTTCTGCGCCGGCGGAGGACCCTGGTACTTTCCACCCATCCAGCCGGTGCCGTACATGGGGGGCATGCCCTGTCTCCTCCTGCGGCGGGCGCTAAGGCAGCCGAGCATCATGAGGAGAGCGCCGATGCCCAAAATCACGACACCCGTAAGCACCCACCGACCCCAGTAAGCCCAAGCATTGTACTCGCAGTCGCGGCTGCTGTAGTTGTAGATGTAGCCCGCGGGACAATAGTAGTAACTGTGGTTAGGACACGGCGTTGGTTAGTCTGTTGTCCGCCAAACACATGCAGAACGTTGTGATGTGTAAACTCACTATCTCTTGGCCAGCTGGGCAGCGGCGTCGTCACCGAGGGGCGACATTCTTGCAGAAGACAACGGCAGCAGCCGTGCAACGTGCAGGTTCGTGGTGCGTCGCCGATGCGTGCGCTTTCCCTCGTCGCGTGCGGTCTGCCCTCTCTGCAGCAGGTGCAGAAGGATATGCGCCTCGGACCAGTAAATTTGCGGATGATCGGATGGCGTTGCGCTGGTCGATAAGAGATGCGGTTGAGACCGCGATCAGCGTGTTGGATTTATGATTCGGCCTCCTACGTCACTTTGTTTATGGTCGTGTCGAGACGATACGGCGATGATCAGGTTGATGGAGTCGCACGTAGAATGGATGTGGGTGCGTGCAGCTGGTTGGCCAAAATGAATGGAAAACAGCAAACAGGCAAGAGCGACCGGGAAGAATGAGCGGCTGGGGGGTTTAAAACAAATGGAAAGGCCACGGGCAACAAACAGCCGGCTTTGCCAAGAGGCGTTACCCACCACTTTGAATGACATGGATGGCGCGCTGTCTTGGCGGGAAGATCGGCCGAGTTTCTGGGTGCGACATTGTGACTTTGCTGGGCCCATGGCCTGGATTGATTCCATTGCGCTGGCAGCTCGCTTCCCGTGTTTCTTCCTTGGAGGGGGGCCGCACCCAGTGAGGGGCTGCCAAACTCGGGTCCCGACCGGGGCCTAAGACCCCATTCGCCTTTACTGCCCCGTCTTCTTTCCTCGGCGTTGCGTGGCCCTTTTTGCTGGGGGGAACCGAGAGGGAACCCAAAGCCCACAATCAATGCTGCCCGCTTGTATTTTTGCCATCTCTCCGTTTTGGAAAGGGCCGGGGGTGGCGGATTTGCAAAGGGCTAGGGGGGCCTGGCCTATCCAACCTTGGCAAGTCGGGCCAACTGACTCCTGCTCGCCCGGGGCCGCGCGTGCTTGCAATGGGCTTCCAAATTCTGGGTGGCGGTGCTGGTCGTGTTGGCACCGGGAAACAGAGCCACCGGGCAGCAACAAGTTCACATGCAGTCAACCCGTGATGCGTATCTCTCCTGTTGCCTCCGGTGTCTGTTTGCATGCCACGACCGCCTCGGTACCGCTGAGATTTGCCGGGGTTTATTGCCTGTCGCCCAATGCTCTCTCCACACACGCAGCCCGTGTGGCTGGCCGGCTCCTTCTCACCTTACTCATCCACCCCTGCCTGACTGCCTGGGACTTCTCTGGGTTGCGAGCCGGCCGGATAGGGCTGTGTGTTAGGCCCTAGGCTAATACCGAGGTATCCGGATCTCATAGCCCGTGGAAGCGACGGACCCGTCGTCTCGAATTCTCGGCCGCCAAGGGAACAGCCGAGACCTACAACAGACGGGTCATCGATATATGCATATTTTGCAGCAACACATGCCCTGCTACGTCTTTATGGTTCGCTTCTCACGCACCTTTGGAGGGAGGCGACTGCCTCTTACCTTGTCTAAACATAGAGCGAGCCCCGGCCGCGTGGGCCGCGTGGGCCACTGGATGACAGGCCGGTTGTGTGCCTAAGCTCAAAAGTCAAATGTGCCCCCCGACGACAATCCAGAGTGGATTTTGGGCGCCATTTCTCGGGCGCTGACACACTCCCGCCCATCATGTTCGCCAGGTTCGGCCGCGTTCCCGTCACATTCCCATCTGTGAATCGCGATGGAGTGTTGGGCTGTGCGCGGGGGATGCGCTGCCGGGACATTGTGAATGTTTCAGGCCAGAAAAGAAACAATAAAAATGGAGATCGACGTGCTTGTAAGACCATGGTATAGATATCGCTCGCTGAATGTTGCGTGGTCTTCCCTTGAAAAGAAATCGGCCAGCGTCGATAGGTTTCGGGCACGGGGAGGAGCACCCCACGCATCACCTCCGTTCCAATTGACTCCCCCAGAGAATCGATCAATCCTGTCCGAATCTGTGTGGGATTGACCGAATCCATCGTTCCGACGCCGACTCCACGGATCACAAAGCCTTGGGGGATGCCCTCCCCGGCCTCACCTGGCTGCTGTGCCCCGCTGAACGAACCCGCCAGGTCTGTCGCGATTGGGCTGTCCTCAGCCAGGCCACGCTGTCGCTGCACGGCTGCTCTCTGCCGCCTTGCGCAGCCAATCACCGCGCCCACGGCTCGCTGGGGATGCTGCGTTGAGTTGGCAATGCATCAGACCGGTTCAGTCAAAAACCACTCGCTCCCCCCTGGTTCCCTGGGTTTTATTTTCTTTCCCTTTTCTCTTCCTCTCCTTCCGGCGGGTCGCTTGTACTGGTATTCTTTTTTATCACTTTCCCTGGCCCACCCGCCCACGATTCCTCAAGTGGCAGAAATCAACCGGTGCTCGGCCCCCAGATTCCTTGATCCAACATGACATCTGACAGCATGTCGGCCAGGTTGACACATGGTATGTGTGACACTCGTATACGAAACAACCGACGGGCGAGACTGTGACTGGTTGTCGACATTCGTTTACAAAGCCCATGCGCTTCCAATGGGACTCCACCCAATGGGACTCTAGCTGGGCGCCGTGGTGCAAAATAGGTATTTATTGAGGTCGTTGCCGGCCATTCATTATATCGTCTTGTTACCCAGTGTCTCATCAACTTCGTTAAACTCCAATGTCCGGGGATTCTGCAGGCTGGCGGCATGCGCCAAGACCCTGCCGTCTGGGTCGAGCCTGTCGTGTGTCCGATGCCGAAAGAAAAGGATAGGGGGCATGACAAGAGAGGGAAAGAAAGGGAAACAAACCAAGAGAAGATGCGGATTAACGCCACAGCAGGGGGACGACAAAAAACACAGGGAAGAACGAACGCCGTGCCCAAGAGGAGGACAGGAAAGATGAGACAGAGGAACGGGATCCCCCGCGTGTCCTTTCCCTCGCCCTCATCTGTTCGAGTACCTCATCAACCACTGAATGACGGCGTCCAGGTTCGTTTCCTCCTTGGCACTGATGCCGTAGCATGATACCTCGCGCGTGTTGATCCCCTTGAGATCCAGCGCGTCGATCAGCTCGTCGACCGTCAGCTTCTCGTCCAGGTCCGTCTTGTTACCCAGCACCAGCAGCGGGATGCCCACGAGCGACTCGTTACCCATCAGGGCGTGGAGCTGCTGCTTTGCTACCGGTATTTGCTCAAAGTCCGCGACGTCCACGATGAACAGAATCGCCGTCACCCCTCGACAATACCTCTCCCACATGCCGCGAAACCGCTCCTGTCCGCCCATGTCCCAGCACTTCATTGTGACGTGCCCTCGCTGCACCTTTTTCAGGCTGAACCCAACAGTCGGTATCGTGCTACATCACGAAATCAGCAAAGTCCCTTGATGGGGAGTCACGAGGAATGGGACCATCGACAATAGACATTGGAGCAGGGAGGGGTCTGGGTCAACATACTCGAGCGTGAACTCGGATCCCTATTCCGGACCAAAGGGATCGGTCATCAGTCGTCATGGCTCCGAGGCGCGCTGGGTAACAGGTTTGTTTGGTGCGGGGAAGAGACTCACCGAGAGAACACGAAGCAGTGATGTCTTGCCTGCATTTTGTAGTCCGATCATAGTGACATCCATCTCGGTTGCCCTGTGTTACGGCTCTGTGTCAACACTCGACATCTCCTCCTTCATGAGACAAGGTCACTGGGGGAGTAAGGGAGCCAAACTCGAGACTAGAGGAGTCGACGCACCAGAAAGTCCTGAGCAGCCAGTCGTAGAGGCCCTTAATTATCGACGCCATGACGGCGGATATGGCGTCTTGGGGGAGCCGCACAGACGACCACCTAGGGATGTGGCTGAAAAGTGGGGAGTCCCGGCGAGCCTCCCCTGCGGGTTGATGGTGAGGACGGTTCCTCGCGAGGCGAACCCAGGGAGTGCGCCAATAAATAAGCTGCAGGCGGACGTCGGCGGCAGGAGCACGGCGGGTAGGTGCCGGTGACGTCCGGTGTCACACGAGCCGACGGGGTTGGTAGAATACCAGAAAAGTTGCCGTCGTAGGTGCAAATGCCACCTACCTAGACTGGCAGATAGGCTGTGAGGCAGAGGTGGGCAGGCGACTCTCCACCCCGAACCGCTGTTGATGGTGGTCTTGTGATATCCCGACCCCACGGGGATGCGACTTTCAGGACAGTTTTTGTTTCGCCCGTCCGCGACACTAGTTGCCGAGAAGAAGAAAAAGAAGAAAAAGATAGCCTTCTCAGTCGACGGCGTGTGAGTTTGGGGTTTGACTTTCGATGGCGAGCGCCAACAGCCAGAGCAGCGGCCTCAGGGGCGCCGCGAAGGGGCGAGCTTCGGGTCGTCGCTGGCCTTCCAACGAGCCGGGCTGGTGGCTGAGTTATCCAAATGACAAACGCACGTAGTCTGGGCGCAAAAAAAGAAACGGCTCCAAAAAGACGGCGGGAATGTAGCTGACAGCAAGGCGTGGGACCGGCCGCCCCAGGTCAAGCTGTTGCAGTCCGTGTCTCTCGATAGGAAGGCGAAAATGTGGTATGGAGTATGGTGGAGGTTGGATCCCAGGGAACCTAGGTTGGCAATTGGGGTAAGGCAGGAGGCAAGGTTGCAGGCGTTAGGTTGGAAGGGGAGCTAGCGCGGGTTGCAGATGACTGGACTAGGATTTCGCTGGCGTCAATTGAACCGCGCCGGTACGTCGTCGACTTGGACGAAAGCCTTGTGCTCCTAGACGAGGGGAGGAGGAACATGCAACAGGAGCTTTGTTTTTCTTCTTCTTCTTCTGTAGAACCTATCCTCCCTGTGCGGCTTTAAGTATTCGCAGACCCCCCTGGCACTCCCCGAGGCTACGCAGCTCCTGGCAGAGGGAACGTCTCGAGCTGGAAATGGCTCCCGAGGAGAGGCTGCAGCGGTCGACGAGGAGTCTGCTGCAAGCTGCCAACCGATGAGAGAAAATAAATAGGAAGGTAAATAATTAATAAAAAAAATGGTAAAAAGAAAAAAGACGCCGCTGGCTGTGCGGGGCTGTCACCAAAAGAGAAAACAAGCGGCCGTGTTGAAAGGCCACACACCCACACACAGCGCACACACACAGACGCCTAACCCCCAACAGAGGGCGGGAGGGAAAAGATGGATCAGGCCCAGCGCAAGGCGGCCAATGACGGCGACAGGGTCGGGTCGGCCGCTGCGGTGGGCTGTTGACAGGTCGACCGGAACGGACGGGGGGCCGGACGAGACAAACAACATGCAACTGGCGAGGAGGAGACAAGGGATGGGGGAGGTGGAGGTGGCGGGCGCATGCCAGGGGAAGACAGGCAGGCCTGTGACGGGATAAGAGGTCAGGCAGTCTGCGAGCCACACACTTCGGGTGCCCGTTCGCGTGAGAAGCGCTGCGGCGAAAGTGATGGGAAAGGGCGGAGGAGAAGGCAGGCTGGTAGACATGTGCCTGGGCAATGCCCGTTTTTTACGTTGGCTGGGTCTAGTGCTGTAGGTGGTAGTAGGAGTAGGCTGTAGGTAGATGCAATTGATGCCGCACAAGCAGTGCGTTTTTTTTTAGTCTCCTGGGGAGCTCCCGCGCATCTTTCATCATCCATCATCGGTGCGGGCTGGTTGGATGGACCGTTACTGTAGCACATGTTTAGGCCCATGCAAGTCAAGCCCTTCGCCTGTAGGAAGAGAAAGCGGCACTGAAGAGGTCCACATTGAGTCCGTCCGGTGTGAAATTCACCCTACCCAGCACAGGTCTGGGTCCCGCTCTGGATGCTGCTGATTCGTCCGTGCCCTCCATTCTCTCTTCTTGAACTCAAGAACTTGTTTGACCACAAGTCTGCCAGGTTCCATGCTATCCCCTGACAGCGGCGGCCACTTATTCCAGACAGGCAGACCGCCATGATACCCAGAAGTGCTGAGCTGACGAGCAAATCAACGGCCGAGCCCACCAGAAGGCGCTCCGCCCGGCCCTGAATGGCCCCGACAAAACCCGTCGACCCCACGCAAGGCAAAGGTCCGACCGGCTGAGGAACCAGTGCATCCCTCCTCGTCGGTATCCATGTCGGGTCGGCGGTGGTGTTGGGGGCAGAAACAGGCCGCAAGCAAGCGCCTCTGGCCTGATTGGCCTCATGCAACCTCGCGATCCGCCCGCAAACGAGTGGACGCGCCGTGCGGTTTCGTTACTGAGGCGGCCGCAAAGCTGGGCCTGCGAAATGCAAAACACACCAGCCTCCGCCCAACCAAGGCGGCGCAAAAGGAATCAGGCCAAACTCGTGGCCAGGCTTGGTTCGGCCCCAACAGCCGTGCCAATGCTTTTCGCTCCTTCTTCTTTCGTGACTTAGCTTTTGCCGTGTCTCGTGTCTGCGTCCTTGGGCCGCCCGCCTCCCTTTCTGGTGAAGGGGCCGGGCTGGTTTCTCTCGCTGCCGTTCACGCTTGCCTGTGAGTTGGCTGTCGACTGGGCATTCCTTTGTATCCTGACTTAGCAATTATCCAAACTCGTCACATATTTGTAGCATATTTCGTGTTGTATGTATGGCGTAATGTGGGCTCTCCCTTTCCTTTTCGAGATGGCACGCAGCCACCTGCAGGTGCCCCAGTGGGGCGGCTAGCCCCGGGCGGCGGGCGGGCTGTTGGGGTACATTATCGTTATCGATCGTTATCGTTATCAAAAACTTTTTTTTCCTCCCCGACGCCGAGGCCAGGCGTGCCTGCCGTCTGCGACTTGTGCGAACTGGCAGAGAGAAGCTCTTTTTTTTTTTTCTCCAACCCTTCAAGTCGACGGGACTGGATGCAACCCACGTCTCACATCGTCACGGCCAGCGACTAGGCGGACTCGCATGCAGCATACACACTGCTTCTTTATCCATTGACATCTTGAGGCGCCCTAGGCCTCCTCGCGGCCATCTGCTTGTTCCCCCATTGGCCCCTCCTCCAACCGAACTGACTGGCCGTGCTCGGCGAAGTCAAGATGGCGCCGACCGCGACGAGCGTACAATGGGACCACGAATATAATACTCTCCGCCGCGAAAATCTGTTCAGAAACCCTCCAAAGGACCATACAGCATACCCGGCCCTGCAAAATGCTGTCAACCCGCACATCGAGTCCTTCAATGCTCTTTTCAGAGACGATGGACGGCCCGGTCTTATAGACCATGCGATCGCCGACATTGGCACCAGGCTCTACTTCGACGGCGATGCGAAGATCCCCCTTTCCCAGAGGAATCGGCTTACCGTGCGGTACAAGAGCGTCAATCTGCAAAAGTCGTATGTCCCTGTGACAAACAAGCTGGCCAAGACTCGCGAGATCTTCCCCGCCGAGTGCAGGGAGCGCCATGCTACATACAGAGGAAAGCTCTCTGCCACGTTCGAGTTCCAGATCAACGATGAAGAGCCTCAGGAGTTCGTGCGCGAGATCGGCCAGATGCCTATCATGGTCAAGGTGAGCCAAAATCGCCTCTTACTGCTGCTTCGCGAGGGCGCCGCTGTGCTGTTGCTTACGCCCTTATTAGTCAAATAGATGTCATCTTGAAGAGAACTCTCCAGCCCAGCTTGTGGAACGCAAGGAGGAGAGTGAGGAACTCGGTGGTTACTTCATCGTCAACGGCAACGAGAAGATCATCCGGCTGCTCCTGCTCAACCGGAGAAACTTCCCCCTGGCCATCAACCGCCCCAGCTTCCAGAACCGAGGGCCCTCATATACGCCGTACGGCATCATAATGCGATGCGTGCGGCCAGACGAGACCTCGCAGACCAATGTCCTCCATTACCTCAATGACGGCAACGTTACCTTCAGGTTCTCGTGGAGGAAAAACGAGTACCTTGTGCCTGTCATGATGATCCTCAAGGCGCTCGTCGAGACCAACGACCGAGAGATTTTTGAAGGGCTTTGTGGCCCGCCTGGTTCCAAGGGCGTGGAGAACTCGTTCCTGACAGATCGCGTGGAGTTGCTGCTGCGAACATACAAGGCATATGGTTTGTACAGCAAGTCTAAGACGCGGGCGTATCTGGGAGAGAAGTTCCGGGTCGTTCTGGGCGTCCCGGAAACCATGTCCCACTACGAAGTCGGCACCGAGTTCCTCCGCAAGATCGTGTTGGTACACATCGGGAGCGTTGCCGTCACGGAGCAACAGGACTCGGACAAGTTCCGCATGCTGCTCGTCATGATGAGGAAGCTGTACGCTCTGGTCGCTGGCGAGTGCGCTGTCGACAACCCGGACGCGATCCAGAACCAGGAGATCCTCCTCGGCGGATTCCTGTACGGCATGATCTTGAGGGAGCGCTTGGAGGAGCTGCTTAACACCCACCTTCGCCTCGTTCTCCGCGACTTTCATAGGAGATCTCCGGCCAACACATTCACCTCGGCGGCGTTTGCCAAGGAATTCCCCGCAAACATATTCAGAAGAACCAACGAGAATATCGGAAACAGCCTAGAGTACTTCCTTTCCACCGGAAACCTCCTGAGCCCGTCAGGTTTGGACTTGCAGCAGACCTCTGGATTCGTCGTGGTCGCGGAGAAGCTCAACTTTTTACGTTTCATCAGCCACTTCCGCATGGTCCATCGTGGCAGCTTCTTCGCGCAGCTCAAGACGACGACAGTCAGAAAACTGCTACCCGAGTCCTGGGGCTTTCTCTGCCCTGTCCACACCCCTGATGGTTCACCCTGTGGCCTTCTGAACCACCTTGCCCATACGTGCAAGATCATGACAGATAGCGTCGACGTTTCGGCCATCCCCAGGCTTGCAGCCGAGCTCGGTGTCGTCAATACATCGTCGGCTGCGACTGAGGAGAGCGTGGTCGTGATGCTGGACGGCAAGATCCTGGGATGGTGCAGCCCTGGACAGTCGCGCAGAATCGCCGACACTCTGCGCTACTGGAAGGTTGAGAAATCACATGGGGTGCCAGTCGAGCTGGAGATCGGCCTGGTCCCCCCATCAAATGGCGGGACATATCCTGGAATCTACATGGCGTCGCAAGCCTCGAGAATGGTCAGGCCCGTCAAGTATCTGCCCCTGGAGAAAGAAGATTTCGTGGGGACCCAGGAGCAGCCGTACATGTCTATCGCCTGCACAGAACCCGAGATTGTCTCTGGGGAGTCGACTCATGTCGAGTTCGATCCGACCAACATGCTCTCCATCCTCGCCAACATGACGCCGTTTTCCGACTTCAACCAGTCCCCTCGAAACATGTACCAGTGCCAGATGGGTAAGCAAACGATGGGTACCCCTGGGGCTGCACTACGCCACCGAACCGACAACAAGATGTATCGCCTACAGACCGGCCAGACCCCTATCGTGCGCGCGCCGTTGCACAACGAGTACGGATTCGACAACTTCCCCAACGGGACAAACGCCGTAGTCGCTGTCATCTCTTACACAGGATACGACATGGACGACGCCATGATTATCAACAAGTCGGCCCATGAACGTGGCTTCGGGCACGGAACCATCTACAAGACCAAGAAGATTACGCTCAAGGACGACTCCCGGACCCGCTCAGCAAAGAATGTCACGAAGCTGTTCGGGTTCGCCCCATCCGGCGCGGTCAAGGGATGGCAGCGGGAGATGCTGGACGAAGACGGCTTGCCCTGGATCGGCCGCGAGGTCAAGGAAGGGGATGTGATTGCGGCGTGGCATACGGTATCGGCAGACTACAGCGACCAGCTCATGAATAGAGACGGCATCACGCACTTTGAAAAGTACAAGGACTCGGAGACGGCCTACATCGAGGAGGTGCGCCTGATCGGCAACGAGAACGGAGTAGAGCCTCTACAGACCGTTTCCATCAAGTTCAGGATACCCCGGTCTCCTATCATTGGCGACAAGTTCTCCTCGCGACACGGGCAAAAGGGTGTGGCATCGCAGAAGTGGCCAATGATTGATATGCCCTTTTCCGAGTCGGGCATGCAACCAGATGTTATCATCAACCCGCACGCCTTCCCGTCCCGAATGACGATTGGCATGTTTGTCGAGTCGCTGGCGGGTAAGTCGGGGGCGCTGCACGGACTAGCGCAGGACTCGACACCCTTCAGGTTTGACGAGGAGGACACGGCGGCCGAGTACTTTGGACACCAGCTCATGAAAGCCGGATACAATTTCCATGGAAACGAACCCATGTACTCGGGCATCACGGGCCAGGAGTTGGCGGCGGATATCTACATCGGAGTGGTCTACTACCAGCGGCTGAGGCACATGGTGAACGACAAGTTCCAGGTGCGAACGACGGGTCCCGTCGTTCCGACGACTGGACAGCCCATCAAGGGAAGGAAGCGAGGTGGTGGTATCCGAGTGGGTGAGATGGAGCGCGATGCTCTCCTGGCACACGGAACGGCGTTCCTCCTGCAGGACCGGCTCCTCAACTGCTCCGACTACTCGAGGTCTTGGATCTGCCGAAGCTGCGGGACATTCCTGTCGGTGCAGCCGACGGTTTCACCGTTTGTTGGCAAGCGGAAGATCAACACGGTGAGGTGTCGAGGCTGCGCAACACGTCTGGACAAACTGGACGACGACGTGGATGTGGCAAAGCTGGACGGCGAGATCTGGGAGGACGGACAGGGGAACCAGTGGATCGGTGGCGACAACACGACTCTGGTCGTGGTGCCTGGCGCGCTCAAGTTCCTGGATGTGGAACTGGCGGCCATGGGCATCAAGCTGAAGTACAGGGTGGACCCCAAAGACGCGCCGAGGAAGGGCCCAATGAGGCGAGCCGGTGTGGACGGCTTCCATGTCGGAGGCTCGGCCGTGGCGCTGCCTCCCTCATATTAAGGGCTCGGTGCAGCTCTCGGTCTCTCAAGTGTGGTTCTAGGATTATGTAACGTATGTAACGCGAAGCGCAAAATAAAGACGGGATTACATGATTGCCGTTACTGCAAGTCGGGGCTTTGAAAGCGGAATGGTGCTCCGCCTACGAGAGGGAGCAGGCCAACACGACCGAGGATACCAACATGACCAACCTTGGCTGCGACAACACAGGTCTTCTGGGACCCAAAGACAACTTGTTCGTGTCACTGCCTGAAGACATGGACGCCACATCCATCCTGGGACGCATGGATATCCAGGCACCCTGCCCAAAAAAAAGTCCGGACCGCAATTTATTCCCCACCACCACAAAAAAAAGAGCCCATTCAATTTGCAATTATTTTACCCTTTGCATTTATGATCCTTTGTAAGATATTTGGTATTTCGTCCACCTACGCATTGATCCGGGCCTGGGAAAGGTTATTCTAGCCCTTTTTTACAATGCTTTTCAGCAAATTATTATCCCAAATAGCCAATTTCCTTATAGCGGCTTTAAAGGCCTGCCAGGCCCTTTCAATAAAAGAAATATTAAAGGAATGGGTGCAATTAAAATAATGCCGGAGGTTGTGCTTTTCCTTCCAGGTTTTAACAATATTGCTTTTGCTTTTTCCATGCCCAAAATCGTTATTTTTTTTAAAAATAAAGTTCTGGCCGTTTTGCAGCCAAGAGCTTATTACAAGCTCCAGAATTTCGTTTCAATACGTGCGCAGAGTTATTTTCCCGTTGGTAGTATTAATGTCGTACCAAACGAAAGGGCTTTTAAAGTTATATCCAATAGCGGCCCAAGCGTGCACCCGACGGACATTTTTTTTAAAAAGGCTTTTTTTTTGCACGCAATTTGAGTAATTTTTTTCCCCAAAGCCGGCAAATAATATAAAACGCCTTTTAGCCCCCCAGCCGAAGTAAATTTCGTTGGAAAAGCGGACGTGCCGCCAATTTTGGAATTTAAAATATTTATTAAGCATTACTTTAGCGTATTTAACTTATTATTGCGCTAAGCGTAAAAGCACGTAACTTTTTTGGCAAGCCAAGCATATTCGAAAGCCAGCTTTTTTTATTGTAATGCAAATCGTTTCGACGGAAGCTTTAATATTAAAGCCGGTTGCGTTCAGGTGTCAGGAGCACGGGCGAGACCGCCCGGCAGAAAGCGGGGAGCGTCAGATGCACGGGCGAGACCGCCCGGCAGAAAAGGAGGAAGGGG